TGAAATTTAGTTAGACAGTAATGAATGTGAACTCAAACAACGTATATGCATAGACTGAAATTATTTTTTTTTGCTGAGATGGTAAAAATATTTAAAGTCTTTAATCAATATTGACTCTACAAACCTATGAAATTGTTGAGATGTAATCCTATGTCCAGTAACTGATTTAATGGATGCTCCTCATCATAATTAGCTGCCCTAGTTAAGGTAAACCTGTCACTTTTCTTCACCACTTCCTGCGAACTCTTTGGTTGATCCTCGAAGCCATCGCTACTGAAGAATACATCCGGGAAGTCGCTAGATTTGACGTTCGTGAAAACTTTCGACGGAAATTTCCTTTCCGGCCGTGCTGTTGTACTGTTCAATTTTCGGTTAAGGAGTTGAACAATGGGGATCCCAGCTGAAAGCACGGTCGCATTTAATTGCGGAAAGTCTACGCTTAGATTCGGTTCATTTCCAAATGACGCAACAGCTGCTGAAACGTGCGAAATGTAAAGATATACGTTTGTGTAAAATACCGTAGTCATATTTGTAAAGCAATCATGCGCAGGCAACTTGCGGGCTAGTAAAATTGGTGCTGTTCAATCGTGGTTATTGTTATCTTTCTTCGCATCAGTTCTCAATACATGTACTTAAAGCTCAGCGAGGTGCCCTGAAGTATGACTCTGGCTTCGCAGCCTGAATTTTAGCCGTTCGGATTAGCGTTGCTCGATCAGGTCAAAAGTCGAGCACGTACATATGTCACAACATCTGTTGGAATATTGTAGTAGAGAAAAATAGGTTTGCGATATAGATTGGTATTACAGTCGTAAAGTGATGCGTCAATCTAAAACAAAACGAACAACATCTTGAAATCTGTCGAGTGCGTAAATTCATCCTCATTTGGGTGCACTAGCTCTCTTGAGCTTCTTTGCATTATCGAGATAGTTCGTTAAGTCGGCAAAAAACGGGTTAAAGAGAACCCGAACGCAATGGTACTTACTCAGGTTTGTATGTCGTTGCCTGTGATATTAACAGAATCTACTGTCTTTACTGAACTGCTATACTGTCTATGTAATGGGTAGCAGTTCCGCTGACTAAAGAAATATTTTGGCTATGGGATTGCGATTATCCTTATTATTGGTCCTCATTAGGCTAAAAACTTGTACGCCTATGTGTACAGCAATTATACATAAGACACATCGCATTATAATTGGACATGGCTTTACCATTGGAAGCTTGATTTTCTATCTCTGGATTTGTCCCGATTCTCATTTACCACAAGCTTACCATTTGACGCCGCGTCGGTCGTCTTGGCTGGTAATGGTATTGCCTCACCTCTCTCAGTTACTTTGGTTTGTGTAACCAATGCATTGGCAATAAAGACGACGTGCAGAGATAAAAACAACATTTTGATTTTCGACCAAATCGTTTAGGTTTGCTGAAAAAAAATGGAATCCTCTATTTTCAAGACTCGAGCACTCTGAGATTCGTAGGTCACAGACAAGAGGAGACTAGCAAACGAGACCTAACCCGTCAACAGCGCAGGATCTCAATGCTTAGCTCATGCATCGACCTATGGGTTTGCATAATCTAATAGATTAGTAAACAGCCGTTTTAGACAGACGATACGGTGAGCATCTATGTCCCCTGACAGCGCACGGGCTAATTTCAACCGAGCTATTTCGACTCACGATTGCCGTCCATAATAATTTAAATTGATTTATTTTTCTATCGTCGTACTCTGACGCAGATGCCCAACGTCCTAACATTTTTAAATGCGAATATTCATTCCTATAAGAAGAACTGATCATAGAAACCGGCAAATAGTTTTAGTTGCATATCTGTCAATCATCGCTGTCATATAGAAAGGAGGTTGACCTATAATGTCAAATAGTCGCCGTTGAGATCAGTGGTCAAGAAATGATCAACATTTAAACCAGTTACTTTTCTCGTCCGCAAAACTAAGGTAACGAAAAAAAAGACATTTACTATACTAAAACATGATTTCAAACAAAATTGAATTAATTAAACTCCTAGCTCTCTTGTTTTAAGTAGCCTTCGCCGGAAAGTATAGACTTAGCCGTCGACTTACCATTTTCACTCGTCACCTGGCAACACTGAAAGATCATTTTTATGAATTTTGAAAAAAACATATCTACTTCGCAAATATATTGTTACTAAGCCTCTTTGATTTGGGATAGAGATGAAACAGCGGTTATCGAGGCGGGAACGCTTAAGGCGTTAATTACTGGCGAAATATCTTCTTTCCTTTAAGGCGTAGATGATCTACGCGCAGATTGCTGCACGTTAAAGCTTTCTGAATGAAGCTGCTACCTGCTCGGTCACACTTATACGAAGGGCAGATATTACATTGAAGGCGCGAGTTCTTCCCCTTGTGGCAAAAATTGACCTCCGAGCTTGTTTCGTTGTCGTCCGACCCAACCTGGCTTATCTGGTGAGTGTCAGTGAGACAATGTTCGACGTACAGGAATATTGATGACGTGCGACATCTCGCTGGCTTTTCTACAATGTTGGAACTCCCAAAACGAACCAAAACATTTCATATGTACTAGAAATAAGCAGCTAGTGATATAGAACGTAAAAATGCATATAAGCTCCCTATTTTGTTACATTATCTGTCTTCATCGTAGTTCCATTAAATTCACGTAGCTGCCTCCTGTTCTCTAAATTAATAAGCTATACTTCGCGACTGAGTGCGACACCCATAATCACCCACAAAATGTTCGATGTCTGGTTATTTATACGGTATACAAATTTGTAAGAAAAATATCCAAAAGCAAAATTCGCTCAGTTTAATTGTGCCTTTACCGCTTTCGTCTCCTCAATATTCTACGACTTTCCACTTCTAATCCAAAATAACTTTGTTTAAATCGAAAGTAATACGTGACTGTGTAAGCAATTATACGAAATAATATTAGCGACACAAGCATATAGCCTGTACAAATAATGGTAATTGTCGATGACAAACCGCATGCTAGGAAACAGAAAAAAAGCTTAATCAGTTCAGAAGCATGTAGTTTTTTTTGCCTTTTTGGACAAACGGAAATAAACATCTATCCTAACGGTAGATGATTACTTTGTTAAACATGCGAAATTGACAACGTTACACAGCAAACAGTGCCGTGTTTTATTGAGGCGTATTGAAACAGACACAGGAAACACACATTAAAACCATCTAACCCAAAAACGTGAAATTGAAAATAAGGACAAATCTATTGGGCGCTAGCGAGTTGCTTCACAAAATGTACAACTAAAAACCAAGCTATGGCGTTTCAAATTCCTACAGTAAAAACATGAAAAATGCAGAAATAGCCATCTAAAAAAATTATCAATAGTGAGGTAAAGATCGATAAAGGAACGAATGCTTCAGTGCTCCACAATTCTAGACCTTGTATAACGTGAGACTAAGCACATTAAAATATGACATGTTTTAATGATATTAGAACTTTATGAGACAAAAACGTTCCCATTTTGGTGTACAAGTTAGCAGGGACCACCTGTCTCTCGCATATATGGGACACAAATGTAGCTTTTTAACTGAACCACAATTTGAGTTAAGCTGCACCAATAATCTTGATTGTTTTTACAAAATATTACCCTTATTGATCTCATCAGAATATTAGGTAATCTGCATGCTGCACCCTATTAATCAATGTTCTATTGCAACAGGCCAGTCGTGCACGGGATGAGTAGATCCAAATCACAAGCATTGCTTATGTCGGTGGTTAGAAAATAGAATGTACTGCAATATTTTACAGAAAGATGATATCCGCATTTTACCATATGTTTTGCTAGTAGTGTTATTAATAATAACGTCATACTTAAAAAAACATAAGTTTCCGTGATAGGACTGTAACTAGGTGTTTGTCTACAAAGCGTAGGAACACGTAACGATGAAAGAACAAATTAGATTCAAGCTCCAAATCTGGTGTAAACAGATTTCGTTTCGTGACGGGAGCTAGCAGTCGGAAGCGATACTTGACGGCAATACCGGACATAAAACAGGTAGTACTCATTCTGGCGAGATAATCTGAGAGGTATGGAGAGGATAAAGGTAAAGATGTGGCCTCGAAATCTGAAAGGCAGCTTGTAGGATTGACTGTCAGAAAAGTTTAGTTTTTGTGTGCATCGCACAGTCCGTCACGGCCGTTAAAAAACCTATACATTCACTCTTAACAGAAATAGACCCAGAGTTTCGGCTGTGATAAGATCCACACCAATGTTATGACTAAACAAGGAATACTTCGTGTTGACCCAATGCTAACGTGTCCGCCTACGAATATTCGGGGCTTATTGAAGCAGTGTGTTAAATACTGAAAGCAAACACAATGCTAGTGCTAGGGGTTAGCCTTCTAAAGTCAACTGTTTTAAGACGGATCCCGTACTCGGAACATTTAGCTTAGCGGAATAATCTACCCTCAATATGACTTATTCAAGAGTTTATTTTCACATTGCTTGTATTAGCTAACAATTCATTCAATTCAGTTATTTCTCAGTTTATAGCTATATACTAAAATTAACGGAGAGGTAAGATCTTACAAAAATAATTTAGTACCTTTAGTGCATAAAGGGCAACAGGGAAGGTACTTTCCTCCTCGTCGTGCTACGGATTACTCGATTGGTCAGTTTCTTGTTCTGGCAGGCTTTTGACCTAATCCTAAATAGAAGCACCGATGCTTGTCGTAGAAGGAGCAGGTGGAAGCCCGTAGCCCGTCCTAAACTGTCTTTTACTCTGAAAATTAACTCATATTTAAATGTCTACATCTTGAAGACTTCGACTCGTGGAAAGTGTTATATTGTAATATTTCTTCGCTACCCTTCGTTTTAGAGTGCCTCACAACGTCTGGATCTGAAATCCTTTTGGACGTTAATATGAAAGCTATAGGGTGCGCACGTTTAGCTTTGCAACCACATTGTCTCTGTGGGCAATGCAAATGGGCGTGCAAATGCCAACTACAGGTTTGTAAACATATGCTTAATAATGAAGGCACACGAGAAACAACTTAATAACGACTTATTTATTTTTTTAACAAAATATGTGTATATGCGTTGTCGTCTTTTGTTTTTCATTCGAATAAAACTTTTGTTGACTTGTATTTAATCTGTGTATAAACAGCATCGTAACAGTCTTTATGATGTAAATACTTGGAGTTCTCAGATATACTTTAAAAAAATATAGAGTATACTTGGAGTTCACATTGGATACAACAGTTAGACACGAAGATGAAACCTACCGGTCTTATTCACTATAACACACAACTTTTGTAACCACAAGTTATTGTATTCAGACTACTATAATTTATGAGTTCTTTTTAAATGAGCAACTTTCATTCTTCGGCCCTTGATATTTAACTCTACAGACAAATAAACAAGCACGGTTATTGTCGAACGTGTGTCCGATGAGCTTACCTTCAGTTTCTTTCATTTTAAGCAAGGTAATTTTAGAAAAATAAACTTGTACATATTGCCACAAATTATTTATAGAAATCCAAGCCTAGACAACATGCAGCACACAAATTATGGTACAGGCCAGATGAGTTCTTGCACATAATTCTAGGTGGTTAAAGCACTGATAATACAACTTTATAGCAAAAGATCCTTGAATTGGTTATTTGTCCTTTACACAGCTGAGCGCAACAAGTGCATTCATTTTCAAATCTAAAGAAAAGCAGCCATTTTTATATGATAGCAACATTACTGCCACCCATACAAAATGTCAAAAAGTAGAAAGAATTGGAATAATGCATGAAATCGACTCGAGAATCCTACAATAGTTTGTTAATTACTCGTAGCAAAATATAGGTGGTCTAGCCTCAAAACGTTTTTGCAAGACGTATATTTAAACTCGGTCTGAGATAATAATTAACGTCGGCGTTGCTTCGATTCTGGGTTCTGGATCCTAGTTTTGCGGATTTTAAAAGATGCCTAAGCTGACTCCCGGAACTTTAACACTTAACGATAACGCATCAGTCCGACGCGGTTCAAAAAACTTTTCACTTATTTGCAATTAACTAATTATTTATCGTAAAAAACGCGCCGCTTTAACTCTGGCAAAATTGTTGTACTTGCTCCTCCTGTTTTGACTGTAGTATGGAAGAGAAGGCACAGTCTAAGCATTGTTACATCTTATTAGTGTACTGTACAGGTCAAGCAGCTACAACATGGTACTTTTGAGGTAGATTTGAGCTCAGTGAAAATAAAATCATGCCTCACTGGACCCAAAACCATATTTGTTACTTTGGTCAGGCTTATCTCCATGAATCGTCGGTCAATACAAAAAATTCAAGCTTTGCACAAAGTTTCCTAGTAGAGTTCACACACAACACGAGACAATGTTAGATAGTTGCGCAAAGTTACATCAAACAACAATTAAATAGCACCAGGAAGAGTATGGAGAACCTTGTCCGGCATCATCGATACAACAATCAGTTGGTCCCATCCGCAGTCGACTATTTCGCCCATTCTGTGTGAGTTCCAATCGAGACCGTAAGCGAACTCACTATGGTTCATAAGACACAACTCTGTCCTATTGGCAGCAAGATTGTAGATCTGTGTCGTAAAGTCATAAGAGACCGACGCCAACACATGAGGGAAGAATGGGCTGAATCTTACCTGCAAAAATATCAGCGCTTTGCATGTCTCCTATAAATGTAACACAATAAAATTACTTGAATTCTACATGGAGATGTACCGGTAACAATGCATGACAAATTAAAGGTTCTTGCATAATGTGACAATACGAATGCTTCTTTTTAACGCAAAATTAGACTTGATGTAGAAATTAAATGTCCTAACAGGATATATTTATGACTATAGCCATTAACATTTTATTTTCTAATTTCACGCTACATATTGGCTACATTATTGACAATTCGAGTAAGTCTCGACAAGAACTTTGAAAAACTATGTTTAGAAAGGATAGATAACCATATGAGTCTGACTAGTGTTTAGAGAAGATTAAAACATTAGCTACTAAATATATTAAATCACTAGTTCTATTAAATTTTCCAGTACATAATTCTAAATATATTCTGCGCACTTTGCCAACTCAATATCAGCGCTTATCTTAAAAGCTTATCAACCCACCGATGTGCATAGCTCTTGGCATTGGTAAATTTGAAAGGTTTGTTACTTAAAAAGACTAAGCAAAACTATTTTGAAAAATGAAGGTTCAGGATTATTTGTATCTAAGGGCTTTCTTTTGCCAGTATTTACACCTATCTCGATAAAAAACACCACTTCCAGGTTTCTTAAAGGTTTTTCCGTCTTCATGCTAAGCATAGGAAAATGGACGCAACAATGTTTATCATGAACTTGGTCCTTACCTTTCTGACAGCCATTTTATGGAAGAACTTTTGACGACATCCTGCAGGTTGACGAATGTCCCATAGAGAAACACTCGAGTCGATGGATCCTGTTGCCAACATGTTACAATCGTATTTCGACCAATCTGCGTTTAGGACTTCTGTAGTTGATACTCTGAATACGAGAGCAGGTCTCTGACTGTCCGGATTTCGAATGTCCCATAGAGCTACAGAGCCATCGGCAGAACAACTGCATAACATGCCCGGGCTACGAGGAGCCCAGGCAGCTGAATACACTAATTGTCGATGTGCCTGCAAATAAAGAAAAACAATGCCAATACAGATTATATTAGGATTTATATATTTATGTATTAGTACATTCGAATGAAATTGATTTTTCGAATCGCTAGAAAAACGTCCAAAGTTGTGGTTAAGTCTGCGCGCACCAACCATTCCTTTGTCTTTAGTTAACTATAATGTTTCATGTAATGTAACTAAGTGTTTCATGTTCATCATCCTTATGAATACGCCGTAGGTACAAAACTAAAAGTTCTGTGTCAAGTACGTGGTAACGAAATTTTTCATACGACTCAAACAAGTTTACATAGCACACACGAAGTCTCTCACCTGAAAAGATCTAACAACGGCTAATTTTTGCGGATCAGTTAAGTTGACCTTTCCGTCCCATGAGGCAGAAACAATTAGGTGTTCTGTCCTAGTCGGATTCCATTCAACGCTGTATACCTGCGGTTGAATACAGACCAAACGTACAAACAAAATCAACCGAGAGCTAAATTTCAAGATAAGTGAATATAACGTAATGCAATAACTCTACTCAGGCTTATAATAGACCGAATAACCAACAAGCAATGAACAGCGAGACGGTAATATAGTATTCCACATAGAAGGATGAAACTTTGCAACGCTTTTCTGCTCTTTATGGATTTCGGCGAGCAATCGCACTGGCCCGGGTATGCTGTAGGCCCTTTCTGAATGACCCCCGTAGTAATACCCTATGACTTAGGTGCGGGGCCATTCAATACATAAGGAGTAGACGCTGAAAGCCAGCCGCGGGTCAATGATTTTTTAATGAGGCTTACCAACGACTACATATTGCTTTATTTTTTGCTTTGCTTTATGCGCAATAGCAGACAGCTGCTAAAAAATTACAGTAACATTACTTTGCCGAGAAACCTACCTCTTTGGCGTGTCCCTTGACAGATCCGAGTACGGCACCATGTTCGCTATTGAACATAACGATGTGGCCGTCCGCCGCCGCTGCACAGACAACCCGAGGGTCAGATTCACTGAAGGATAGATCAAACAATGCGTCGCTGTAGTTCATCACATGGTTGATGGAAAGTGGGCCGTTCCCGCCCGCGGGTCGCCGAAGTACAAGTAATGCACCCTGACCTTGAATGCCTGTCAAAAAAAATATAACCAGAAGGGCACCAAATATTGTGATACCTCTCGGTAAGCTATTTATTAGATTAGTCAAAAAAGAAAGACAGTTTCTTTTCCTAATGATCATCGAAGCGTTTCGCTCAAATTCTAGCAACAAATCTTCTATTTACCATCACTTTCTATGACCTCCTCTCATCACTGTTAATTTATCTACTCTGCTTTAGAAATGATTAGATCTGGTGGATCTATCCCGAAATTTTTGAAAAAGTCATCTAACCAGTTCCCTCATTGTCATATGTATTGCTGCTAATTTGATTTATCACTGATCGGAAAAGTGGATCATTCGTAGGCACCAATTCTACACAACATGGTAGATATATATTTTGCGGAGAAACTTTTCACGATATTTGACTTATGTGCTTAGCATTTTCAGATATAGAGACAATTTTCTTCTACTTTTTGAGTCTTTTCTGTCAAATTAATTTGTTTACTTTTACAACACGCAAATTCTTGTCTAGCATCCTGCTCTGCTCAAGCATTTCGTGTCGTATAAGATCCCTCCACTTCTACCAAACGCAAATCACGGTTTTTTGGATGGAACCCTGGTTTAATTTTGGGTTTATGCGTATCTTTGGTGGCTATCCATTCATTTTGTGTTTTATCTTGAGAGACGCCACTTCTCAAAGGTCACACGTTGGCAACTTATCTTCTCGGCCAGCAAACGACTTATATCTGAGAACCTGACTGACCTCAAATGGCCGACCGGTAAGGGCTGCATTCTCCAGTTCCGAGATGCCATTTTACATTTCGCAGAACATTTTGAAGCACTCCTTTCATTTACGGAGATTTTTTTGCACATAAAACAGACATCCGGAAATGCTTCAATAGCTTCTTAACCCCGTAAAATTGGAATAAAGTATGTGTCGAAAATGCATCTTTAAAGCCACAACTTAAAATAAAGTGACACTTAAGTAGCTATGATATATACAATAGTTTCAATTGCTGTATAGAAGTAAACAGCCAGTGAGGGAGTTGAAACAAACATTGATTTTTTGTTTGATAATTGAACCACCTAATATATTTGTCTGCCAATCTAACAAAACAATATTACAAACTATTATAATGATCCAGAGAAGCATTCAATATCAGAGCTGGGCAGTATCCTAAAGCGCCAACATCAACAACCTGCCGCGGGTTTTAGGTTGATATCAAACGTGTACAGCTATCCTAGAGATTATGTACTTTCATGATTCCCTTATAGCGAAATTATAACGACTTTCTTATGTCAATTTGCCTTATAAGGACTTCTAAATATTTCTCAGTATCGACCTTTTTTTTTAGCATAACTAGCTACGCTTACACACGTACATATATATATATGCGTATTACCTTGAATATGTGACGTCCATGTCGCCTAACTAGAAAAAAAAGGCATATTTGACCACCTATATATATATATATATATATATATATATATATATATATATATATATATATATAATTATTAGGTGGTCAAATATACCTTGTATATGTTAGGTTGTCAAATAAGTTGTGCCCTTTTTTCTAGTTAGGCGACTTGAACGTCACATATTTGAGGTAGTACGAATTGGGTCCAGTTACCGTTAGTGCTGTTCAAAAGCTGAGATTTAGTAGCAGCAGATATGCTTGAATTAATCGAATGCCTTTAATCAAACATAAAACAGAGCGCGTTGAAGATGAGTTTTTCAAAAATTCGGTGTATTCATGGTGTTTTATTACATCATCTATTGCGCGGTTTGATTAAGATACGCATGCATGTGATGAAAAATAGATAATATACAACAAAAATGTGCCATTAAAAAAAATAATAATAAATTGTATTCCAAAATTTACTATGTGTTTGAAGGAAATTTTAATGCACTTACTGTATAGCATCGATTTTGCGTCATCAAATTTTTATCTATTTCGCTCTCTGCAGAACACCCTAATTCAGTTTTAACGGAGGTATACAAAAAACACTTGTTACGATTTTTCATCTAAGAACCACAGCAGTTTTACAACCCTTGGATTATAGTGTTATCTAAAAAGCCACAAAAGATCAACTCAAAACAGCGCATACGCAGTTTAATAATATTATTTTAAAGTATAAAAAAATATCCGCTTTGAATATTTCGCGCACTCGATATATATATATATATATATAATGCCCGCAGAAGTGTGTCGATAAAATATTACCATAGTTTTGACTAGCGGCGCAAATCGCAAAATCCGGATCAAAAGGTGACCATTTGACAGAGTATCCGTGCCAACCGGGAGTTGGCAAGGCGGAGGCGTTCACCCCAGGAGCACTGCGCATTGGGCCTGTGAAAGAGCGGAAAACTAGTATTACTTGTTCTTATATTGCTATAAACATGAGGAAATACAAAATTTTCTAGAAACTCTGTGTTTTCAGCAGATTCGAAAAAACTGTACAACCAAAAGTAACCATTTTTAGTACCATCATTATAATTCATCATCACATTATAACCATCCGACTCATTCACGCTGTCCACCCTATCAATGTGTCAATCACATCATTTATACTCTTACTTTTCGTTAGTTCCATCTCAGTTCTTCGTTCCCCATTTTTTCCAGCCATGTTTGATCTCACAGATTCCATGAATTGTACATCCTTGGCGGGGTTCGAATGGCTGTGAATATTCTCATTTCAATTTTTATTTTGTTTTATTTATTACTATTCAAAGCGTTACTAGAATGCTACGATGAAGAGCTCTTTAGATAGGTCCTTTTATAACTTGTACTTACACTTGTTCCGGAATTTGCTATTATCAATCAATAGGCTTCTAAGCTTGTAATAACCTACAACAAAATCTTCAAGATATAAGCTGAATCAATACTTGGTCTACACATAAACAGCTCTGGCCAACTTAGGACAAGGCGCGTACTTTGGACATTTACGCTCCTTTTGCCTCATAGCAGCAGAAGTAAACATGACTTTAACTAAATGCCGTCGTTTGGTATTACATCAGACGGCTGGCTCCCAGAACGAAACGCTGCTTGTCTGTAACTCAGATTCGAACCTAGACGACGGCATGTCCCTAAAATTCGCACCCACATACGTTAGCCACTAAGCTATCACGAAAACTGGCGTTATAACAGACCCTCAACGACAATTTCTTCTATGATTTTCTCAACGATGTAAATTACTATTTTGAATTTCGCGGCTAACCTTATCTTCCTTCCATTACTATTCACTTGAGTGTTTACTATAGCACGGTTACGGTGACTGTACTATATCTTGCTGGCTAAATGAAAATTCGTTTTGTGCAGCCCTGGCAATTTTTGCATGAGCTGATCGTTGCAGAGCCGTAGAAGTATATAATTGGCTTGTCCTATATTGAACAGGGTGCACAAAAGAAAATGATATAATCAATATTGGAGTTAGTACAAGATACGCGAATTGAAAAGAAACCATGTTATGCAATCAGTTCGGTACCGAACTTACGAAAGCTAACTGTGCGTTGCCTAACTAACTGCATTTAACTGATACTAACACACAATTTAGAAAAACGAAACACGTAGCGTTTTGACAGTACGGGGCTATTTTAGAGACCTGTTTCAGTTACGCGTCGACAAAGCTCAGAATTTCGATTCATGTCTGACTGATCACGAATCACATTTCACTGGGACTTCGAAATTGATTTTGCTAAACTGCGCCTACTTGACAATATGTATTTGCGGACACTAAAATAGTTAAAAACACGAAAGATAATCTACGTCATATCGTCTTAGTGACGAATTGCTTACGAATATCAAACTGAAGCTTCAATACGTTGCTGTTTTGTTGTTTCACTATAAGACACGAATCGCATGTATGAAGCTCAACGCATACAGTTGAATGTATTTACTTCTTTCGAAAGAAATACGAGGTGATTTCAACGACAGAAAAGTCTACAGCTCCTTTTTTCAACTAACAAAGTTACATTAATGCAGTCTATAATTTTCCTTATCGTACACCTTGCATTCGAAATTGATCGGTATAGAACTCTTAGGTTAGGTTTTTCGAACACGGATATAGGAAAGTCACTTTTACTTGGCCCTGATGCTGCGTAAGAAATATGCTGGTTTAATCGTTCTTATGTTTGGCAGGTTATAAAAATATCACCTGCCAATCTATTTATTCGTTCTGTACTTTTTAGAAAAGGGAGTAGATATTTTGGATATATAGATTATCTAAACTCACTTGTTCACGTATGCTATTAACTTCGAAGAATAATGCGTACACTATATTCGTGTCAAAGCACGGATCATCTTAACGACAAAATATAGTTCTTTTTGATGAAGATTTACATAATTTAACTATGGAAGAAAATGATTAGACCTTCAATAGGCAGGCGACCATCCATAGTGCACAACTCTATGGACATAATAAATAAAAATAGTAGGTCATAGAAGTTAACCTTCCGTAAAGTTATTATCCTTTGATGATTTCACCAATAAGTTTTGAAAAAAGGCTCGTTTGCTAGTTTAGTTTGAATATCTCCACATTGGTAATGGCCCAAACGTTCAGCTCAATTAGCTATCATATAAAATGGCTGAACCTTTGAGACCACATGCAACTTCATAGAAGAAGAGTTTCGGTAGTCTGATTTAACTTCTCTGCTTGCACTAGTATAAGTTATTAAGTCACGTACTCCTTGAAACATCTTAACAATTTTGAAAATCAATTGAAGCATCATCTTTTTTTTGTAGTAGATACGTCCAAATCATCAAATCCCTAATTAAATCTCACTTGAACGCCACAAAAACCAATGCAGTTGCTGGTATACCGATAAATATAATTAGCTAAGCTCCGCTTCGAAGCGTACCTGTCATTCCAGAGCTGTCACTATTTCCCAAGATGAACAACTGTCAATTGCTTAATTACGATAGCCCCACTCTTGGCTGATCATATGGGCTCACACAATGACTTCACAGATCTTTTTCTTTTAATAGTCCCGAAACAAATGCACAATCTTACAGGTGCGTATCTTGAAGAACATTTTACAAATCTGTGCCTTTTACTGCCGAACAGCTGTTTAGAGGAATTATAATATGTCTCAAGCAGGCTCTCCCTGTTTCAGTAGTTCCGGCATATGTTCAGTGTTACTGGGTCGGTTGTTAAGACTGTTGTTTGGGCACAGCTGCTTCGTTCATGATGTTGTTGTCAATGCCGTGACGCTGAACTGCGGTGCAGACAGCAGGCTCTCCCCCGGCGCGCTTTCTTCGTTCGTCCCAAAGAGGGAACTGCGCGGGTATTACCATAATATTAAAGTAGCGTCTTCCGTCACGAACTATATCGTCTTTGTTTATGACTACGATTTTTATACTTGGACAGCTCTCTGTTTAAAAAAAGAAACATTCTAATATAAATGAAACTTCTTTACTACTCCACCATACAAAGACTTGAACTCCATCAAACTGTCATTCCTTCAGTTACTAACCAATAGCATAGACTAGCACTAATTATAACTTTCAACTTGATTCCAGGTACTCTGGACGTTGGATGCACTGGTATATCAAATAGAAATACAAGCTAAATCCACTCTATTTTACTGGACAGGCCAGTTTTTCACGTACGAGCTCCTGCTTTAAATGCTTCGGCAAAGCAAAGGCTCCATAATACAAACGACAGTGCATCACGATGCCATCCATGTTAGTAGCAGACGACAATCTGGCGCCTTGCGTGGCCTGGGCTGATTGCGTCTACAACTGTCTGGAAACGCGCTATTTCTTTACCCGCTACTCGCCTTGCGTATGCGTATCTTTGTCTATATGCGTGTGTGCTGTGTTTTGCGTAGTTATTCGCTGGTGTCGCTACTGTTGATGTTTTTATGTGGTGTTCTAATGGGTTTTTGAAGTGTCTTTTTTTGTTATTGCTGTTATCGTGACCGCCGGTGCTGCTGCTGCTACCGCTACCACTATCATCGTTCTCGCAGACACCACAGAGAACAGGAGTCATAGAGGGTGCTGTTGTTGCTTGTATTGGTGATGCTGGCGCCTGCGGTGGTGAGTTGGGTCGAGTCGGATCAGCAGTGTTAGTCAAATAGTAAGTTGACTGGCAGCGATCGCGGTGATTCGTCGCCGTGGTTCTTTTCGGTCACAACGTGTGGGGTACAAAGTGCGCTCGGTGTTTATGCTAATGTTGTGCCCGTTTGTAACGCGGGGGTGTTGACCATGCTGCTCCTGCTGTTGTTGTTGGTTAGCTTGTTTGCGCCGTAGCAACAGCCGTCGTTGCTGTATTAGCAGGACGAACACGCCAGCATTTCACCGCACCAATCAGCCTGCGACTGGCTTACACAAGAAGCAGAAGCAGCCAGCTGTACCTACAGGATTGTGGTGGCGCGTAGTTGTGCGGATATTTGCTGAGTTTTTTGCTCGCACTCATGAACGCCGGTAGCAGCCCTCATTTATCGAAGCCACTGGTTACAGATCCGGAAGAAGTTAAGCCGCCGCTGCTAAGACCGTCCGTTTCGAAACGATAATCGCCGAAAAAGAAAGGTCGAGTTGTGTGTGTTTGGAGTGTCGTCGTGTCTGAGCATGCGTGCGTATGTGTGTGCTTCTACGAGAGACCGGCATACTGCTCTTTCTGGTTGCGTACTCATTAGCCCATTCAACCAATAGTGCTCACTAGACCCTTCCGCTAGTTTGTGTTAACGTCCCCCTGTTGACATTCTAGTAATACTGGTGTAGCAAGGCAGATTCATTTGTCAATCTGAGTGACGAGAGAGGCGGTAGCAGAAAGGAACGATACCTGGTGAAGACTCACAACGGAGCAAACCGAGAGTCGTTGTGCGTAAAAGGCGCCTGCCACCGAGGTACACCATATGATACGGCTGGTTGTGGCAAGCTAGGCGGTTATCTCGCACCTTAGACCCTCTCCTATACTGAAGTCCGTTTTCTCTGGCAGTGGAACTGCAGCGACTGAGTGCACCAACTGCAGGTAGCTACCCTCGCCTTGAATACCACTGAGTATTGGTGTGGCGGTCGGTGCCGTTGATTGCGTAATATCTATCTGTCTATCGTCACTACGCTGCGATTGCTCTTCATTGTGCTGCCCCTTCTCTTACTAGTCCTGTGGGAAAAGGAGTAAAGAAGTGGGACAGCAGGACATCATAGCCCACTAACCTAATACCCTAACATATGTAGACGATGTTACAGACCGTCAATACACTCGCACAGTCACCGGTCAAGGTTTTTGCAACTTCGCAGTTCGGGTCGCCCATTCAGTTACTCAGCCACAACACGGCAGCGTGTTGCCTTGCTGTACTCTTACACATCCACCTGAAACGCGTGGGTGTCTGTGCTTGTGCTCAAATCGAAGCTGCCCTGTTGTTATTGGAGGACGCACGTTGTCTGACTCTGTCTCCTCTACGACTCACTGGAAATCGTTTCTGGGAGAGTCTGTAGGTTTCCTTTCAAACTTCCGCAGACCCCTGTGCCTCCATCATTATAATAGTAATAAGAATATGAAGAAGAACTAAACAAGAAGGCGTGTTCGCTTTACTGCTGCTGCATTATTTGTGCTAGACCAAGGCGTTTATCTTAGCAAGTGCCTGCAGTGTGTCCTAATATTGCTTAAGTTGTTTCGCAAGACCGCCGTTACTGCAACTTCTGCAAACGCCACCGGAGTTACACCGTCTGTCATCACAGCAGTGTCGTTACTAGGTTTTTGTCCTGCGTTTGACCTTTTACTGCGCATGCTTTTGTAGCCATCGTATGAATGTTTATTGTGTGAAGCTGTGCGGCGAGGTTCGTACACGTTGAATACGTGAACACTGCACCAGTTCAGCGAAATTCTAGATTGATCTTAGACAGTGCAAGGTAAGACAATATTCCTTTTGGACTGCATGTAATTTCGCCGAGTGTACGTTCTTATACGCGATGGATTAGTGTCAAGCTGATTCTTTACAACGCGTTTGTTTCGAAGGTCTTTGCTAAAATATACATATTTGTGCAAAAGTGTAACGTAGTTCTAACAATAGTCCACCAAAAACAGGCCTATATTTCCCTTATATGTTGTTTCCAATTGACGTCTGGGAAGACATATCTGATCAGCGTAAATGGCGGAGCATTTTCTCGAGAAGTGATACACACGCACATAGAGACACGTAAAAAAATCCGGTAGTGGTAATAACGGTAGAAGGCGATAAGGCATCATAATTTATTCATTCGGTTTGTTCATTCAATAGTGTAGGTTCTCCTCCCCGTCCGCCACATTTCCTGCGTCGCACGGATCCTTCAGAAAATCATCAGCCACAGCCTACTACCTTCGTCATCATCATCAGAGTATGTGGTATTATATTTTCTTTCAACTTTTTCTCCTTTGAAATCCCCTACTGGTACAACAATAACGATAACAATACCTAGATTGCTACCGCTAACTTAAATGGTGTTTTTCTGTGGAGACAAGGTTGTTTCACTCGAAGTGCTAAAGCCATCAGCAGCAGCAGTAGTTCAATATGCGCACTCGCAACATGTACGCAAAGAAAAACAGACCGGCAAACGGACATACAGACAAGCAGGAGACACGATGGTACGGGATGACACGGTCGCGAGGCGACCGCCAGTTGGTATTGGTAGTTGTAACAGTAGCAATGCTGGTAGTCGTAACAGATGCGACGGTTGACGGCGGCGGCCCCGTCCCTGCTGCTACTCCGTCCCCGCATTAGGGGCATATTGGCAGACAAACGCACACAGCAGAGGGCTACGATGAATATGAACGGAGGGAACAACGCACTTTCTGCAGCGTTGATGCGGTGCGTTGCGATGGGATGCCATTTGTCGGTGTCATCGTGAGAGCATCGCTGTCGTTGTCGTGCCTACTGAGCGTAGCTGGGCCGGATAATCTTCCTCCGTGCTTCCAGTTCACTTTAGAGAAGTCACAATCAAGGTGGAGGCGCCAACTAAAGTTCGTAGTTGAGTAATTGGTACAGTACTACGATTATGTTACGCACTAATCTCCAATGATGGTTGGGTCTTTTCCACTGAGCTGATCCAGACTGATGTGACGTGCTACGTTGAAGAGGACTGTAATGTAAGCAACTGGGTGTAAATTTGTCCGGGTGCTTTATAATGATAGGGTATTTATGAGACGAAAGCAACTTGTCTAATTGCTTCTTCTGTAATATGTATGTAGGTATCGAATACTGTATCTATGTATGCGCTTTTAGGGCTCTCTCTCTTTTATTAGAGCTCTTATGCCGAGAACATTTCATATGTCACCCGGTTATGAGAATGCTCTGCCGAAAAGACGTAACTGAACTTGGCCAACTCACATGTATCTTTTTTGCTTCGGCGCACAACACCAACCATATATCTGTTCAGGGTCTCACTCTCAGCCTTAAAGGTTAACGCAACACATTGGGCACAACTGGGGAAGTGCTTTCAGTGATTTGAAGCCATGAAACATAAGTATTAGATTTGGATGGCGTGTGTTATATGTACACCGCTGGTCGAATGTTTGAGTGCACTAGCCGATATATACCGAGGTCAATATGCACAGAAGTCGCAGAACAGTAAATATTTCCAGCCAAATCGAAGCAAACTGAGTAAATGACCTGTTTGATAAAAACAGAAATTACAGTAGATAAACGTTATCAGTAACAACGGGAAGCTAGACTATGGACCGTCGACATGGAGTCTATTCTGTCTAGTGTGTATTTCTTCAGAAACAACAGCAGTAACAAGGAAATAACAATTCAAGAATATGCTTACTATAACATTAACTTGGAAACATATCTAGTGTAATACCTGGTTTGTTTTTTCTCGTCTCTTCTACACCTGCCATTAGTACAGATGATTCTGAATTGTGCATCTGGTAGTATATTAAACATACACTGTTTTACGAACCTGTGCGTCAACTAATGACTCAGTAGTTGAGACAAGGTAGACAGCGGCGCGGAGAGTTCTATCATTCCGTCGCTTACATTAATGCGCGCACTTCGCGTACACATATTTCTATTGTACGTCTAGATTCGTTGTATCATGTTCCAATGTCGATTATTATAGCGGTGATTGTATCGTTGTCAGGTCCATGTTGGTAACGGCCATTGTGCCGGCAGTAGGCTCTGGCCGTGGCCGATGCTGGTGGCCGTGACGTTCACCCGGACGATACTGATAGTGGTGACCAGTTTCATCCAGCTGCGATCTCCCACGATCAAACAGATCTTAAGCATATCGCTACACAAAATGCGAACAGACGCTAGACGATACGCTATCTATTTGCACACGTTGGTCATATACGACCTGTATGCTGTGATAATATGCTGACTAGCTGTTTTATGTAAGCTGCTTCGTTGCTAGATACTTTCTTAACGTTGACAGCAGCAGAAATAGTAACGATCCAGACGCTGGCCTACGCTCGTTGGCTGGCTAGCTAGCTGGCTGCCTGCTTGCCTGGCTGGCCGCCCGCCCGCCCGGCCGCTTAAGCGGTCTGTGGATGCCTTTTACAGCATTGCGCGGTTTCCTTGTCGTGTGAGACTTGTTGCAGTCGTCCCAGCGTCACTCTCTTGCCACGTTCTGTTGTTGGCGACCAGCGTTAACGCCGGCCAAATGGCAGCGCAACATGACGCAGTGGTGGCACTGGACAAAAAGGTCGAAGAAAGCAGTCATTTACACAGATGGTCTTAGGCACTGTCCGCCATACAGACGAACAGAGTGACACATACACACATAGAGATCGACTGCAGCACAATGAGTGTCGCACTGTTAAAGCCAAACGTACTGAAAAGCATCACTTTAAGAATATATTGGAATTAAATAGTATACATGTACATCAAAATAAGACGACAAATATGTACGACGCGCGTAGATTTACCAATTAGATAAAAGCAGACAAAATGGTGGGTGAGGAAAAAATGCTTAGCTGTAATGAGTACCGGAGATAAGAATCGACGAATTTACGACGGATGATGGAAGGAAAGTGGTTCCAAATGAATTAATTCAGTGGTAACAGAATAGGTAGACAGATAGAACAGAAGTTGTCAGTAGTATACCTTCAAATTGCTGTCGAACATTTTTGTTGTCGGAGTTGCTATTCTGATATTTCTCGAAACTCATGCCGTGCCAACTCTGTTTATTCACTGAGTCCGCGATTAATTAGTTAGCACGAGTCATTGCCTAGCTAAAACAAGTAGCGGAAACATTAGCTACAGTAAGCCCCATAAACAAAAGGGCAAAAAGAGAAATCGAGTTGAACAAATAGAACCCACAATCGTCACGAATCGCGACACAGGACGACCAATCGCTTGCGACAAAACTCATACTATTTCGACCACTTTTACTGATTAAAAAGGATATATACTTTTAACACTTCTACATATAAGTTATCGCCATATGCCAGCCACCCAAAAGGCGCCAATTTTGCGTTGGGCAGAGAATAAGTACGGAAAAACAAGGTCGACATCGGCACGTGCCATCGATGCATCATTATCATCATCGTGCAGCCTTTGTTCTTCGATGCGTGTGGCTGCCGTGACAACAACAGTAACTCCACCAACGATTTCGGTGGTCCCGTCCGTTTTCTTAGTAGTGATGTTGTTTAGTTATGGAGAAAAGCTACGTTGAATAGGGCATTGCTATAGCGGTGTTACTGGCATCAGCATATGACAGAAGCTTTTCCACCAGGTTATACAGTAAACGTGCTGGTCAGCCCTATGAACCTGTTCAAACAGTGTGTTACCGGATAGACCTATATTTTGTTATCTGTTAGTCTTCTAATGATATTAAAAGGTAAATGCCTCGAGTTTTATGTCCTCCATGTTAGTGTGAAACATTGTTTCAGATAGCTGGTTTATTCCAGCACTTAACGAACTGCATCTACGCATGGTTTTGAACCCGAACTACCTCACGCGTCTCTACTTTTAATAAGGTGGCGTGGCCTGGGTAGGTAATGCGCGAGTGCGTTACCATGATTATCATAATTGACAAGCATGTTGTGACGGTGGTTTTTTCCTTAGCGTTGAAAAAAATTACGAGCAGTTATTATTATTAAGGAAAGCTTGAAATAACGGAAAAATAAGAATCTGGAGAAGACATTGAATAAGGTATAATTGTAAAAAGTACGAATTGCTTGTTTGGCTTGAAAAACCGTAGATAAATCCAACATGATTTACTGTGTTGATCTCTTAAAAGGTAAGTACCTGAGGGTATACTTAAGTATAGGTGACTACAAAGACTGCTTTACGTGTACAAATGAAGTGCTTAAAAAAAGTAAGCAAAGATGTTACCACCACAGCATTATATGGATCCTGCGACGACTATGCATTACCGGGAACAGCGGTCAGCGAATCTGTTACCGTTTATTACAGAAATAAGTAATAGAGTTTATTGAGGGAGATATGTTTATAATCTGATAAATATGTTACACAATGGAAAATACAAATTAAGTTCATACTGATTATTAAGGTCTGATGTCTTTGCCTCAGTATATTTCGGGGTTTCGTGCTTTGCATAAGGGGAGTTAATAATGTCTATTAGCAATTAAATGTAAGGTTTTGAAGTTATAGAGTTCTAATAGCTGCTGACCATGGAAAGCCACGATTTCTCAGTCTTGATCGGATTTGAGAAGCAGCAGCTTATGCTAATAAAAACATCTAATTCAATACAGTACGAATATGTCTATGTTCTACTGCCTTGTTTATTTAAATGGTAATAATATACAAAAATCGGGCACACAATTGATCTAGTGATACACTTGGCGATTACTTTCATAAACTCTCGGCTTAAGTAATCCATATTGAATCGTACTCTTTTTATAGCCGCGATGCACCCAAGCATGTGTGTGACATCGAGGGTGTCGATGAAGCGTCTTACTCTGTAAAATCAATCATGTTGACTTGAATATTACGTGATGGTCGTTAGCCAAAAAGCGAAACTTGGAATGTGTAATTATGAATCAAATACTTAAAATGTGCTTCTGCAGCCCCCGTTTGGTTTCAATAAGCGTAGGTAATTCATTCTGGAGGTGATTTGACTAAGCCACAATTATGGTGGTCGTGGTGATGTGTTTACAGGGTGCATATTATGCATTTATACAAGAACGTGATGGCAGCGATGCGTAGAATTTATAAGTAGCCTCCTCAATTAATCTTTTTTGCACTGAGGTGGGCTCAGAAATCAGAAAAGTGAACCTTATTTTCACAGCCGTTAATTTTTTCTGTCTCAGGTGTTAATAAATAATCTAGTGGCGGTTGCCTAAATGTGCAGAAGATATAAAGGGTTTTCAACCAGACAGTAAATTACCTTGACTTGTAAAGACACTTTCCAATTTGAATTATTATTTGTGATCTCGCAAGTATATTTTTTCAAATTACTTCTCCACGCACTAAGTGTTTGCGATGTAACTTCCTATAATAACTACTATTATCATCACATATGCATCAATTATTGCAATACCATCCGTTTTTTCATATACATAGTCAAACATTTTTCTTTCAGCGTGCTACGTGAGAGTGTATCAAATTGTTTAAAAACACAATACACGGTTTATTTTGATTTATTTCAATGCTATATATATAGTCGTATTGTATGTTAGGCAAGTTCGTAGATCTACTCAAGTCATAAGTTGAACCTTATCAGACGCGAACTTTTCGAAGACAGTGTGTGCCTCAGTATATTGTTTACACAATCACTAACTCATACTTAGCTCTGTTTCGCTTTGTCTTGTGTTACTCTATTCACTTTCTATGACAGATGAGTCTCAAACATTTAGCATCGGCATACGACAGCAGTGGCCACTCCTCATCGGAAGGTTCCAATTCGTCAAATTCAGCCCACGCCTCAATGGAGCTAGCGCCAGTCCGCTTACCTCCGTCGCCACCGGCGGCGAAACGCGCCAAACTCGAAGTTCCAGCTGAAATCGCCGACATGTTCGCCACGTCTGGCACCGGCTCGAAGTGGATGGACGACCCGGCGATGCATGGCGGTCGGCAACGTTCATTCGATCACGAACAGGGCATCTGGGCGTCGCTGTTCTACGTTTACGCATGCGACGAAGAGTGCATTAAAGACCTCCAGCAAATAGCCGAGGCCGGGGCACCGTTCCTCTTGCCTATCGGCAAGTCCCAACCACATATCTCATTGTCGCGAACTCTCAAATGCCGTTTCCAATGGATCAAGCCGTTGTACACTCACATACGACAGGGTGTGTACGCACATAAGCCCTTCCTCGTATCGTTTAATCGTTTCGCAATTTACGAAAACGATGAGCGGACAACGGTATTTCTGGCTGTCGATGTTGATCTTGGCCAAAATGAACTGGTTGAACTCACCAAACGGGTGAACCTTTCACTCGATCTGTTCCGCTTGCCGAATTACTACACAAATCCTAAGTTTCATATCAGTTTAGCGTGGGCGCCGATTAGCCGGAAGACAGATCTTCAAAATGTGCTACCAACTTTACAACGTGAACTCGATGAGTATTGTACATCCGTTGAGCTGGCAGGCGTTGTAGACAGGTTGTGTTTTCGTGCGGGACATAAACTGTTCGAAGTACCACTAGGCTTTGAAATACCGAATATGGTATACAATACCACTGGCGTCACCCCACCTGTGACCCTAGCTAAGTAATATATGGCAATGTGTATCCATTACCATTGCATAACATATGTATATTAGAACAAGATGTGCAGCATATACGATACTGCTATAGACATCTATAAGTTTAATAATACAGCCACATATTTGAAAGTCAAAATAAGAAAAAGCAGCAATTTAAGTACATAAAAATGTACATTCTATGTTGGCTTTGTAGTTGAGCTTAACCGAATTCGCATGCATGGATGCCATATGTTGGCGAACTAATATTATTATATTCCATATTATTATGAGCGAAGTCCGATAATATACGCCAACATCATATACACACACACACACATTTTGAATGATATCAGCACGAGCAGCCATAACTCAAGATCCTTGCAGGTAGTGACGACGGAGGCAGTCTTTAAAGGTAAAGAAAGCGAGATCAGTTGTCTGATCGATAATAGATCGAACGACTGCCTTCCAATTGAAGGATTGTAAAAATACAAACCAGCATAAAATACAGTAGATACGTTAATAATAACATTATTCCTGATAGGTGGAAATTAAATGAGACGTGCGTTGGTCACTCAGATCCATCGCGTCATCTAGGGCATGAGTTCAGATGGCCGAGTCCTACTAAGATCTGATCATCGAAACCAATGCTAGATGTCTCCGATTAACAGTAGATTCATGTCTAGCTTTTAGGGGCTTATCACTGTCACCCTTGCTACTTAACTTCATGTTACACTACAGCTAATAGTCCTCTATAAGAAAACTATGATAACAAAAAAATAACTATAGTGTGAATATATATATATATATATATATACACATAATTTTTTTGTGGTGCATGCTAAAATCATTGTACGAGCTGACTCTAAGGTGTGCGATAGGTGACGATTAGAGACTGATTCATGATGTTAGACATGTGTATTTACATTTTTATAGGTCCTCGTAACGCTGCCCTGAGATGAATACTTTATAACAGTAACAGGTGTGGTCTACTATATAACAGTAGCGATAAGAATATCGTACTAAATAATGCGAATGTTGTAGAGAGAAGTGTAACTTAAGAATCTGAACCGATGCCGACTACGACGGAAAAATGCTGTGGTCGATAGCAACGATCGACGATCAAGTCACATCGATAGTTCTGTGCGCGTATTTCCTTACATCATCATTTTCGTCTATCATCAAGATCATCATCTCGTATTTGTGCGTAACCTTATTGTAACGTTATTCGTCATAGATATGCGTTATTACGTTTCTCTAATAACTAATAACCTATGTCGAAAATAAACATCCAATACATTGTGTAAAGGACGATAACTAGAGAGCTAATAAGGCGTAACAAGCGAGGAAAGAAAGGAACAGAGATAGAGGAAGAGAGAAGAAAAAGAATAAAGCCGTGGCATTTCACATGTGCTTGTATGCGTGGAGGGTGTTATATCACAAGCAAGCTTTGTCGATATTGCTTTCATTTTGAACACATCATCGTGCGCTGCTAGTTCGAGACCGTTCGTCCTGAGAATAATATAAACCAGTGGAAACAATGACGGCAGGGTCGTCTCGACTGCAGGATAATATCACTACTGATACGATACGTGCTCAAAGCTGGGCAACACTGTCCTACAGCTCGCAAAATTGACGCACAGAAAAAAGGTTCTCCATTTTCAAAAGTCGAAGGGTTGAAAGGTTCCCCGTTGAGCGTCCGTTTCGATCGTCCGGTACAGTAGCGCGGCCAGTCGATATGGAGAAACTGTGATGACAGTAAAAGGACTAATGTAGCTGAATGTGACATAGGGAACTGGACTACATGAGCATAGGTTGGATTTACGGAAGATAATAGGGACGTAGATATCAGTATTGCTGTCCTTATCATCGGCACGGTACATATAGAGATATATACTATTTCAAGTATAATACGAAGGAATGAATCAAGCGGTGCATGTCCCGGGAAGTGCGTGATATGGATAATAATTGAGAATGCATACAGTGTTAACGAATTCAAGCTGATCAACGGGAGGTAGAAGATCCGAGACGGAAAGTGTATTGGTTCGCATGCAGATGTATTTTTCTGTCAACGTTAGAACGAACGATTCTGGCGAATTATAATATCTGTACATAGGTGCAACTCCTCGGTTGAGGCTATGGCTCCGTTTTTTTTATAGTATTTTGACGTCATTGGCGTAATTGACTGATTAGAAGGAATTGTTTATTAGCTAGTGACGTCGACAATAAGCTTCTGCGATTATGTCTGATGTATAACACTGTGAGACTACCGGATGATGAACAACCATAACGCATGTATCTTTGTAATGTTTCTACTAAAACTGAAGAGCGATTTGAAACGATTGAATTATGTCAGCTCTAGTTGATTAATTGGCTCATTGCTTAAATGGTAGTTTGTGTGCATGTGTATAAAATGAATAAATGGAAGACCACTACGTCTCAGAGCGGTTGTCAAAACATGAATAACGATTGTGGATAACAAATAAGCTGACCGATGATATATTGATTGTGTCTTTAAACTAAGTACATTTCGAAATGGTATACTTTGAGAGGGTATTAGCAAAGCCAACACGACGAGAAGCCAAACATTGAGGTGCTAAAATGAAAATAGAGGCAGTGAAACGGATACGTTATACGCATCGAAAAGAAACCCGACGCAGAAAGCCCTTATATTATAAAAAATAGACAAATTTGTGTTAGTTTCTTGGCTAAATATGGATCCTGATGGCTGCAGAGGTGATGTTCTATCCCCTGTTTCTGTTTAATAATAGGCATTACTTGAACAAAGTAAAACGTGGCATGTAATGTTTTATTATCAAAGTATTTGATTTGGAATGCTTGCCGCAAAGACTCTGCTTGATGTGGGTCACAAGAAGGTCCACCTTCCACCATAAAAAGAACCGTAATCAAGTTTTAACTCATTAGAGACACTGCCCTATCAACCCACAGCATATCTCAACCGAAAAAACTTGACATTTTTGTCCAGGTTATACCCTGGGCAACTAGACAGCAGAGCTTACCACTACTTCTTCACCTTGACAATTGTTATTGATCGTTCCGACAAAGAAGCGTCTATTTGCGGACACAGATATTGATGAAAGAATGTGCAAAAGTACGTGCAAATGTGGAGGAGTCATTTCGCTTGCATCGGGGCGAGGTGCTGTTTTGGCAGAGCCGAGCTTGGAATAGTGAGAGTTTGGGAAAATGCGGAAAGCCCACAACGGGGACTTGCCGGGGCTAAATGATGGCTAGGTTATCGCTAGAGTTGTGTGAATAGAAAAAGCTGTGTACGTTAAATATGATCTCAATAGAAGTCAATATGAAGGCGGTTGGGACGGCTTCGAAATAAACGAAAAAATAAATTTGTTTCAACGACTACTCATTAGGTCATTGAGTTGATGCTATGGCATCCAAGAAAGCTGTCATTGCCATTTTGCATTCTGAATAAAAGGGTTGAAGTTGTCTATGTAAGGTTTTTAACTTTATTGATTAGAATCTGCCACATTACAGTACACAGAATAAAAAATGTAATTAAAATTCAATTCGTATTTCCCAAACAGAACACGTCTAGCTTTACATCTCGTTAGATTACGAAACTTATTTTTAAATGCAGCATCTATACCAATATGTTGAGCCGGTGAAGATAGTTTTGTTTGCAACAAGTTAATCGGTATCACACTGGCAAATACATTCAAATACATTACTAGATGCAAATATATGTATAATGTGTATACATAGTATCCATGTAATTTTATTAGCAGCAAAAACGCAGTTACAAAGATCATAAATGATCTAAATGCGCTGAGCATCGTTGTATTAGCTAGTTTTTTGAAGCCGCTCCCAATCCACTAAACTGATATTACAACAACTACTAAGTACTAAAAGATGAACACAAAATATAAAGCTACAATTTAACAAGAAACAACGAAGTAATACTATAGTATTTACATATGAGGTTATTTTTTACTAAAATCAAATTGTACGTCATTGTTACTCCTCAGTGAATGGTAAAGGTGTCGGCTATTTATGTACAAAAGATAATTTAATAGCAACGAAATAAATAAATGCCATATTACCATGATCGTAATCAGGTAGTTAAATTATTTTAATTAGTCTCATAAACGCAGCCTCCGGGTGGAAATATCACATATATGACTGATTAGATTAAGAGACATAAATACATTTAAAGTTGAATAGAACGATTATGTATGTATATATTCTATATATGAGAAATCATACAAATTCAAATCTTCATTTGGATAAAAAAGCAACATCTGCATAAAAAGTAGCAACTTCATCAAAGAGACTTCACCGTGATGGTGGATGTTGAGAATGGATATTGATTAACTGAAACGGGAAGAAAAATGAAATCCATAAGGATAATAAAATCTAAAATAAAATTGAAAACATGAACAAAAACGATAAAAGAATAATGAGAAAAGGAGAAACCAAAAGTTAATATGAAAATAAAAAATGTTTGAGTTAATAAGATAAATAGTATCTTACTCAATATTTTAAATACTAGTAGGTTTAGTTACTTCTTTGTATAAGAAACAAACCGAGATATTTGGTTGTTTGAGCCGTTGCGACTTGGCTGATAGTGAAACATGTAGCAAATATAAATAATTAATTACGCATTGGACTTAATAATGGCCCATTATATGAAGATATTTTTAGGACGTTATCTGAAGAAAAAAAATTAGTAAGAATATAGGAACTATAAGACATCTGTACAACATATTTTTACCGAAAAGTGATATCTAGAATCTGCACGGATATTTTCTTCACAAATAAGCTTTATTTACAGTAATACTGCTTCTTTATTTATTAAGTTAGAGAGTAAACTTAAAGAAGCGACCCATAGCTCGGCTCTATCCATGAGCTGTATGCAGTCACGCTACAGTTTGCTACCGGGGCCGGATTCAAACAGAATTACTTCATTAACTAATACATAATATGATTCAAAATTATAATGATTTAATATCAATATATAGACAAATGCCGCTTGTAAACTAGCCTGGGCGCTTTTCGCTCTACCAGAAACTGGTAGTAACTGACGTTATTATATTGGCTCACTGGCCGAAACTCGTGTCGATCATCTACAACAGATTTATTTTAAAAGTATTAACTCACGAGTGTCTAACACATCTAGACGTGTAAAAAACCTCAAGAACGTTCTTGTTAACAATAATATGTATGCTACTGTTGAGTGTCGTACGATACGTTTCTGAGAGGCTATTGTATTAATTAGCGCGCAGTTCCTTGAATCTCGAGTAGTTTAACGGTTTAAGAAAGTATATCACTTTCACTAGAGCTATGTTTTCGCTCAACAACTGATATTTACTTTTGTTTAAATTGACTTTTTTGCAGAGAACAAATAATAAACTTTTTTTTTATATATATTCTAGAATTAATAGTCGGCAAGAAAAGCAGTTTTAAGGTGAGTTCGGCTAATCTTGTGTTCGTTGTTTTGTGTGCCAACAGTATGTTTTGAACTAGACCTTCGCGTCTCTTTTCAATGGTAAATTCTACGTTTGCCTAGTAAGCTTTCGCAGTAGTTATATTATGAATTTTCTCGAGATATGGTCAGAATCTCAAAAGCATCAAAAGGACTTAGAAAGTGTATAAAACAGAAAATCGACAAACGATTTTTCATTTTCATGGGAATTCTTCGTATACATATAGGAGGACTATTGCCCACAAATTTGAGATCACGTAACAGATGTTTTTATGCTTAATGTAAGAACGAGTAAAAGTTAGGCACACTTCATACCTCCGTTGTGAAACTACATAATTTTTAGGTAACAACACGACTTACCTAAGCGTTCAGCACTGTCAGGTTTACCACAAGATTTTTTAGCTGCTATCCGTAATTAGAAAAAATTAAACCAAAACTGTTTTCGCTGTGACAAGAAACGCTGTCAGTTCGAGTTGTGGTGTATAGAAAATGCTTACTTAAAAAATTTGTGAATACATTCAAGTAAAGCAATTTATGGCAAATTAGTATGTTTCGCCTTCTTTTATTCCTACGCGTTCTCATAGGCCTATGTTTTCTTGTTATTGACTCTGATTTTGTGCAGTGCCTATGTATTGGCAAAAACGCGGTCTTTAGGCTTATAAATTGATTATAAATGAAAACTTCATATATTATTTTCATTTTTACTCTTTTACAGATATCTTTATAAGATGGGGTGGTATGTCTAACTTTGCGCACCCTAAGAAATGATCATTCCATAGTTCATTTAAAATTTTTTTCCGTGTAGCCTGTGTTAGGTGTTACAATTATTATTAACTATATTTCTGTGGTACAATATATCATGCGATTTACATCGGTTTTTCGGCTATCCCAGAGAGTATACATGGCTATTCTGATACATAAGCTAGCGATTTCTCAAGATCCTACAAAGCAGGCCATCTAGTATTGAAGAAAATTCCTATACCAGTTGTTGAGATACTTCAGTGTATCACCGGTCGCCACGTATACCTTATACACACTTGCTGCTGCTGTTGTCTAAATGCTTGTGTTCTATGTAGTACATAAATGACGTTTACTTTTATCATTGGCGCATCATTTTGATGCAAAGCAGAAACAAAGCATATAATTTTTCGAGGCATTGTCCAAGCGGATTTATACATTTATTTATACACACACTTAATTTTTTAATATTTCCATATAAAAGAACAATAAAGATTATGTTTTAATAAAAATAACAAATAGAATAGTATTACTAGGAAGACAAGTCATAACGTGTGATAAACAAAAATGTATACATTGTTTGCCAAACTTACAGACCACTATACCTAGAAGGAAATCTAGTAAGCATCATTTCCAATTTTAACATCTTTTGCTTTATCTATCATTGATGTTTTTTTACTTCTTTCTGTCCTATTTAAACTAATGGCTCAACCGGTAATTTACAAAATAAACTTGTCTCCAAATATACCCTCTTCTACTGTACGTAGCAAAAAAAGGCAAACAAAAAATGTGATATACTGAATCTTGATAATCCTTATTTTCTTTAGAATGTTTGTCTTGATTGTGATTTCACATTCGTCAAATCATGAGTTGCGAACAGGACTGTTGAACACTGTTGGTGCCGCAAGCTACATGACGCCGCGGAAGTTTTCCATCACCGCTATCACCACATAATCCGTACCCATCACCACTGCAGTAGATACGTAATTTTCACGTTGTTTATATGCATGCATTTGCACGTACCCAAATCGAGGCAAGTGCCTTGTTGATCCATTCATTAAATATTGAGGTGTCTCCCCTATGCATCATATGAAAATTTGTTAATTCTCCTACTGCGCTTAAAAGTGGTGCTATACTGAGATTACGACTAGTAGTGGCTCGATGCGGATGGATGGCGCTGGTGGCCATCTGATCACAATTTAATACGATAGTAGTTGCAAATGTAGGTGTAGCCTGAATTTCGGACGGCGCCCCCGGACACACCGATACCCTAATATTTGCGGCTTCCTGAGAGAGAAAAAACCGTAACACATCTTTGTTCCCTTATTTTATCCGCGCCTCATACGATTAGTTCTACATCATTATCATTATTATTGTTGCCATTTCATTATTATGATTATTTTTACCGTCACGTTACCCATTCTCAGTTTTTTCTCCTTTCGCTTTTCCCTTTCTCTCTACATATACGCCCATTGTTTGGAACATTCACAGCATTTGATACCAACCAACAGAACTTGCTTCATCTCGGCCGTTGGCAAGTGGTAGCAGTAATAGCAGCTCATTAGATAGTGCAAACGTTTGCAATCATTACAATCAATCAGACGCATTCACTCGAGTGACTACGGGAAGAACGCTTGCTGACTTGCGCAAGAGAAAAGGTAGGGGCACGCGATCAAATGACAATTGCATTTCATCTCCTAGCAGAGCTGCTAGCGCATACGATAGTCATAGGTTGCCTTCATTTTCGACAGTTCACCATTGAAATCCACCGAAATCTTCATGTCGAGGTCACGGTTGTTGCGAGCGTTTGGCTTCATGCTAAATGTTCCCTCGATCACGTCGCCATGCTTCACGACCATGTAGTCCTCAAGGTAGAACACTGTCTGCTTCCAGTGCGTGTACGTCGAATCGGGACTGGTCGAGAAGCCAATTCGAGTGTGACTCCGCGAGAATTCGACGTTGAAGAACGCCACCATCGCATGAATGTAGTCGTCTCGGAAAGCTCGCACGGTCCACGGCGACTCGAAGTCGAGATCAGCCTTTTGTACTGTATAGAGGTCAATCTCTTTAATGAGTGACGACGTTGTGCAGACCTGCTTTTTGTCAACGACATCGACGAGCGGTTCAGAGATAGCCACTTGTCGCATACAACTCATATCAAAGCCATAGACATCTTCCCACCAGTTGATTTTCTCATCTTTGTACTGGCGATCTTCGATGCCGCACAAAAACAGCTGTGCTTTGTCAGGGAAAAGCGCGCCGCCAGGTGCCAGCCAGCGGTCACGAGCATGGAGTACCGTATCAAGCATCGATTCGTAGAAAAGACAATAACCCATCCATTCGGAAATAATGATATCCACCTGGAAAACAGAAGAAAAATTGGAAGTGCTGGCGGCGGCTAATATTTATGGTCGATCAAGGACACCATGGTTCTACGGAGCGTCTATCGCAGATTACTGTTAGAGCCAATGACCTGTTCAAGTAAACAGCATTATCTACTCAATCCACTAAATGGCACGATATGGGCATTCTGAAAGCCGAAAATGTAGGGATGGGCTTTGCCAACGAAAGGTTTGTATCACTAACCATAAACAAGAAAAATAGCAGCAAATATTTGTAAAAGTTGCTCTGACATGCTAAAAAGCCTCATAAATCGACGAACAAAGGTGTTCATGCTCGCTTAATAACCGAGACTAATAAAAGTAGTCCAGGCTTACGGAAGACTAAAAGCAATCGAAGGCGATTTGATTAGACAAAACAAGTAATCAACAATCAAAATACTTCCGTTTGACTACTTGTTACTCGGTGGCAGCGCATGTGTTATGATATTGTTCCACTCATACAAAACCGTAAGGTTACGTCTACTACAAGCTATATCTATGAAGTGGTCATTATACCTAAAATAATATATTCATAATAACGGTCGTTAGCCTTAATGGTGTGAAATAAATAAAAAAAAATCAGTAGGACCCACAAAGGACTATATTCACATGTATGCTGACATCTAAAACGCGCGTATAACAACTCAACTGACACGAACCTTTTCAATTCCGTCGGGCAATTCGTCGATTTCTTCTACCTTGCCTTTTACCAGTGTTATAATACTATCCAATCGATTCAATTTGACGATTTCGCGTGCGTGCTGAATGATGCCGGAGCACTCTATTCCAATGACCTTTCGAGCACCGGCTTTAGCTGCAAACATGCACAGTATTCCCGTACCACATCCGATGTCAAGAACCACCTGACCAAATAGAAAACCTGTTTACATTCGGTTGTCGCACTAGAAGGCTAACTTTTTTTCATGATATACCTATGGTGATTTCGGTTAATAAAAACAAAGTCTGCACTGTTCATTATATTTGAAGTACACGCACAGTGCTCGGCTGCAAAACTATGTGTAATGTATTACAGCGGCGTAGGTTTTAAAAGGTCTGTTCACAAGTGTCTTTGGAAATTGCATGTTGTAAAGTGCCTAAAGCTACTTCTGATGAAAATAGCACAATTACGAGAAGCGCCCCCAGGGGAAGGGGAACTACTAGAAGGATAGTCTAAATAGAGTTGTTCTACGACTATCACTAGTCTATTCTTGTGGTATTTAAAGAAGAATAATCTAATTAGAAATGTACAGTGAGTAAATAATATTTTTAATTTGTGATGTATACGTACAATCGTCAAATCGGAAGTGTACTCTTGTTTTCAGAACTGCAGACGGGACTGTTCGATGTAATTTGAAAAACACCTATTCCACAAAAAAAAATTCGATTTCAGCCTGATTTGGAGCCTTCAAATTAGAATAGCGCACCTTACCTGTCAATAAATTTAATACTTTGAGAATGGCAAGGATTGCCACTACGATGTACAAATATCCAATATAGGTCCAATATAAACTCCAAGTTGGGAAAATTACAGTAGTCAATTAAAATACTTTACTAACTCACTAGTGGCTACCACATTTTAGCTTTCAGTAATAAGGCAGGGGATCTGGCAGTCACGTCAATCAAATCGGAACTCGAATTCGATGGCGAAATATCTGTCTGCATATGTCTCTGTAGGGCCAATGCCTAATATTAAAAAGGCGTAATATTAAAAAAAGTAGCTTCACTGGAGAATTCGTCAATCCTTGACTGTAAAAACTAGTTGAGTGGGTGAGACTCAAGCTCTTTTAGATAAAAACGCGTCCTTCGAGCTTGTGCTCACGTTGCTTTTAAACAGGTGAATAAAAATCGTTTGTGCTTGAGATGACGTCGCTAAATTTGCCCACCTGGTACAACCTACAACGATATTTGCAACGCGGTAATGACTTAAACTAGCAGATAACCTAAGAACAAAGCTGTTTGCTTTTTGGACAAGCATGTGCAGTACATAAACGCTCATCAGTCGCTTCGACACGAAATGCACGCGTTCATATAAATTTTGGCGCGGTGAAAACTGACTCACTACTTACTGTTGCTAACAAGCTATTCTAGGACGTACACAAAATAGTTGTAACAGTCCGAAATCGATATCAATAACAAACTTTCTTCTATTGCCCAATGGTATTTGTCGCAAGCTCATATAAATCCAAAAAAACTAAAATCCTCCTTTGTCATACCCAACTCCCACCTGAACAATAACTAATAGTAACCAACCTTGTTTTTGAAGAGATGCATATTCTGGTACATCGAGTCCCGGTAGGTGCACGTACGCACTTCGTCTTTGAGCATCTCCTCGTGGATGCCGAAGTGCGCGTATGAGTCGAAATAGTAATCGGCCGACGTCATTTCCTCAGGTTTATCTGGTAGCTTGCCATCTTTTAAACCGACGTGAGACGGGCTTTCGTCGTTATTGATTCCCGGTGTAACCACTGGCTCGGAACGGCATTTAGCGCACAGTTGTGGAGAAGATGTGTTAGTCGCCCCACCATTAAGACTTTTTGATGGCGAGGACATCTCTGAATCGATGCTCGCAGTGGCGGCTGTAGACATGTTTCGCCTATTTGGCTTCACGATTTTTACTTTTCCCTTTCCTTGCTTTTTCTGTTAGTAAATCCTTCGAGTACGTTGGCTGTTAACTCTGTCGCTGGGGTACGGTGTGCGTGTCAGTGCCTTTCGTGTTGACCGATACCCCTGCCGAGGTGTTACTGTGGTCTGCACCTTAGTAAATCGCAAATAGAGCGTCGTCGCGATGGTGTTAGGAGCTAATTGCTGTTATATCTCCTGGTCGAGTGGTTGCAATTGCTTTTTTTCTTTCATTAAAGAAAACCTGCGAGAGTACAAACGCAGCTAAGTTTCGGCCAAACAAGGACACGATGAGAAAGAGACATAAACAAACGAGACTGAGCTAAAGCCGGCGAAGGCGACACACAGCGTCCTCTGAACACTGGCCTCGGACAGCGGTATCACACGAAGTTGCAGTGAAACAGGCAGTCGTATATTTGCGTGTTTTTGCTATCTCACTCTTTAGCAGCGTTCGATAGCTGTTTTTCATGCGAGACAGCACGGCATACGAACCACGCACGCACTACTGCCACTGATACGTACACAGAGTCGGTCGGTCTGTCTGTCTGTTAGCTAATAGGCAATAGTAGTCCAATTGGTGGTCTCACTCGTTGCAGCGATCCGTCGTACGTCAACAACTAGGACGAACGAACTAACCACGCGCTAACGGCTCGCTATTTTGCTACCCTGCACGCTCTCGTCGTCAGTGAATCGGCTGCCGCAATAAAGCAGGCGGCCAAACAGCCAGCGCAAAGGAGAGAACGACGAAGACAGAGTTTGGCCCAGTACGAGAGAGAGAGCGTGGGTTTGAGTCGAACACAACAAAAGCAGACGACATATACTGATGATAATAAACCAAAAATTGCGTCGAGTTAAAAAATAGTTGGACTGTTGTTTTGAGAACAAGGAGCAGTGGAGAATAAGATGCCGAACCCCATTAATTTGCATACGGATAAAGCAATATTGGGATGAAGTGAGTGAGGGAATGGGAAGACAGTCGGTGGCTAAAGACACAGACGACGATGGGTAAAACAACAATAACACAGTAAATAATCTGGCTAAACTTGCGACGGCTGAATGAATGAATTGCTCAAGGACAGTAGGTAAGTTATATTTCGAGGTATGGTGCATTCGTCTGCCGCTGGGAGCGTATGTTAAGTGGTGTAGATTCAAATCTCACGCCACTATATTTTCAGTCGCTCAAAGAAGCTCAATGTAACTTTTAATACGGTTGTGACTTTAAATTCGAAAACAGACTCAGCAGTGTTTGAATAAAATAGATAAGCAATAAATAAATGACGACCACAGCGAGAAATATTCTATTTACGTGTAATGCTCCAGACAGAGTGTGTTGATATATTTTACGAAATACATTATTCGCTTAGCCACAATACAGATGTTTACTTAGGATGTACTCAACTTTTTTAAGCGAATACCTACCATTTCTATCGCTAGTTATCACCATCCAATTGAACGACGAATTTGCTCTGCATAAGCTGACTCCACGGTAGATGCTAGATTTTAAATAAGATCCTGGACGTTTAAATTCAAAATAATAGAAGCAATGTGTGTATGCATTTATATATACTCCAACACAAAAATGATCAAACACGTGCTTGGTTTTATGAATTTACCATCAAGTATCTTATTTTGGGCATAAAGCTGTCGCCTGCAATCATCGGTTTTTGAATATAGGTCCGAAGTTTCACGCAGCTGAGGGAACTGTTTATTTGGCAGCGGGGCCTTTCTTCGCACATTGTGTATATTCGCGGTGCCAGCAATTACACGCTAATCCACTCCAATGAGTTGCTTAATCTGCGCTTGTCTTCGTTTAAATTCTCTGATCCTAGCGAATTTCTTAACAAAAACTTATGATTTTTTTTCCTTTTTTTTTCGATACTTTTCTTAACGATAGATATTGTTGAGAAAAATTCAGTGTTTATTAACTTCATTTAACTTTAAATACAGCGCAATGGATTCAGGAAGGATAAATTATAATGAACAATAACACTTATGATGAGTGAGCTCGTAAGTTTTTAGTTATGAAGTACCATGCTTCAGTTTACGTAATTCGACACAATACGAAAATACTCCGACATCACGGGTAGCTCCACTACGAGGTAAGATTTAAAAGTGGCGCCTTTTCGACCATTTGTAGTGTGTCCTTACTGTATGAACACAGTGTTAATGATAGATTTGTAGGTAAAATCAGTCAGTTGGTCGATTCAAATAAGTGTCGAAAGTTTTTGCCTTTTCCAACGAACTGTCAGTAACAAAAACTTATTACGGCTAATCGTAATAGTGACTTGTCAGTGCATATTTTGTTTACAGTTCGAAAATGAGAATGCTGTCGATTTTTCTCGAAATTATATCATAAAGACGCAACGTTGTAAAAATCTTATAAGTTAACGACGTGAATCACATTTTTTATTTAGATTCTTCGAAAATCCACATAGACTCAAATGTGAGTGATAGTGAAGTGTCGCCATGAAAGTGACAGCTATTATTATTGCAATTTTCAATAGCACAAAATTAGCTGCCGCACTCTGAAGTAGATTGTGGGGAATTCTGCCATCAGTGGCTTGCATTTGATTGAAGTGGTGCAATGAACGGCTAGACTTCATATTTCCTATTTTTTGCCAGTGCGTTTACGCAATCCGACTGAAACACAACGATTTTACAGTGCAGAGTTAAAAACGACTTAGCAAAAGCATTCCCGTACTCAAAAATATTCCTGCTTAAATTGAATCGGTAATTTACTGTGTCCCCAACACAGAAATTATGCAAAATGTTTAACCACTATCCGTTTAATGGGCAATCAATAAGAAAAAAGAACATTTTGTTCAAAATTATATGCGTTTCGGCAGTACAATATAGTGAATCATTGGCGTATCCATTAATACAAGTGTACTTAACTGAATGGTGTATCTATAGATTATAAACTATGGGAGGTAATCGATGCCATTGGGAACTTTGTGGAAGCCTGAACAATTATGACAAGCAAACATTATTGATATACTATGTTCAATTGCAAACGATTGGTTTTTTGTAAATAAAAAAAATCTTGATTTTAAGATTTAGTGTACATAGTCTATCGTAGACACTGAGATCGGCTTACAGTTGCTCGTGTGTGTCATATATTAACACAAATTATTTCGCAGATTATTCACGAATATTTCGTGACAAGAATATCAAAAATATCATCTTATTTCGATAAATGCTGACTTCTCTATATATATATAAATATATTCTGACTTGTGATTGCTTGCTTGTTAGATGGCCTCCAGAGGAGCGGCCTTACAGGTGCCAGAGTCCCTCAAGCCTATTGCTCCCTACATTCGAATCGCTGCTGAGCATGATTCTAGAAATCCTGTCATCGCATACTGGTGTCGGTTCTACGCACTTGCCACTGGGTTAAAGGTACTCTATCTTATTCATTTCTTTTATGATAAGGTTTTATCCAAAAATATTCACTGCACCTGAATATCTACGCGTTAATCTTTTTGACAAATAGATATGTAAGAAGGGCTATACGTGTCCCTCGATCCATTTTGTAACACAAATATATACGGCACATCATAACTATTGTGACCATTATTACGATTATTATTTAAGATGAACAAATCTTTGGAAGCACGGGCCTACTTGGCTGACCTTATGAGTTTTCTCGAAGAAATGAAGGCGGCAAACCGACAGAATGAAGCATTCACCAACGATATTATTGCACAGAGTCATATCGAAGCGCATGCGTTAAAACTGTTCGCATGGGCTGATCAACAAGACAGGTAAAAGCTACCTTCGTTAATTCCACGTTTATTTTTTCTTACCATCCCGTAATACTCGTAGTAGTAATAAATGTGCTATTGTGTAAGTGTTTTCAGTAATAGATGGGTTTAATCTGTAGTTCAATCTATAAATGTTCGGTAGTCTATGTTTCTTTAATTCGATTAATTTTATCACTAAATTGGTAAAACGTATCTGTCTAGAAAAACCTTATTAAGTTTTTGTCTTGAAACGTGTGCTTGGATAATCTTAAACCGTTTTTCGTAAACATCTAATTTAGATTTTTAAAACGGATTTTAGAACATACTGAATTCTAGTATTTTATCGAGGAAAAAGTATCACCTTGATTTTTTTTATATTGCTTGGTCATTTTGTTGTCGTTATTGTTGTTGCAATCGAAATCTCGTTTTTCAGGAATTCAAATTTTGACAAGAGCGTAGTCCGGGCATTTCATGCGGCCGGCTATATATTCGAAGTGCTGAACAATTTTGGCGAGCTTGGAGAAGAAACCCTTCGTATGAGCAAGTATGCCAAGTGGAAGGCCGCCTACATACACAAGTGGGTGAATTGGGTCATTGTAAATCTATTAAATAATTTCACGGTGTCAAATGTTAATGATCAGCCTGTAGCGAATAGTACGAAAATCTGTAAACGTCTGATTAATATATTAATAGGAAAATATGATCCAATTGGAGGATAGATAAAAAGATTTATTAAATAAACTTTCAAATAAAAACAGGTCATTCTTCGTTAAATATGTCATAATTGATTTACAGTTACAAGCGGTGAGATCACGGAAATTAATAAAAATGTAGCATTTTACAATTCAGTCTATGTTTATACTAGCAGAAAGAAAGGCGTGTTCATGAACAGCAGCGTTTCTTGGTTTATCGCCAAATGGTTTTTATTATGCATATAAAAGTTTATTCAACTCTAAAGTAGGCTGTAAGTCGTTTTTTAAACTGCTGGTTGTGAAATGCAACAATAATTACAGGTGCCTCAAGGAAGGTACGCAGCCAATACCAGGTCCATTGAGAGGCGATGATGAAGGATTTGAAGAAGATGGTACTGGACTTTCAAACTCGTTATTTCAGCAGCCGGTACGCACTTAGGGAACACTAGGGGTGACTGAGCCAATAATACTTTTTTATATAGTTTTAAAAGACTACATAATTTACGTTAACTTGGCACGTACAGCATTAAGCTTCAGCTTCTTGCCTTCACATATAAATCTGATACTTTATAAGATATATAGGTATAATTGACATAAAATAATTCACCTATATTCGGTATCTATAGATCCTATGTTTTTATCTCTAAGAAATAGGGCAATGGCATCGTCCTTTACTAATAAATCACCAACTGTATTTTGTAAAATTATGAAAACACTCATTAGATTCACGAAGGTCCTAATGTTTTCGTCTTAAAATGCGTTCGCATCCATATTGGCGTGCGAGACATATGGCAATGAAAACCGTAAGCCAACAAAAAGTACACTTCATTATACTAAATTGGAGAAACATATAACAATGGATAACGGAAGTCCTCTTAGCAATAGAAGGCTACAGACACCCCTTTTTTGACTTTAACGAGATATGAAAGATATGCGCAGATTAGAGATTGTTCTGAAGCAATTTTCATTACGGTTCACAGGACTCGAATGCAGAGACTCTTAATGCAGGAGTAGCCCCGACGCCGATGCCTCGTGGACAGGCTGGAAATATAGGATCATCTGGGGCCTATAACGTTGATATGGGTCTTTCTAATACCCCGCAGAGTCCAAGGCCGATGACAGATGAAAGCACGGGTGCCTTTCCAAAGTTTCCACCTGCTCAACAACCGCCAGCTCTAGGTAAAACTATATTTGTGAATTTTGGGCGATTCTAGTTATTACATAAGGATTATTAACGATGAATTCAGAAAAATGCGCGAGGTGATACCGAATCATACCAACGTGAGCTTTAAAGCGTTGGTTGAAAGCAGTAAGTACACTTTCGTAGAAAAGTGACGAACAAAATCCTGCTACCACGTTGTTTTTGTATTTCAATATATCACATTGCAGCTCCTCCTGAAGCTACACCTACATTCTCATGTCCGGTGGTTTTGCCGTCTGGCCAACTTCCCACCCTTGATTTGAGTCAGAGGATAAAGGCGCAAAAATACTGCAAGTTCGCCACAAGTGCCCTCACCTACGAAGATATACCTACGGCGGTGTTGAATCTGCACAAAGCTCTCGCACTCCTCACAACCGGGGTCGATCCAGAGTAAACATAGCATCGTGCATATTTTTTTTGTCTTTTCTGTAATTATAATATAATGTAAGAAAAAATGGACGTTTATCTGAATCCACTATGCGAGTCTAAAAGGAAAAAATGGACAGTGTGACGTTTCTGTGAGTCGCTCGAAGTGTCACCTTACGCATACATATAGACAGTCACAAGCTTGAATCTGTGAGCACTCTAAGGAGCGTAGATAAGACACGTTAAAAAAGAACTATACGAAGCGACGGATATGAGTAATAAACCCGTTATATAAAATAACGTATATTATTAGCTCATGATATAGTACTTTTCAGGTCACCCCGGAATAACCTATTTTACTGTGCTCATAAATGGGTAAAGTAGCTATATAAAATATATATGTGGCTATAACAACTGCGAGGTACACTGTATTGCGGTCAGCTGATTGCTAAAAAAAATAGTGATGTCTTTAATCAATTAAATAACAGTTTAGTCAATTGGCTAAAAAAATGTGCATTATTGCAATTTTAAATTGCAATAATAAATTGACTATTACGAAATTGAACAAAAATTTGAAATTTTTTAATACACTGTAAAACGCGTATGCAAAACGCTGTAAAGGATTGTTTTTTCGACTATGCTTACCTGATGCCATCATAGTTAACCCTTTTTTTATCGACCGTATAAATAATTTGTTTCTCGATATGTTAAACCGCTACGACAATCGGTAGGATTGAACTTACTCTTCGGTATGCTATATATAAGTGCTCTGTTTGTTTTGTCTATTGTGTAATATAAAAATTTCAAATATTCGCTATTTGTTTTTTATACCTCTATTTTCAAAATTTAATATGGCCATATTTACGTTAAAAATAGCGAGTTTTTCATTAAAAAAAAAAAGGTAAATCCGTAGTAGAAACAATAGTGAACTGAAAACATTCTTTCCCTCATGACACATCTGTCTTACAATTAATTTGTGCCGAAAACGTGTATGTCCGCGTAAGTGTACATAATTCGACAAGGTCATATTTATTTTATAGGTGAGTAGATTCTATTCTTCTATCATCCAAAATCAGAAGTTGGATGCGTGTGTTTATCGCTGCTTTTACTCGCGGGTGGATACGACAAGGTTTTTTTTATCAGGTGTAACCTGTTTGAGGTGACTGTACTATTTTTATATAAATCAGCTTTAATAAAAAATGAAGCTAGACGAGCAATAAAAAAACCCCACTAAGTGCCTTAAAGAAAAATTCCTTAGGTACATTCAGTTAAATTACCTAGTAGTTATGGGGTCAAGACTGGGTGGTTCTGAACGACGACGCACGATAACGTATCGGTTTATAAGTCATCCGTTTTAGCTCTGAATTACACAGATAACTTTTCTCAATGAAGCAACAGATATGACTTCGCATTCACAGGCTTTGGAATGCAACGGATGGAACGATTTTAATGTCGTTGATACAGGCGACTGTGGAAACCTGCGCTACACGTTCGACGAGCGTGTGAAATCAACTCAAATCTTATATGGAATGAATCATAGCTCCGCTGCTCCATCACACGTCGTCACCACGATTGGTCATAACTGGTTTAACTTTTGCAGGATTCAAGAAATAATTGAGTTCTCTTAAGACGTTTAGGCTTATCGCAATGCTTAGATGATCTAGGCTTTTAAGAAAGACATTATTAGATCGTGCCATTTATGAATTTTGAAAATAAATACGTAGTCAGAGTTTCGATGGGTGCGCAATTACTATTACATAGTTCAAGGTAGGTTTCTTAGCTCTGTGGATAATAATCTATGTGGTATTATTAATGGGTGTACAATTGCAGACGAATCGCATAAAGCAATTGCTGTTCAAGTGAATACCCTAGTTATAATAGGGTTCATATTTCAACCCAGTTTTGATATTACTAAATATCGTATATCCGTCTAGACAAATATAGTATGCGACTAGCAAATCGATTTATTCGAAGGTAATATTACTATCTGGAACTAATAAACAAATGTTCGATAAGGGTTTTTAACATAAGCAAAACATTTATTTTGTCCGATAAATTTTATCATGATAAAAGCATATATAAACGACGAAACCTGGCATTAGCCTTTCATATTTTAATTAATGCCTTGTATATCTAAACACCCGTACGCTGGCTGCACGGGGCCTGATGCAATTTTAATACATTACTCTATCTTATAAAGATATTCGCTGAGTAAGTGCTAAGAAGCGGTACCATAATATGTGAATAACTTTAGGCTTACGTAATATATCAACAAAAGGTGTTTGACCTCCTCAGTTTTTTCCCAAATTGGCTTCAAAACGCTTAACGTGGGAATATTTTGTTAAAGGGAAGAGTTATGGGACTACTTATTCTGGCTAGTTTTACCTTTGACAAGAAAGTCTTCCAGGTCAAGTTACATACGTAAACTTGCCTTTAGCTAATACGTTGGTATCATACGCTACAATTTAGAGCATTATACTTTTAAGTAACTCTGCCTTGTTCCCCTCAGTCTAGCTGAGGACGTCAATCTTGAGCGCGCGTTCTTTCCTAGATGATATCCAGCGACGACTTCGGATAGAGTTTTCTTCTTCTTCGGTCATCTTTATGCCGGGACGCGGGGGTAAAAACATCTGCTTCGATTCCCATTTCGCCTTGTCTACATAATAAAGAAGTATCTCTTTCTCATTTAATTCCTGTATGCCTTCAGCCCACTTGAGTTCTTCATCGCCGTTTTCTACGCAGCTAAGGACTTCAATGGTGCCGGAAATCCTCTTAATCGCCTCTTTCACGTCAGCTGAGGTGCATGTGAGGCTAACAAGAATCTCAGCAGCTGTGTTCCATGTTCGAGTGAGTGTGCGGAACTCTTGGAGGTAAACAATTCGATTATGACCTCGACTGAAACGTTCTTTTTCCGAAAGGACCTCAACGTACACTTCTTTGGCATCAAATGGATCTCCGTCAAGAATGATCTCAGCCGATGGCATTTTATCGTTTACTTTTCGCATACGTATTTTCTCCGCTTCCGGTGCATCATTCGGATAGAGGAGAGCTAACTTCTTTGCAATTATTTCGCGGATATCGGCACCTTTAGCTATCTTCGGGTACATTAATTCGGCTACATAACCGACGAGCGAGCCAGCTTCAGCCTCTAGACTTAGTCGGTAGACCTTAAGACGGCGCTGATTTTTAGAGATATTTTGGGATGGGTCGGTGACAATTTCAAGACGTTGGTCATCGAGCAACATTGAGGGAGCTTCTAGTTCGACCATTGATGGGCTTTTAAGGAAAGTCTGAATCTCTATGCCGAGGAATGGTTGCAGATGAGTTTTGAACTGTTCCATGGATATGCGTTTATCAACGTAAATACGCAGACTTTGCTCACCCGTCTCGTAGTCTTTATATGGCCATACGCGAAGGAATCTTCGGCACCATCCTGTAATCTCCTCATTTTGATTGAATGTACAATCTTTTGGGATGTTGGAATTTACGCATACCGTATTCCTAAGAGTATCAATGATTCCGTACATATTACTCTGGCTAAAGTTTTCCAGCTTGGCATCATTGTTGTCTTCAATGTCGAAATATACGACAATGCTTCGGCCTATTTTTAGTTCAGCGAATTTCGTATGTTTGGTATGATCGATTAACCGGATTTCTCCACTACTTACTTCCTCGTAGGCGATTCGCAGTTTTTCTATATCTTCCCTAAAATCTTCGGGCTCTCTTCGAAGTCGTTTCTCAATGCGGTCAGCGAGGTCTCTGAATGTGTGCTGAGAGTGTAGATAAATCCGGAACGGTCTCTTAACCTCTTCGTAGTTCAGATTAACTTGACGACAATTAAACGTATGCCCACCAGGAGTGTACTCCTCAAATGTTTCATCTGGATTACGAATCTCCAACAAAATGTCGCTCCTGTAGTATGGTTGCGCGTTGCCGAAGATTTCCTTTATTGTTTTATCCATTGAGCCTTCAAGTGATTTTTCTATGGCTTCTGAAGCCTCGTCGTAGAGCACTAGGCGGCAACAGTCATTCTCTACGGTAACTCCAAGTAGCGCTTTGATTGTGTCCATACTGTCACCAAGATTGGCATCTTTATCTACAACAAACTGTCTTTCGACCCATCGCCGTTTTTCAAGATGGTCGTGAAAAAGCTTGATGGTAATCATTTTCGAATCCTTCGCAGCTTTTTCCCTCATGATCTCATCCTCTTCATTAAGGCTTTTCCGAAGCAGCTTGAGATGTTCTGCAAACTCAGCATCAGTAACTGCCTGTACTCCAGTCTCACTCTTTTGCCTATAAATAAGCATGTAGGCATTAGTGGAACTCGAAAATGGACTACGGGTTTCCGTGTACCCACCCCCGCCGTAAGTTCTCCATACATCTTCGGAGCCCACTTTATGCACCTGGTTGTCGTTGAAACAAAACCAGTCGCTTTTGTGTCGAATATAGGCATAATAATGACCGCCGTTGGCACTACCCGAGTGCACTAGAACGGCGAAAAGATTATACACGTACTCTGATTTAGGTGGCTTCGACTCAATAAACGCGTTCAAATCGAGCTCCTCTGGGAATTCGACGCGGTCGTTTAGCTTAATTCTTCGCATTGTTAAATAGTCAAAGTCAAATCTCTTTAGCTGAAGGGTAAGAATTTTCGGAAAAGTGAGGAATTTCAATCCTTTTAGGGCATCACACTTTTTGTTGCATTTTTCGCAAAAATACTGGTTATTGCCGTTCAAAGTTTCAGGCTCAACGAATGCGTTGAGAGCTTCGTTGAGACTCGTGTAAACTTTATCTGAACCAAATGGTCGAACGACCAAGGCAATATCCTGGTAGAAATCCTGACGAGCACTCTCGTTACTACATTCTTGACACTTCACGTAGTCTTTCAGCGTACCTTGATAAAGACGTTCGATAAGGTCAGCCTGTTGACCACTTTTTTTTAAAGCACCTTCGAGTGCATCGAACATAACACGGCAAAGCTCCTGCACATCATGCTGTTGCCAGGCCTCGTGACTGTCCCAACCAAAACTACGAGTAAGGCTAATCGTCTGAGCAGCCGTACCTGGATAGCATTGCAGACGGAGAAACAATCTTTGTAGTTGACAGGGAATACTTTTAGTTGGATTTTCCTCTGCACTAAAATCACATGCGTACAGCGCATTTCGGAACTCTGGCGTGTAGAACAGCGTCTGCAAAACCGAATTCAGATAACACGTCATGGCCTGATTAACTAGGCCCGCCGGTAAAGCCTCCTCGTCGGAAACCGTCATCGTGACGTGCGAAACCCACTCTGTACACGTCTCTATAGGTTGGGTGATACTCCGTAAGCAGCGACAGATAGCTCCTTATTGGTGTAAGTCGTTTCTTCTGAGTTTCCTTTGGGATGTTTAGGTGCAGGCCGTAACGTCTGTGGCTATGGTGGCGATAGTGGGGACAGTGTCCGGCTTAGAAGGCGCACTGTTTGCGATCCTATCAGCCAAATCGACTTGTAGCTCATGCAAGAACGGCAAGCAGGGTCTGCAGGCTAGATGGCCTGCTGCTAGTCGGTCGGCCAGGCAAGGCGTCCTTCGCCGCTAATAATGTCGTCCGTTCTCCCATTTCCTTTATAGCCCAACCTTATAAGCCATATAAACGCAGTCAACTAAACCACCGGTTGGGGAGTTGCGCTTTCCAGAAGGCAGTAGCTGGCCCTCCCTTTGATGAATCTATAATGCTACTATGCGCCGTGCTTTACCAAGCTATTATCCAGCTATTACCCGAAAGCAAAAAGGAAAAGATGAAGCATCCGAAGCTAGCCCAGAGCTATACCATTGTGACCAAAACCGCTACCTAGTTTTCTCCACCCGCACTTGGCTTCCCGAGAAGACTCAAAATGACTAGATAGGCCTAAAGAAGAGAGACCGGGTAGCCCTCCGCTCGTTTCTGGATAAGAGCTACGAGTCTGATAGCTCGTAGGCCTGACACTATCTATACTCACACATTGAGAGCAATGGCGGGCAACTCTACATGCGATTGACAGTGACTGGGCACTACCAATGGGCTGGCCCAGTCGTCACACGACTCAAGGCGTAGGCCTTTTAACCACAGCACGTTACAACTATTTCGTGCTTACATCTATATATACTTTTTTTTTAGGTAAACACTAATCATAGTAACTATCTTAGGATAATTTTCATATAGAATAAATACCATGAAGTAGGGTAACTTAAATCATGCGGAGTTACTTTATACAGGACATGAATTTTTCGGAAAGCAATACTTGAAGTAGCTGTAACGCAGCCGGGAACAAGAACTACAATAATAGCTTTGCTATGTTTACGGATAACTCCTCTCAATGGCTCCCGGAAGCTAAAAAGTCTGGTATCTCGTGTTTGGCTTACGCATGCGTTAATATCATACGCACCAATCTTGTTGTCAATGTTTACTTTTCAGTGGGGTTATTATCTCCGAAATTATAGAGCTTATGAGTCGGTACTGCGCTACAACTAAGATTATGTATTATTATACATCGTACACTTACGCAGTGCAAAACACTTACAGAGCACGTCTTTTTGTGGTCGCAGCAGGGCACCTGTTCGGAATAGATAATCTATTTCAAGATAATCTAATTCCTATATAATCTATATACCATGCCGATATGTTACCTCCGATAATCGCAAATTCAGTTGTTTATATTGTAAACAGCTGCTGACTATTGTCCATTGATATAACGGTCTTATGTGCCAAGCGGAATATATCGCTTTGTGCGACTAATCGTGAAAAGTACACATTATAATATTTGTGGCACAATATAAACAGGCGCCATCTAAGGCGAAGGGTCAATGTCTTGCACTTCAACTGAACTCGGCTTCGCTTAGAAATGTCTTCGGCAAAAGATGGACAATTTTCTATTTGCATTTAGCGCTCAACTACGTATCCATGTCATGATCTATCAATGACGGTCGATTACTTAAATGTTTTTTCTCAAAGGCATTTATGGTTTTCGTCGAGCCTATTGCCGCATTGCGCCTGTGAAGAGTATGTTTCCTATAATTCCTATATGTACTATATGAAGTATAACATTACTTTTTATAATATTAGTGGCATAGGGGCCTATTAAACATGTGACGGCTCTATTAGAAATTTAAAGCCCCATAAATGGCTTCTTGTCAATTGTCTTCTACCTAATTCTAGCCAATCTTGCGGGACGAGCTGGAACACCTTATCCGAGAAAAGAAAAAATATCCGTTAGAGTCGCCTTGGCAAGCTAACGCTAAGATTTAAACAATTTCGCACCTTTATATCTAAAGGTGTCCAGCGGGCGTTTTGAACTCGATGACGACCGTGGAGTAATCACACGAAGTCGTCACGAAGGAAGTTCGTCCATATCTATTTGGCAGCATTCTAATCTGTACCTAGCAAGATAAAACAATGCCCCTTTTATAGAGCGAGAAAGAGGTGAATTGAACAAAAATCATCGATGAAAATGTGTGTACTTCCTATGTTGAAACGAAATGCTCATGTTTTTTTGAACGGGTTAATGCCGATCAGATCCAGAAAGTAGCAAAGTATATTTACTAGGCACAATTTATTGATAACCGTGGAGTGATAAAGCCAGTGATAAAGAACCTTAAAACTAAAAGGAAATCCATATAATAAGAAACAGTGAACTAATGATGACGGCACTTGGTGCGTTGCATAGACAAGAGGAAATCCAACATGAGGAGCAGAAATTTTTCAAGTTAGACAGAAATTTTCAAAGACTATTGAGCATATGTTAGGTGTATCGATATCATAGAACTTTTTTGAGAAAAATTGGGGCCCAAAATCATAGAAAATGTTTCTAATAACGTTGAGACAGATGCGATTAAGTTAACTCCAAGCGTATCAATATTTCTCTTAAGAAAGCTTCACAAATTAATAGTGGTGATTTCATTGATTCCGGGTGACGAAGAAATGCACGACAACTTTCAATTAATTTAATCATTTCCTGGCTACTTAATAATTTTCTGGCTGGTCTGTACAATTGCTGAAATCATATTTACTTGTCCATATTCAAGTTGCGTTATATTTTCCTAGCCAAACCGTTTGGTTTGGCTGTATGGCATATATATATATATATTTGGCCAAATTCGGTAAAAAACATGAATAATCAAACAAGTGTCCCTTGGCAATGAAGAGACAAGTCCGTGTTATAAATTACTCAATACATATTTCAATAATGATCTTTGTCTTATTACTATAATGCTATACAAATACGTAGTTTTCAGCATTTTTGTTTGGTACTAAATTTGCTTTAAGAATGTACCAAATGTTACCTGGTAGTTTTCATTAGACTTATTGTGTTTTAACCTTTAAGAATTTCTCGTTGACAATGATATACAGTTGACTACATGGCTCGCGGCCACACAAACTAAAGCCAGTGCCATTAGGCTTTGACATCAGTCAGTAACGGAGTAGGCACTTCATTTTACGCGGTCAGGTACGTCGACGCACACACGAAAATACTATTTGCTAGAATTGAGGAAAGAAACATTTCATAACATTGAATTGTTTGAATAAGCTAATTTTTATAAATGGAGTTTAATAGCAGTTGTCGTACATAGAGCTCTAAAGTAAGAAGCCGTAAAGTATGAACTGTTTAACTGAATTAATGTGGCCATCTTGTTCTATTGGACTTATTATCGTAATCCATCCATGATGAAAGACATTCCTTCGCAATGTAATGAATGACGCTTTCTTCAGCTAATTGCTACACTGATGCTCTTACTACGTTAACTTCAACGGTACTCCGTCGGGAGAAGTACGCCTTAATGTTCTGCTGTGATATCTGACGACCGTTATAACTGATGGCCTTGTAGTACAACTAACACTGGTTGGTGACTTGCGAACCAAGTTGGTGATCACTTAGATTTTATGTACAGGTTTATTTTCATACACAAATACTGTCTTACTACATAGAATAACATAATACAAATGATTATATTTCTCTCCAAATGTTCTTGGTTCACAAAAGGGCTTGGCTCTTCCAGGGACCACCTTTCAAAAGTGTCGATACTCGCTCTTCAAACGAAGAAAAATTCCTGCACTGGACCGCTTTTGCAAATTCCGTAATGCTCAGTTAAAGATCGTCGCACTTTGAAAGCCCTCGTTCATAAGTAGCTCTAGGAACGACACTCTACTGCAATGCTAAGTAAACCAAGATGAAACTTCAAACTACAATGGTACCATGTCATTCATCCGTATGCAACGTTAATATCATTGTGCGTTTTAACTTGTGCGCAAGCTCGCTGGTCTGTGTTAAGGAATAATACTAAAGTTACAGATTTGTTAGACACTATTTGTAAAGAAGAACGTGTTATGCAAAAGTGAGTCAATATAATTTTCCTTTGGGTACTACTAAGATAAAAGGTCCTCGAGAAGAGCTTTTGAGCACGGAATTAAACTAACATTTGGAAATTATATCTTTTGCCAGGGAACTTGGGAGTTAGTACATATGAGATTCCGCGCTCTTTTAGCTCAACGTCAAAAACCTTCGGTAATTCCACTCGCTGCACTTTACGTAGGCAGTCGTTTCAACGAGTAGAACTTACGTTAGCACTGTTAATTGTGGCCATATGTTATGAGATTGCGTTTCTGTATGGCTACAAGTATGGAGGTTGTTGCTACTGATTGCTGAATGCAAACAATCAGGATACAGGTAGTAGTACATCGACATATCTCTCCTAGATGCCGTACGCTGGCAATGTAATCTTAAAGGTATCCTAAAACAGCTTCGCCGCCATTTTAACAATTGCGTCGAAAATTATACTGGCGGGTAGGTCAATCGATGATAGGGTTCAGTCAGAGAAAAATCATAATAAGCGATAAATTCAAGCAACGTTACTGGGAAAGAAAAGCTTAGCGAGATGCAGGAAATCGAACAAGACACAATAACCAAAGCCAGATATAATCTATGTCCAGTTCTGAAGGTAATTCCGATCTCAATTCCGAAGACCATCAAGGTTCAATTTGCTCAGTTGGAGATCGTAAAAAGGCAGCTTCGCATCTTTGAAAATCATCTCTATCTGTAAAGGTCAGTAAACTCAAGGAGACCTGAAACGTATCAAGTGATGCACTTCCACAGCGACTTACTAATTTTGAAATAAATATAGCAAGGATTACTCGCGTCGTGATGCCAAAGCTTGTTATATCAAGGATAGAGTCAGGAGCATTGGGGGCCCTTGATTCTAGCTCGAAAAATGATGGCTAGCAATAGGCGTACATGCATATATACCTTCTGGTTCATGCACTCTGCCTTCCCACCGTGTACCATGTGCCACCGTCCAGGCAAGTGCAGGAGACAATAGGGCTATTGGTAACTGATCAATGTTAAAAACGAGCTTATGTGGCGCAGCCCTTACGATCGATAGGGGTTAACATATTTACGCTCTTGTTACCTCCTGCAAGTACCTACCTATACTTGGCTCATGTTGTAGACTGGATGAAATCGCTTTTAGAAGCATACAAACATATACACTCGTTTAGAATGAGAGGAATAGTTCTCGGCACTTCAACGTAAAGTGCAGGTCACAGTCGCTAATCCAACTTCATTCCGCCGAGAATTTTTTTTCTTTTTCCGTGGTTTGCGTTTTTAAGTTTGTTCCTTTTTTCTACGAACATGTGCACCGTTCAAGGTTTGCTAAAGCTGCAGCTTTACAGGCAAAATTGGCAACGGCACCTCTACATGTGGCATGTATGTAAACAAATAATTTTCCTTTAGAAACTCCCTAGGTCTTAATAATAGTAAGTGAAGCTTATCCTCGTATGCATATTGCTTCTGGCAAGACAAATTTTTCAAGTTACGTATTTTATACACATGGCGTTCTAAAATTCAGTTTCAGTTTAAATCTCATCGGACCCGTTTTTACATTAATCGAATATCGTGACGATACTGTACACTTCAGTGAGTTCCGAAAGTGGATCTAAATCAACAGAAACTTAAAACGTACCCAAAACATTACTTTACAATTCCTCTCAACGCAGAACATCTGACGCCTTTGGCACAGTCTGTACATACTGGGCAGCGTAAGTAACACGAAGCGTGGAAAACTGCAATAGCAATTTTTTAGGCTTGTAAACGATGGAATGCATACTGATGAGAACTTCCCATAGCTGACTATCAGTTACCTTTATTTTGGTGCCGATACAGCTGTGTAGCAACCATAAGGGTAGAGTATTAACATGACTAAAGAGGTCAAGCAAGAGGAGGTCCTGCTATATTATCGCACTCTTTGATTTTCACTACAGCATCGTAATATTACTATACGAGGATTCATACCTAATCCGTCTCACGCGGTCCTATTTTAGTTGCATTTAGTTGCATGGGACATAATTCCGTGCTGACAGATAAGATACGAAAACGTAAAACCCGTTGATATAATTAGTTTTCACGAATACCGCGCTTCAGTTGAAATGTCTGCTTCAACCATTAAAAATACGAGCTACGTTGATGTCGCTAAAGCTTTTATGGAGAAGACTAAATAGGACAATGGCATTGATTTTTTCACCCAATCCCTAAAACATCGAATCATAGCTCTTGCGTTGGTAATCTCTGTTATAACTTTTACTGCTAGAAGCTTACTTATCGCCTAAGACAGATCACTTTCAGTAGTTCATTTGAGAAATTCTGCTAACGCTTCGTACACTTTTGTCACTAGCCTTAGCATAATTACACCATTACATCCGTCCAAATTAGTTGAAATCAGTTACTGCCAAATTGCCACGTTTTTCTGCGGCACTGGAATCTAAGGATACTTGCCTGCTGATAAAAAAAAACACGCCTTATACAGGTCAGGTGTGATTTGTTACTGTTTGTTAACTGAGCACAGCTGTAGCACTTATTGGCATATTAAGAGTTTGTTACGCAATGACCTATTTCTGGTCGAAGTGTATTTGACATCGGAGCATTTGTTGCGACTATATTTTCGCTGTCGATCCAGCCGAATTACTACCATGAAGACCAAGATAACAGTGGATATGAACTTCAGTGCTTTATTACTACGCAACATTAACCGAAACCGCAACGTATGAGTTGTTATAAGCACGCTATACAGTGAAAAACACAAGCGACTCTCAAGGAAGACGCTAACAAGTCACAGGTATAGGGCTATTGCAAATTTAAAATATATTTATTTTACGTGGATTCAACGCGACTACCCAGATGGTGACCCGTCGTTTACTAAACATAGATGCCAAGTGCGAGAAGACCAAAGATGCTTCCGGCACCGAGAAACAGTGAAGCTGATATCGACATCAGGATCTCCTTCACGAACTGTCGCAGCCCTGTCTTTAATCGAAAATTTATTTAGAAGAAAGAGAAACCATGTGTTACATAGGTAATCAACGAGATAAGTCACTTAAAGTCTGGCTCGAAACTTATAGGCTGAAAGAAGACGATTTTGTTATGTATGAAACAGCAATGTGTTCTTTACGGAGCTTTTCGCGCCTGCTAATTCCAATCGAGTACACATACTTAAAACAATATAAAGCATGCATTATGTGTATGTGCTTTGGATGTTTCTTTATACCGTGTTCTTTGTATCGTGTTCAACTTACTTTTGTGGATCCTGCCTGTACCGCGAAAAACCACAAAACAAAAAACAACCCCATCGGCGTTAGAGTAAGCGACAGCAATCCGTATGATTCTTGCGTAATTGGTGGAGTGTAAGGGACGAGAGGTTTGGCATAAAACTACAAGAAACGTTAGAATATTAAATATACTTGATAGTCACGTTATCGCGTTTCTCATCAAGCCGATGGCTTGGCCTTTGCTTTGAGGGAGGCTGCATAAATTCCAGGCAACAACACTTACTACACAGCCTATTTAAAGGAAGTTAGTTAATTATAACTAACTTCCTTTAAATAATAATTGTGTTTCTAAACTCGTGCAAAGTAGACTTTTAAAGCAGTAATTTAAAGATATCTGCGCCTGCAGCTATATTCTAATAAAAATAGGTAAGCACGTCTGATACGCATGTAGGTATACAACCTGTACATGATGGTCTCATCTTATGAGGCTACCCCTTCAACCTCAGTAATGAATCATTGCGATGGAAATAATTGTTCTTCATTGTTAAAAAATCGATTCGAGTGAAGCCATGTTTTAAGCTGGATCCCAATAACTCCTATATTGCTTTACGTGTACTCGAATTTCCCATTCGTCGTTTTTTTTTTGTATATCTGTCTTTTATCATAGAAGAACCAGGGTTATCAAATAAATATTATATAGTACGTACACGCTTTAATTTAGAACAAAAAAAGTCTCACTTTACTGTCGACGATGTAGTCTCGATTTCAGCCAAAGAAAAAAGCGAAAACTCATTTTAATTCAATGTGAGAGTCCCACCCATGCGTATCTGGTACGTTTCTTTCCATTTCGCTTCTCATATAACTATCTCAGTGGCGAAAATATTGTGTTTAATGGCCTCGTTGGTCGGGGCACTGTGATAGATTCAACAGATAGAGATGAGTACAACTTACGAACTTGTCGGCACCCATTTTTGTTAGGTCAGTTCTGGTCGTTCAATGATACACTGAAAGAATACTAGGAGAGAGGCACAAACTGTCTCCGAGTAAAGGCTTTTAGACGCTTTCTGAGATTAATTCACAAACTGAGGTAAAGTGATGATCCTCAGACACAGATAAACACCACCCAATAGCAGACGTTTCTATAATAACTTGTTAACACGGATCTCGTCCTAATTAAGGGCTACAAAATGTGCGTGAAATCCGATCGATCGAAATACATAAAATGCGAAATGGAAAATATTTTAAAATTATATGGTAAATTATAGCATTGGAATGTACTTGCTTAATAATTGTACATGATATATCAGCTAATTCAGATGGCTAAATAAAAGAATGGACGCATTAAAGGAACGGATTTTGGCAACTGTTCATTCAACCAGTGAAAATATTTTGAAGACGATGTTCATTGAAGCATAGCCCCTTTGAGGTGTTAAACTATTAAAGGCTTTTTTTCTCATACGCCCTTCCGCTCTTTCCCAAGCAAATAATCGCATATAGTTAAGTCAATCTAAATCAAACTTACAGGATTACGTAAACCTATGGAGGAGTTTTCACGTATTCATGCTAGCAAACGGTGTCTTTTTCAATTTGCAATAAAATCAGAATACTGAGAACACTTTGTGGGCATACTTGGAGGCAGAAGCGTGGCCTCTAAAGATGATTCTCTAGGACGTGTCTATAAATTAGCGCTGAATAGGTTGTTCTGAAAGCCTGTGGTATAAAAAAGATAAACGAAAGATCTGTATAAATTATTTGTTTCATAACTTACCTTTAACAGAGATTTTTTTCTAATGTCGGTTATAAACTCACTCATGGCCTGACAGATCATGGAGTGATTGATGTCAACATTTAATTTTACCGTAAATGCATGTTCAAATAACTCAAGTATATGAATATTCAAAAAAAAAATCAAAATAAACCTCTATTGTAAAAATAGTACGAAATTCAAAACGTTTAGATAACTGAGCGATAATGTAATAAGCGTCATTATTTTTTTTTATATAATAACCCGATGTTCTAGGACATCTTAGACGCTTATGTGTAGGTGTCAACCTGAAACTTCTTCTTTTTACGTACGTTACACTTAGTAAAGTTCATATAATTTCCGAACTAATTAACCAAGAGTCCTTTTACGCCTCCCCAAGTCATTTGTAACGTAACGTTACTGGGCATTCATTTGTTGCTGTTGCCGGTAGCTGAATACTGATTCTCTTAAGTTAAGCTAGTTGGTTAGAATTATGCGCGACTGTTTTTTTGGCATCTTAAAACGGACCTCAGTCTTTGGCCGGGATCAACAATCACGTAAGCGCCCATAGAGCGACAACGATTCCACAGAGTTCTCTTTGCAATAAGCTCCACTCGATGAATGCGGCTCATTGTATTGCCATAATGGTGCTGCACACACCATTAGAAGCAAATGGACGTTTGATGTACTCTGCTCCAAACTTCCTACAATAGTTTAGGTGCCTCCAGTGCCTTTCGTCTATAAGGGGAAACACACGCACGTTCTATGTTCAGCAAAACTTCAGAAAAGTCTTGTGGATCCGGCATTCAATGGCGCCACCTAACGAGCGATTGCGCATGATCTAGTTAGATCGTTACACAACAGTTAGAATTTGTCCAAATCGATGAGATGACAATATTTTTTTACACAGCTCTGTCGTCAAGCTTATAATGTCCAAGGCGCCAATGTGAACGACTGGAGTGTACAGCGCCCAAGGTAAACGCTGCAAAACCTTACTAAGAGAAAAAATCGTCTCTGTTGGAGCTATAAGGAGATGCCACGTCCTTTTATGTCTCGTCTCAGGCTCTGTTTGATTACTATTGAAATGGAGAGTCTGTAGCAACAATTTGAGCATACTAAATATTAACAGCTAGGTGTACGTTGGACAGGCAAATATATATATATATATATATATATATATATATATATATATATATATATATATATATATTAAACACACTGTGAATTTGTTTTCATGATTACCCACAAAATTAGAAGTGCTTCCATTCTTTTTGCTGTGCAGGTGTGATGTGTAACGAAACAGACATGGGGGACAGAACAAGAAGACCAAAAAAATGAGGAAAGCAATAAACTAGACTAGCCGCGCACCGCCCTTTTTATTGAAATTAATCAGACAGATAATACCGAGCCGCACATTCTACGTGAGACATACTTAAACAAAGAATAAAAAATATTGCATACTTCTACGTTATAAAAACTGTCTCTTAAAGCGTGCTTGATGTAATAAAAGCTTTTGCGATGTAGCTTTGAAATTTGGCGGTGCCGTGTGATCAGTTTTTGTAGATAACATGATTTCGCTTTTGTATTGAAAACTGTGTAGGCGGATGGCGTAGACCTTCATTTAAAAGAGAAGCTATAGTGGCCTAGAAGTTAAGTTATGCTCCTCAGAAAGCTCTCGAAATGGCACATGACCGTGGAGGGACACAATTCCCGAACGGTATATCAGCATGACAGTAATAATCGTTTCTGTCTGAAGATTACAGTGAATGAAGCTTGCACTCATGAAATGTTTTGCTTCTGCATGCTGGAAGCAAATATATGTGTATCGACTCATAACTGCCCCTGAGGACCATTCGAATGCGCTTCCATTTTAGATAGAATGCTGCCTAGAAGTTCCGCGTACGTGACGCCTTGTATTGACAGTGGTAGCTCAACTACTTTGTTCTGCTTTGTGTACCGTGGATCCAACGTGTGCGTATTATTAAGTACCCAGTATTAAGTACTAAGTTAGTAAGGTACTAAGTGTTAAAACCCAGCTGACAGCGATTTGCGCGTTTCCTCTAACCTGCTCAAATCATTATCCAAATAATTCAACTAGAAGATGCATTCTAGTTTCTTTTGTTTAAAAATATTGTTGATTATTTCAGCGTAAATAAGTTCTTTGAATCACCTCCTAAATATAGTATCAAAAACCTCCCCTACCAGAAGGTCGAGTTGGAAGGGATCTTGGTGAATTTATCTATGTTTTTTCTCATTACGTTAGCCAAAGCCGACATCTGAACCGGCGGTGGCTGCATGTTCATAATTACCACGGCAACGTACTTAGAAAGATGTGCATTTAGCCATCCGGACTACGTCTTTATCCAACTTCGAATTAGGAACCTGCGAGTTGTATATATGTGAGTACTATGACTGCTTACGAATCTATAGTAGAGTTGGATGCTTCGTTGTATTAAAAAAAATCTTACCATTTTCCCAGTTGTAAATGAGCGAATAATCAGATAATACAGTACCGCATGTTTAATAGGTCTACGAGATTTCTCAAGGAATGTAGTGCTCGACTCTTACCAGCAAAAGCTCGTTTGCGAGCCCCGTTGCTGGTGCCCGTATCTCTGACAGTTTCATTTCCCTTTCCCGTTATGCAGGCACCGGTTGCTTCCAGCTCCGCAGCCCATCGCTCTCTCAAAAAAGATCTCGAGAGGCAGCGGCTGGACGAACGAAAGCGAACTACCCGATTTCTAGAGTAGCGACGACGATTATTTCGAGTCATTCTTCAGCGAACCGGCATAAGCTCCACTTCGCGGGGTCACCCGGCCCGACAATCGATGGTTGCTCCCCGCTAGAAAATGGAGCTGAACGCGCCACTGGTATTGTTTTGTGTACTATGTTCAGTGAACGTAGGTGGCGCTGAAGCACAATTAAATGGTAGTGCTTTATCACCGAACCTACTGAATTTAGCTGAAGGACGTAATATCTGGGCATCGGCCACCTGTGGTGATGGCAATGAGAAAGAGGAATACTGTATACTTGGAGAGACGAACGTCGGACAGGATTATATCGCTGGGCAGGTTCGTATAGCAACTGTAGGCTATGCTCGTGTGGGTGGAACTAAAGTAATCTGTTCGATAGAAAATGCCACAACACAGATTTCGGTCAACTTACTTGTAGATATCTTTCTGTTAAGAACACACATAAATGGTTCTCGACATAGTCGCCGTAATGGCTAGAAACATTCTAATTGACGTTTGCCGCTGCAGGTAGTACAGGGTCAGCTGTGTGATTACTGTGATATGCGTGATTCCCGCAAATCGCACATAGCTCGCTACGTGATCGAGAATAATAACAAATACTGGCAGAGTCCGCCGTTGTCTCGGAGTGGGAGGTACAATGAGGTCAACCTCACCATTGACCTCGGACAGGTATGAGCCGTATATCACCTTAGAAAAATTAGTAAGTTAACTGGCTTATTTTATTACTAAGGCGATTAGTTACGGAAGGCAAAACATGAGTACTAGTAACTTGTGGTGTTAGATTTTCTGGAAAAGTACAGCATCTTTTCGTTTTTTTTTGACACATAATTAAAAACAGCTGGGAACCAAATTTTCGACTTTGCATTCGCGATTTCGAATCGCATTTGCAGCTAATACCGCTTATTAACACACTGGTCAAAATTTGTCGATCGATTCAACTTGTAAAGTGGTCAACTTGAATTTAAATATAGTAGTATAGTACCAAAAAAAAAAACAATATCGGCTGAAGCTTTCATTGTCTTTCTTCTGCCGGTAAGATTAAATCTTCCAAACTTTTCCAAACATCTGTGCCGTACTTAGATTGTTGTTAGCTCTGAAGGGATTTTCAACGCTAACCTGAACATACCTAAACATATTAGACAGCAAGAAACGAACTATTCGAGTCTCGTTCTCGTAACCGGCCAAACAGGCTCCGTCTAAACGCAGCAACGGTCCTGGGCCGCTGCGCGGCGTACCACAGTTAATTCTCTATCGGTCGTTCGTTACTGAACGACTAAAACCGGCTTCGCACTCCCCCGGCCACGACCGATACCCTTCCGAAGCTCCCACATTCTACCAATAGTGGAATCTAATCTTTGGAGATGGAGGAACCAAGCGCGAGAAAGGGAAGCCCGTAATGCCTCATACATTATAGAAACAGAAAGGCTTCTTTTTGGTTATGACCGAGCGTCCACGAGCCATCGGGAGAACCACTAGCCGTATAATGCTTTATAAAACTACGTTCTGTATACTCCACTAATTCATATTAAACAAGGCCAACAGAGATACAACGTATTTAATCAATTCTGTTTGATTTGCTTATCGTGTAGTGCATGTGTGAGAGAAATCGACACGACATCGTTAGGCATTTACCTGTATAGTGATAGAGGTAGATCGTCATAAGAGAAATCTATAAGTGGAGTTTGCGTATAGCTAATTTCTTATATCAAGTTGAATTGAGGCGCAATATACGGACATTATCGTGTACAATGTATGCTTAGTAATTTACTGTGTTTTCCTTCTGTTGGACGCTTGGAGAAGTACTAAGATAAAGTTCAAGCTTGCTAAAATTAGCTGAACAATGTCCAAAAAAATGCACGAACCATTTTTAGAGTTCTTAGAGACCAAGAAGGCCAGGCGCTGTTCCACTTAAACTCTACGGATTTGTTAGAACAGGCGCTTTTCAACTGCAATCAACCACGACAATATCTGTGGACGCTTTTATAAATGCTTAATATCTATGTAGCTGTATCCGTCACTTGCTATAGTTACCGACGGCAAAACGTAATTTTCCTGCATTGATCTTCAATACGTTGTAGACATCATGCTTAGCCAACAATTTTAAAGTGTTCAAAGTAGAAACCTTCAATAGTAGGATTTTTTCCCTATCGTGTGAAAAAGAAGCGACATGACGCGACAACTTCAGCCCATACTGCTGCCTTCCAAAAAGGGGCCCCTCGTCTGGAGGATCACCTACATAATAAGGTAGCGCAAGATCGTTGTAAGAGGATAGAGGTCTACATGGGTACGCTTTCAGCATTATAATCAGAAGAAAACGTCGCTGGTGTTGTGCATTCCGAAAAAACTTGCTGTACCGGCGTAGTCGAAGTTTTGGACTGAATTAATTTTTTTTATTTCGATTAAACGATTACCATTATATATGTGTACTGAATTCCAAAACGTGCCTTGAATATGGCTCTTTTGTACTAAGTGAAGGAGCAGATATAGCCTCGCTTGTTTTGATATCAAACGAAGAAAGAAATGGTGATCAAACGCAAACCAACATTATTTGATTTTGAGGGACTGTTTGATTTAAAGAACTTGATAACTTAATGTTCAACCTATCTTCTTTTTTTTTTACATTTTTAGTTTAGTGGAGACACCTGTGTTCGCTCGTTTACTTCCTTAAGATCTGTTTATATTTTGCAAAGTGAGTTCATGTTAGGATATCGCCTGAAATCAACATGTAACTAGCGGTAAATTCGCAGTTTAAACATAATTACGTCTATACTATGTTCTGTTCAGACACAGAACGGTTTTATGATAGAAAACTGTGGTAGCTCGTTCGACAGTTTAATAACTCCATCATTTATTTAATGTGGGGAACCAAATGATTTAATCACTACTTAGTTCATTTACTCTGCGAAAGTTCCATCAGGGATGTAAGAAAAGAAAGGCAGTTCTGCTGTAAGGTTGGCCTTTGCAACGGAAGTAAAGGCATTAGTCACAAAAAGCATGGACTTACATAGTATACGTAAAACGCTTGGTCCGAGCGTGTATTGTCGATAGCGATCAAGATCGTTGTTACTTTTTTTTTCGTTCAATCCTTTTCTAGCTTAATGAGCTTAATCGTTCATGTTTGCCGCTGTTAGCCTTTGTACAGATTAGTCTCAGATAGAAGCCGTAGATTTGCAGGCAAAAGGAGCCCAAGTAAATTATCACTTGTTACTTATACTGCATGAGAGGCATGCAATTCGTTTCCATCCATCGGGCATCCATGAGTCCATATTTTTCTACAAATAAAGTGATTTATTTAAAGGTTTAGACATTTTGTAATTATACAGATGGTAACGCGACATCTGCTGTGTTTATAAAGAATTATCCATATCGCTGCACAGTCAGAAGGGATGAGACTTTTTAAATATGTCAACTACTGATAGTTCATGCGTTTAACTTTGCTATAATGCCCTGCTTTCGAAACGGGTTCTTGTCTGGTGTAGGCACATAGAGCGAACGATTCTTCCTTACTATCAGCTTTAAGCTTATACGCATCATTTCAGTAGTTAGAAATTGCAGCTGTTCATTCTTATTTGACCTCTACAACTATTATGTGTATTAACATAAATAACAGGAAGGAATAAACAAACATTGGTGTACATTTGAACGTTTCTTATTTGAAATTTGAAAAGTTTTCCTGTTCAGGCGTAGAAGTCGTCAGGCCAGCACACATATTCACTAATACTGCAAATAACTTGAACATTAGGGCACTATACTCGCATTTGAGGGCTAGAATTCGGGAAACCGAAATGTAATAAACGACTATAAAGATTTCTTAAATCTGTTGAGCCAAGGCAATCTCCAACAATATTTATCTTTTTTTTTTTGTGAAAATGAAGACGTAGTGACCTAACGCTGTGGAAAGACTGACAAGTACCCGAAAACAAAATGGATAAATTGAAGCTAAAAAATAATACTAGCATCTGGTGGATGCTATGAATTAATGGCGTAGTCTTTTTAATTGTGCATTAACAAACATGGACTAAACTCAACCTTAACGGCAATGAATGATGCTATATGACTAAGAAACATAGTAATTATTATCTATAGTAAAAAAAAAGAGAGCTTGGTTACAGCTGACGCGTATACGAGGGGACAGGACCCCTCGTTTGTGCTTTGCTCTACATGTAATAGTTATACACTTATACTTTATATTTATTCTATTGTTCATATATAGACATAAATTAAGCTATCGGGTACATAAAGTCTTCGATAAAGCACGCATAGTAAATAGGATTAAAGATACACTTATGGGATGCAAAGCGTGCAATATTCGAAATGTAGTGGATTCCGCAACTCGACGGGATTTTGGCCCTCTTTGTTATATAACTTCACCACCTTTTTCTATAGTACTATGTTGGTTTCTAAATGTGTTCAATATGCCGCGTAACTCTATTGAGGTACCGAATTATAGTGACATATTGTTAAACAATTGATGCCAACGATTTTTATGCACGCATTAGTTTGCACAAGAGATAGTATAAATTTTAATAGTGTGATTTGGAGTTGAATAGCTAGATTTCATTAATATCAAATTAAAAATAAACTTGCGTATAATAAGGATTCAACCAATTTTTTAATATTTTAGGCCACGTATTACATCACACACTTTGAGTTGAAGGATCCACACTTGGCTAGCCAGACACGCAGCCATGGTTGTTATTCTGCCCAGCGTTACGTCTAAAGCTTAAACACTGTGGTCCCTAGAGTGACCTTTTGTTATATTACGCCCTCTATAGGACGTAGTTTTCCGCATGAAAAATACGTAACATTTTTTTGTTCATTTGCTCATGACTCAAGTTTAAAGCAGTATGTGTACTTCGTTTCTGCGCTTACTTGTCATTTATATTAGGATTTCCACGTCGCGTACGTCTTCATCGTCATGGGCATCTCACCCCGCCCTGGAGTTTGGGCCCTTGAACGATCCGTGGATCATGGAAAGACCTTCACGCCATGGCAATATTTCGCATCCGACGAGAATGAATGCAAGCATTTCTTCGGCCAGAACGTCTCATTTACAATAACCAGTGATGACTCGGTAATCTGTGAGACCAAATATTCATCAATTCTGCCTTTTCAACGTAAGTACGTCTTGAATTCGACAATATGACCGTTTGTGTCATGCGAGTTGACTCTCGAATTTCTATGATGTTTACGTTTAAATTAATCAGCATATGAAACAGCCTCACCGGTAGTTTCCTCGTGCTAGCAGCCAGTAGTCGGACGGAACTTCTGGTGGCAACTCAGGACGTGAAACTCGAAACCTAAAAGGTCGAGTCTGCCTTAATGACAGCCTGAAATGGCAATTTGCCTAAGAAACCAGCCTACCTAACGCTGACCTAACCTGTCGCATCATAATATGAAAGGAGCCCTACGTAATGCCTTTCACTTCTCGTTCTTGAATATGGGAGAACTGAATATCTTAAGAAGCAGGTTTTTACTCGTTCGAGGTCAAGTTAAGGCTGAGTTTGATTCCCCGATGTAATGCCGTTGTGGCAGTGACGTTCCCGCAGAAGTTTGACCTAGGTAAGGTAAAAATGCATTTAAAAAAATGTTCGATTTTCAGAAATATTCTAATCGAAAACTTATTATGCTAACTTATACGTTACTCACATTCGGTTCATGGTTATTAGATGGCGAGATCCCCATTGAGATACTTACGGGTAGGCCCTCTTATAACAACTTCTCGTCGTCTGAGTCTCTTCAAGAGTGGTCACGCGCTACCAACATTAGACTTCGTTTGATGCGTACGAAAACACTGCTTGCCGACGTTTTGTCCGTCAACCAAAAGGACCCGACAGTCACACGAAGGTACACAGCTTGACACTGACTAGCACATCGTGCATACAGGTGGAGCATTCATTAATAATACTAATAGCGTTTCGTCAAAAAATGAATAAACACGCAACTGAAAAAACTTGTTTATCATATAAACCGTCACGCCTGTGCAACGAGTAGCACCAGATGACTTTCTCAAGATAGCGTTTCGAGTTGCACCTTAATACCCCCCACATTTATCGATCCAGATTCATACGACGGAGTATACGACACGGAGTATTATTTTTATAATTACTAATTATATTGTTATGATCAATGTGTGGTGATTTCTAGATATTTCTACTCGATTCGTCATATCGAGGTGGGCGGTCGCTGTGTTTGTAATGGCCACGCTTCGCATTGCAGTCCTACCTATGAGGGCAAACTTCGATGTCGCTGTCAGCATAATACGGATGGGGACCAGTGTGAAAAATGCGAAGGTCTTTATAATCAGAAGTTGTGGCAGCCAGCTTCCATCGATAATCGAAATGAATGCGAAAGTATGTCCATTTCGTTTGTAGATAGTGTAATCTGTTTAGGCTTTGGCCCATGTTGTCTGCGCACGCTGAATCTACATTTGACAGTTATCTTTCGTACGTTTTTGCCAGCGGTTACGGATGCTGAAGGGCATTGGCTTGTGGCTTTAATGACTTAGATTTACCTGTTCAGGTAAAGGTAGATCAATTACTTGAAAGAGACTCGGTAGATAGCTTTCGCATAGCATATGTTAAATGAATTATTAAAAAAACACCACAATTCGAAAAGGTCAGTTCTTAGGACAGCTGACAATTACTCATTATTCGAGTTAGTTATTCCATTTACTCCGCTAATTCCAATTACTCGAACCGGATTATATAGAACGTCCTGTCAAATACGGAAAATCGCCGAGGACGAATTGGTCAAATTGGATAACTTTAAACAAGTTCGGTGTCTGTTTGTGATTTGCATATATGGCTAAAAAGCATCTAGTAGATAGTCTCTCGGTCAATCAAAACCCCGGATGATTCTGTCAATATGTAAAACAATAATTCAGTTTAATAGAAACGGTTAAACACGTCACCTAACAGAGTGCAACTGTCATGAGCATGCCCATTCATGCGAATACAACGCGACGGTTGAAAAGTTGGGATTGTCGTTGGACATAGACGGACAGAAACGTGGAGGAGGCGTCTGCATAGATTGCCTGCACCATACGGCTGGAATTAATTGCGAAAAGTAAGTTAACCACACTTTAATTTTAATCGATCGACCTGCAAACAAAGCGCCAATACACAGTATGCGAACATTGTACACGTAAATATTGCTAAGAAAAAAAAGAGACGTTGATAGTCATGATCTAATAGAATTTCGAAGGCGTACAGAGCTACAAATGGTTGGATATTTTATTTCGAACAATGAAGACGCTAAAATTTGGTCCAAGCTAAAGATACCCTAGCATAGGATAACCAACGAATTATATATATGGTATATATATATATATATTAAATATATTAATATAACATAGAACACCCAAAAATTACTCAACTGATTACAATGCGCATTACAAATAATAGGCATTTTGTTTTATTTGAAGATAGTCAAAAATAAGACTGAAGAAACATATGTCATTCAAATGAGGCCATATAGACAAACACCATTAGACTGTGTCTCGAAAGTCGACGATACCTGTGACCTTCATCAAACATTAGTCAAGTGACTAGACAGTCGCCTCGTCTTGTTTGCTTCCTGGGCCATTCCAACTGCAACAAGAATTCTAGAAACGCAGATCCTTCTAGTTAGTCGTTTTAGCTATATTTTAATGATCACTTATTTCATTGTAAGATTAGCATTTAAAATGTAGATAGTTCATAGGATGACTCTATATAACTTAACGAATATATAAATATATTCTCGAAGCGTTCTAAATAATACTACAACAAAGAAGTACCCAGTAGAAAATTCCGTATTTGGTTTGCCACAGCTTAACTAAGTTCTATGAGAATTTAAAGTATTCATCTATATTTTAAATACTCCACGTAACGAAGATTATCTTACTATTTACACATTGGGCTTAAAGAGGTGCGACGGCAACCTAATTTCCTTTTGACTTTCAGGTGCGAGCCTAAATACTATAGACAGATCCACAAAGAGCTAACCGATACAGACGTTTGCACGAGATGCCCATGTGACTTCACCGGAGACGACGCTAAACGCTACTCTGGAGAATGCGAAGATGAGACGGCTAGGTAAGAACCATACTGTGTAGACGAAATCAGTCTACTGAAACAAGGAACCTTCTCCAGAAGCGGAAATGTGCTACCGATGTCAAGCCGGATGGACGCATTTGAAGGACGCGTGGCTACGTGGTCAAGCGCGCGTGCGCACCCCATGGCTTGTGGAGAGGTGCCATTATAAAAATCCCAAGAGCTGTGAGGAAGCTGTGACACTGTCCATAATCGAAAAGCTTTTATTCAATACAGAAACTTTAACTGACCTGTACATTTATCTACATACCATGATTTACTACCATGACACTCAATTCGGTATTGTCTACTGAACTATACTATGCTTGAATATTGTGTTTTGTACACGTTTCATGTGTGAAAGGTGTACATGCGATGAAAAGTACAGAGAACCAGACTGCGACGATTGCGCTGACGGCTATTACGGATTCCCTAACTGCATACCCTGCGACTGCTTCAGGTAACAGATATCAGAGTTATTCGGAAGGAATCTAATTCCTAGTGGCTGCTAGTCACGGGAACATACACACATAAATATAAAACGAATTCATGAGATAAATGTTTATTTAAACACACAGTCATTACTATTGAGTTATCGTCACAGCAATTGCTCCATTGAAATGGTCTATTAACTAAGATGACAGATTTCGTAATCTATGACCTTATCCCTGGTTATAATGCACAAAGACCTATTGTTAGAATATGGGTTGGATTTCAACAGAATTAATTGAACACCGCTAATTAAATCATATGTATACACATGAAAAGTCGTAGACTTACCTAAAAAACACTTCAATCACTTACAGTTCGAGTGCACTCTTACTGACTCGTCGATGCGACTTTTTGTTAAATCACTCTTCTTCAATGCTTCTAGTTGCCACTAGCATTTAAAACAGCTTACGGCAGCATTCAGAATATTCAGAAAAATAGTACAATTTAGAATAATAGCAATAATGACAACATTTTAGGAACGGTACTAAGGGCGGGCTGTGCCACAACAACGGCCGAGAATGCCCTTGTGAAGTGAATTTTGGGGGGGAGCACTGCAAAGAATGCTCCCGAGGATTTTTCAATCACCCCGAATGTCAAGGTAAATATTTCGTTAAATTTTTTTATTAATTTTTACAACAAATAAAATACAATGATGCAAGTGTACAAACGTGATTACTACTTTGTTGACAACAGAAGAGGTATGCGTTTTACAGTAGTATTCCTAAATCAACTTAGGAAATTTTCTTAATAGGATCGAAACAAGAAATTTGGTCATCATCGTCACTTATATTTTGTTATTTCCGGACTGCTAACTTACTTTTTTGACTATTGTGAATGGCTAATTATTTAATCTCGCCCAATTAATCGACAGCTTGTGAGTGTAACCCTCGACATTCGCTGACACCGGAAGTCTGTGATGCCGTTTCTGGCAAATGTCAGTGTAGCAACGGTTTTGGAGGGAGACAGTGCGACCGCTGTGAAGTAGGCCACTTCGCTTATCCCGAGTGTCAATGTGAGTTCGGTAAACATTTTGTAGCTCTTGCAAGATTCGATGATCTATACACAAACACAGCTAATAGAAATCTCCTTGATGTGTTTATTGGTTATTGGTTTACTTCTTATTGTTCACGGTCATTTGTGTAAGAGCAATTGGTTCTAAGGTCAGGTGTTTGTGCACAGATGGATGTATGTTTGTTCGTAAGAAAGTTTAGCCGAGCGAGACGAGTAATAAATAATTATTATAATAGGTTTTCGAGTACATAAAGCGCAATATACCTAATGTTAATTAATCAGCTTTTGCCAACCGGACGTATTGAATCTCGAGTACTTTCTGTAGTATTCCATATATGCTTCTGTTTCCAAATCGTATCTCTACTCCCGTATTGTAGCCTGCGACTGTCATCCAAGTGGAGTTACTGAGGGTGTCTGCGACCCAGTTAGTGGAAAGTGTTTCTGCAAACCTGGGTTCACTGGAGATCATTGCGATCGATGCGCGGACGGCTTCTTCGGACCCGACTGCCATCCGTGCAAATGTGACCCTGACGGAAGCGTGAGGGAAGTCTGTAGCGATAAAGGACGTTGCAAGTGTCGTTTGGGTCGGACTGGTGACAAATGCGATAAATGCGCCGCCGGCTATTTTACCAAATACGATAACAAAACATGTTTAGGTATGTGTTCTTCACATAATATTTAATAACGAAGAGAAACGAAAATAGCTTCCATTCTTTAATTACTTCTGTCTTTTATGCTATGCACGAGATGTTTCTTCTTGTTATGCACGTATATATCAAGCACCTATGCTTGACCAGATAAGACGTAGGCACATCAAAAGCGTAGCTTTTTCTTACTAGTTTGCACAAGACAAATAAATCTTTCTTTATGTATATATATATATATATTGCTTCTCAAAATAGTCATCTCAAAAGTAGTTAAGTAAAATGAGAGTTGAGGCCATTTCTTGAGATTCGATCTTTCACAGCCTGTGGTTGCGATCGTTACGGTGCGGACGGCGAGAGCTGTGATGCTGAAGGACGCTGTTTTTGCAAACCAAATTTTCGGAGTGGAGATAACTTCAAATGCAACGTATGCGCGCCAGGCCATTACAAATACCCATTCTGTGAAGCTTGCAATTGTAATCCCTTGGGAACGTCGTCTGATCATCAGGGATGTCAGACCGGTGGAGACACCTTATGTAAGGCCTATATTCTTATATATCTTCTTCCTTTATATATCATACGTCCTTGTTCTGGGGTGCCCTGTAATTCTAAAAAGTGTTTCGGGACATCTATGCTATTAAAAGTTTTATTGCCGGTATCTTTTATGTCCACTAAATACTTTAGAATTACAAATACCCATTATGTGCCTTTACTAACAAATATCAGAATCTCTTGTCGAGTTCGAGAAGAGAGCTCGAGGATTAAAAAAAAACGTTCGGTACCTGTGTGCTCCTGAACTGTAAAAAAACACTTGATTCTCGACGAAAAACACCCACCATACTTTTGCTACAGGTGTGTGTAAAGAACGTGTGGAAGGCCGTCGGTGCGATACGTGCAAACCGCTCTTCTATAACTTACGAGCCACTTCGGAAGCATGCGAGAATTGCTTCTGTGAAGAGTCCGGTACTCATAGCGCTATTCAAGCCTGTGAACCCCACAAAGGACAGTGCCCTTGCAAATCTAACAGAGACGGCAGGTGATTCTTAAACGATGATTCTTAAGACGATTCTTAAATGATTTTGTTCTTAGGCGTTAGACTTTGTGTCTAATCTAGATCCTTTCGTTGACTCCGGATGTTAGGTCTTTAGAGCAGAGCCGACAAAAGTATCAAATTGGATGGCCACCAAAGGGCATATTCAGAAAAAATAAAGTCCAAAAAAACAGCTACTCTCAATCGGTTCCTCTTTAAGAATTGGCAAAGTTCGGCTTACTCAGGATAATTGGTTGGATGGAGTATCAGGCCGACAATTCGACGGTCCAGACATATACGCTTGCGTGTTACAGGGCATGCGCGCATTGTGTGGCGGGCACTTTTAAACGCAGCGCGGATAATATCTTCGGTTGCGAAGACTGCGAATGCAATCCGTCGGGTTCCATAAAAGATCAATGCGATGAAAGGACCGGTTGCCGCTGTAGAAACCTGATCGGCGGCGCTAAATGTGACAAGCCAACAAAGCTTAGTTATGTCCCGACCTTTCACCAGGTATCAATACAACAGCATATTGGAATTTCTATTATTCGCAATGATGTGATATGAAACAATGTATTATAAGAAAAAAATATAATAGAGTTTCCATTCACTTTAGTTATCTTACTACGATTATTATATATGCGCATTCTGTCTCTAAGGTAGTCTAGAAGCCGTCAAGGATAAAGATTTGAAGTCTGATGATACGGTGTTATTCTGGTTTAGAAAATAAGATTCTTTCGTTGACCCCGGATGTTAGGCCTTCAGAGAAGAGCCGGCAAAAATATCGACTCGGATAGCTATTATTAAAGGATACATGATTGAAGTTGCTAGGTACTAATCAAATATTCGACACAAGTATATGTCTATAAGTATATTTCTTATGAATTCATAACACATATAGAATGATTTAGCGCATAGAGTATAATATGTATCAGAGCAAACCGTTTATACGTGTCGACCCGTGTACTGACGAAGGCATCGTCTTAAATTTCGTCATCACTGTTATGATCAAAGCTGTTAGCTAACTTTCGAATTGAATCACCTTCAACGCACTGCCTACAATACGTGTTATTGTATTGATCCATACTGTCAGTATCACCTCGAACGTCGAAAAAGTGCGTATTACACAATGCTAATAGTGATCAAAATAAATCGATTTGTTTATCACACGCTCGCAGTTCATATATGAGGTGGAAGCATTCCGTACACCGAAACGTCCCGAAGTGCGTCAAGGCTCAAACGAAACCGAGTTTCCTGGTTTCTCAGGAATGGGTTATGCAATCTTTAACGAGCTTCAGACAGCTATAATAATCGATGTGGAGATAAAAAAGAACTCAATGCATCAGGTTGTACTTCGGTATACGAATCCAGCCGATGTCCCTCAGGAGATGCTGTTTACCCTGACGCCAGGTAGTGACGAGGTGCCTTCGAAACAGTATAAAGCCAAACTACCTCCTGCTAAGACTCCCACCTTTATCAAGCTTCCTGCCTTTAAGGACTTCGAGGGAGATATCCTTCCAGGTCCCTGGACTATCCAGATGGAGTCGATGAATGTCGCTGTGGACTATCTAGTCACTCTACCACAGGAGTACATTTCAGCAGCCGCTCTCAAAGAAGAAATCAAACGACCATGTAAGCTTGGCGAAGATCGGCCATGCAGGAAAATGGCGTATCCGCCCCTGCCACGTGCTGTAGAGGTACGTATTTTCAGTATGTATTGGTCTGGTTATTAGATGTGCATTGAGCTAATGTTACTTCCGTCAGCTAAGAAAACGTGTAAAATTTTTCACGCTTCTACTTTATCGGCGTATGTTTTTCATCATTAGGTATCCATCAAGCAGCGTCCTTTACTTTCAGACTTTCGTCGGAATTCAAGATTCGGCCGGTGTCACTCTACCAAAGGAGATTGATAATGTCGTTGAAAAAGCAGCTGTGCTCAGTCCAGTAAAACCACTTGACCTTCAACTGAACGGTACGCACTCAAGAGAAAATCCCATGCTGGTCGCATAAATAAGACCCCATCAAACGAGTGATCCAATAACGTATTGTTATGCTGTTCGATGTTAACCAGACCCCTTTCTGTTTGCTTGAGTAACAGTGTTATGCTAGTATTGAAGTACTAAAATGATACCCAAAGTTTTTACGACACTGAACTTACTAGTTTAACGCCTCCGCGTTTATGTGATGTGCTTCCTCAATTCGCATCAAGCTATAGCACTATAAAATCCCAAAGGAGACGTAGTGGAATATAAAATTAGAAACAAGCATAGGTTGAATCAAGCCATACTTTCAGCGTCCAATGTAGCGGTTCCAATTGTATAATCGAATGTTTGAGCACTATTGCCAAGAAGAATCTACGAAAATGATATGACGTTAGGATAAGTAAAAGGTCGAATTATCTCTATCTTCACCCGATAGGATTCGAACCGTCTTCGATGTTCTTCATTGAGTATTCTAGCAAAAAACGTCAAGTTGACGAATTCCGTCAAACGGAACCCAATGGAGTTCTGCCTGTCGCTCGAGCCGAGGTTATCTTCGAGTTAGCAAAAAACAGCTATAAAGCACAACTGGTGTTACCTTATTGCCGATATAGCTTCCTTTGCCGGCAGGTGAGTGCGTACCGTGAGCTTTAAAAACCAGTAAAATTGTTTCGCTGAACAGTGATATTCACTTATCAAACGACGTGATCAAACTGTGATCGGTAATATTGTATTTATTTCTAGCCCTAAATGCGTAACAGTTAGTTCCATCCTATAAAAGCTATAAGCAGACACAGGGATACGAAATGTTAACGCACAGCATTCACAACGTACTACGGAATAAGTTGAGTAATTAAAGGTTAATTATTTTCTAGGTAACTATTATTAGATTAGATGTTTTTTATCGAAAGTACAAAAAGATACACATTAGAACTTGTTATATGTCCGCAGGTGGTCATAGATCCCGAAGGCCGAGTATTTGAGTCTCCCGATTTGTGGGGTGAACGTTCCCAGTCCCGAGTAAGGCTGTCGCTCGAAAATGCTCCATTAGATGAGGAGGTTTACATCTATAAGATCGCCGCAGTCCCACGAAGCGTGTACGGACATCACCTACTTAACATTAGCACTGTTTGTATCCGAGACGAGGACTTTTGCCATGGGCTCAAGTATAACAACCTTGGGAAAAAGGTTTACTTTGCACAAACCGGCGACTATATGGCTATAGACCCACGGTAAGACCCAAATATGTTATTATTTGTAGCTAGGTGTACCGGAAAAGAAAATAGCTTTAGGTACACGTTTGTTAACAAATCATTTAGGATCATTCACGAGTCTCAAATTTGTGTTAAATACATGAAACGTAGCACGCTTACGCGAAGAGATGTTTAATTTTATTTTTCTTTTCATTTCAGCATTGAGGACAAAAGTCTACGTCTTGTGGAACTATCTCCAAGCCGGCAGTCTGTAATAATCGATGGCGAGGTTACCCCTGATGATGGCCGGGAGTCTAACAGCAATATCCTCATACATTATTATCAGCCGGATTTTGGAGACTTCGAAGCGGATGTAAACATTGAGAACGAAGGCGTATCCCGTAACGGGAAAGTACGCTTTGCGCACTGCCCATCAACGACCGGTTGCCGAACCCGAGTGTACGTGGACAAGCCTAACGAACCGTTAAGCATGCACCTGTCAGGAGTATACAGCATTGAGGTAGGAACATGACGCAAAAGCTGTCGTTGTTTTTCATCATAATAATGATTATAATCATAGTAATGATATTAGTAACACTAACGGTGATTATTAACGTATCGTAGTTGCTACCAGCTATGTATATAGTCACACAGTCTTCTATCTTCGGTATAGATAAAACTACCTGTTCGTCGCGAAGACGATGATATGCTATTGGCCAAGCATCTCAACAAGGACTACGACGAAGCATCGCTCGGACCATACGGTAAAACATGGCTTGACTACGTGGTGACATCAACGTCCTTATCCAGCAAAGATCTTCGTCCACTTCCTTACGATCAGTCCCGGAAGTTCCTCGACCGCTGCATTACCGATCCCTCGTACCATGTTGATCCTGAGAACATGTCTGATTATTGCAAGGATGGCCTTTTCCGTTTGACAACGTCATTTAACAACGGCGCACTTCGATGCCGCTGTAACACAGAGGGTTCGAATGGTTTTAGTTGCAAAGCGTACGGTGGGCAATGTTCGTGTAAGCCTAACGTAATTGGCCGCCAATGCACTGAATGTAAAGCCGGATATTATGGATTTCCTAACTGCAAAAAGTGCCAATGTCCACCAAACGCCGTTTGCAACAAGGTACGTAAACGGATCGCTATTTGCGAGTTATTTCACTTCTGGTGGCCTGCTAGCCTGACCATAGATGCACATTATTACGTTTACCATTTACATATTACCACACACGTTAACCGTGTCATATGTTTTAAGTGCCGAATGAAGCGTTTTATTGTATAATTCCGCTTCCTATATCGTCATCAATAAGAAGGATCGTGTTGTTACGCGTCCTTATCTAATGAAATAGGTTATAGGTCACCGTCTTTTCTATTAACGCTCATCAACTACTCTGACTAGGTGACAGGCGAATGCAGTTGCCCACCCCACGTCGTGGGTGATAACTGTGACCGATGCAAGCCGCTTTATTTCGATTATAGCCCACAGGGTTGTGCCTTTTGTGGATGTTCGGTCTCGGGAGTCAAGCGTGGCAACCTACAGTGTGATCTAGTCACGGGAGATTGTGATTGCCGTGCGAATATTAATGGACGTAAATGTGACCACTGCCAGGATGGCTACTATGGCTATCCCCATTGCAAATTCTGTAACTGTTACCAAGGCGGAGTTCGGAAAGGTGCTTGCGACAAGGATACCGCGGAATGTAAGTGCAAGGAGAAAGTCGGAGGTAAGTGAGCAGGTGAAAATCTGCGTGTAGATTCTTGATCGTATGCACTTATTCGTTCATGAATTTTACGAGCCTACACCCTATAGATATTTCTTGCCTTATTGTACTCGAAAAGCTTTGTCAATGCAAAATCAGCTAAGCACGATGCTCGTCGATGTCATGTGATATATACGGATGTGGTAAATTAAACAAACGCATAAAATATGGTCCTAATTTATTTTCAAGGACGTTTTTGCGACACTTGTTTGTCGGGTTACTACTTTTTGGACGAAGCGAATCCCGTCGGTTGTACGAAATGCTTCTGCTCAAGTAAGACTAGCACATGTGACTCCGCACCGTTACGAAGAATAAATATTACGGATCACGACGGCTGGTACCGGGTAACCGTTCACATGGAAAGCTTGGAAGTGATTCCAGGAAGCGAAGAGGAACTGGAGGCCAGTACGGACCAAAGCGCCGTTGTAATTACTCAACTTTCTGACGACCCACCCCAAGAGGGAGAGGTTGTTTACATCCAAGCACCCGAATCATTCCTTTTCAACCGGTTGACATCGTATGGTGGCAAACTTACCGTCACGATCTCCACACAGCTTCAAGGTGACGAGGAAATCGCAGAACAACAACCCGATGTTCTTCTAGTGGGAGCTGATGAGACATTTATTCATGTGATTGATTCAGAGAACACACTGCTATCCAATCAAATACATTATAGTGTTGTTCTGAAGGAAAGTTCGTTTGTTACGGAAATGGGTAAGTTCCGTACGATTGACCGCGCTCAGTTTATGCAGCAGCTCACCTATGTAAAGGCGATACTTGTACGAGTAGCCTACTTCAAGGACATCGATAATGTCGCCATCTCGGTGACGATGGACGATGCCGAGAGTGCTGATGACATCGACGAAGTTGAAGACCGCGTTTACGCCGTCGAGGAATGCCAGTGTCCTTCGGGCTACGCTGGCCTATCGTGTGAGCAATGCGCAAGTGGCTATTTCCGCTCAGGTACCCAGTGTAAGCCGTGTAACTGCCATGATCACACCCAAGAGTGTGATCCTGACACGGGTAGGTGTCTCAATTGTGAGCACAATACGGAGGGCGACCACTGCGAAAACTGTAAGGCCGGCTTTTATAGGGACCCAAGGCATCCTAAACCATACGACTGCCGTACCTGTCCCTGTCCTGTGGCAACTCCTGAAAACAATTTCGCGATATCCTGCGAGCTTTCTGGGGATCCAGGAACTATCCACTGTGTATGTCCCGATGGTTATTCAGGAAATCGTTGCGATCTTTGCGACACGGGATATTGGGGCGACCCCACCAAGCCGAACGAAAAATGTCGACGGTGTGAGTGCAATGGTAACGCAGATCTGTCGGTTGAGGAAAACTGCGACAAAGTCAATGGCACCTGTCTGAATTGTAAAAATAACGCGGCTGGAAAAAACTGCGAGATCTGCGAGGCATGGTATTGGGGCGATGCAGTTGATAGGAAAGACTGTGCAGACTGTGGATGTGACCGGCGCGGCGCCGAAAAGTTAGTGATCATTTAAATTTTCTATAGTATCTATCTCACAAGGGAAATAGATGCCAATCTATGCGCTTCAGCGTGGCTACCTGATAAGTAATTTAGTTTAATACGAAAATCGCATAATTTAATTAATGATATCTGTCTACGAATAAGAAATAAGTGATTTTTGGCGGTCCAGGTGATGGCTGACCGTCGAAAATTAGCACCGTCTATTTTTCCATGATGCTCTTTCTTAATATTTTTTTTTTGTACTTTTCATGTACTAAGTAGTAATTTTCAGACTTCAAATGGATAGTCAGTCATTAGTGCCGCCATTAACACACACATCAAAAACAGGATCCAGAATACAACTTCGTTTTTCTTTTTTTTTTTTTACAAAAATTTGCACGAGTTCGACGCATATGCACGAGTTTCAAATGAAAATATGACGTTCATTAAGAAAGAATTATATATATAGTTTTGAAAAACAGTTGAGAAAATGAGTTTTTGTCCGCATCTGAACAATTCATAGCTGAAAAACTTATGCCGCTGATTGCATTCTGTAGTTGATTCGTACCACCGACCAGAACAAAATCATAAACCGAGTAGGGGTGCTTAGGCCGACAATACTTTGTTTTCGATAAATCTAAACAATTGATGTTTATCTATATTCAAGTTTTTTCAAATACCCATTAACCTGTTTTGATTTTTGGGTCTATCTATGAGAGAAATATTACTTTTTTGTATGCGCAAAGCTAAATTGAAGAACTGGCCAGGAAGTACACTCCGAGAGATATATTTTTTCTCGTAATCGTACACAAACTTACGTAGTTAAAGGGTCATTCTTTTTCGGGAAAACTATCTGTACAATAGATTGTCTTTCGACCCATTTCAGTTTTGTGATGCTTCGCTCTTTCTTTCAAATAGATGTGACGCAAGTACGGGCAAATGCATTTGCAAGCAGAACGTTGTCGGTCCATATTGTGACCAATGCGCTCGCGACCATTGGGGCATTGCTGATGGCCAGGGCTGTTTGCCCTGTAATTGTGGACGTGGCGCCAATTCAACCAATTGCAACTTGGAAGACGGCAAGTGCAATTGTAAACCCGGTGTCAGTGGAAATCAATGCGATCAGTGCGCTAAGGGTTACTGGAATCTAACGGAGAATGGATGCCAGCCATGTAACTGCGATATCTCTCACGCTAAAGGAATGAGCTGTGACACCCACACCGGCGATTGTGTTTGTCTACCTGGGGTCACCGGCAAACGATGCGATAAGTATGTAACTTAAGTAAGTTGCATACTTACCTGACTGAATTTACTGCTCATCTATCAGTGTGACTACTACTGATGTGAACTTTTTTTGCATTATATATATATATATATATATATATATATATATATATACACACTGTCGATTTAAAGTAAATCTTCTAAATGTCTACAATCAGGTGCCCGGACCGGCAAAAATTCGTCGAAAACGAAGGGTGTTTAGTATGCGACGTGTGCCATCATCAGCTTCTGGATAGCACGGAAGAATTGTTTTCACTGATGTATGTCCTTGAAGCTGAGACCGACGACATCAACTCGGCACTACTGAATAACCGAGCGTTCGTTCATTTCACTAACGAGCTATTAATGTCCCGAAACGAGATGAATCACATTAGGTTAGTATAGTACAAAGAGTTTGGCACACAGACTATCCGTCTATATCTAACATAATATATAACCGACTGCGAATCAGATTAGTTCAGTGCATCTCTATAGAACATTTTCAGAAACGCTCAAGTGATAGTTGGCTATCACTACTTGTTGGCTAGTCTATTTCTCCTTAATCAACATGTGGACTCTGATTAATTGTGTAAGTAAGCACACCATACCCAATGTCAACCAGAGAAGTCTAAACAAACCCTAAATGCAACATTTGTTCAGTTTTTCTTACGAAAATCATGCTTAAAGAGCATATAATCACGGCCTGACCACATGATCATGAACACTAAAGTCTGGCAGTGATTTAAGTCATTGATGAATAAAAAATACATTGAACCGACTCTATGCAACGTCCTTTATTTGAACTACAGAAACGTGACGGCTGGCTCACAGCTTTCAAAAACAGAGCAAGAGCTGGCTGAGCGCGAGGATAGCCTACGAGACATGTCCAACCGTCTTGATAGACTCTACAAGGACTGGCAAGATATATACAACGATCTACAGCCTGAAACTAGGACAGCAGATGAACTTCAAGCACTGCATGATCGCATAAAGGAAATGACTAGACGCATGAACGAGTACAAGCAACTTCTAGAAAATCGGATCGCCAATGACATTCCAATTAGGGAGAGCCAAGCTGCTATATACAAAAATGAAGCCGAGGATATTGCTAGACGGGTATGGTTGTCGAAACAATGAAGTCGTTTTTTCATTGTGTTCTATCGCACAAAGGCCATTGATGCATTTAAAGGTAAAAAGGCGCTAACAAACAGTCAAATAACACGCAAAATTTGGTCTTATTGATTGTATGCAGCAGATCGCATTAATGTATCCGTCTGCTAATTCTTCGCTTTGACTTCAGATGCAGACATTAAGACTAGACTCTAACACAGAGGCCACAGTTGCCAATACGCTTCCCCAGGAGCTGGAAGATTATGATCTACGGCCGTATATTGAACAAATCGATAAGGTATTCAATTCATTTAAAACGGACCATCAACTAGTTTCAATAAACATCCTATAACACCATTCATTCTTCATTATCCAATAGTCTATAGCTACAATAGAGATACAGGAACGATTTGCTCTAATGCATAGTGTGTTCGAGTAATATTCTATTACAATATATTTTACACGCTTGCCCTGTTCTTAATGATGTCTTCCTAAAACGCTAGATCGCATCCATAAAACAGAGACAAGGATTTTCAACAACCGCAAAAGTATAGCTTGTGCAATTTATCAGTGACCTGCCAATCTCCTACAGGTTAAATCAATAAGTGCGTCAATGGCCGAAATGCGGGAAGTCCATTCGAAAATTCTCGATATTTCCAAACGCGCTGATCACGATGTTAGTGAAGTTAAAAAGGTAATTATGCTCTACATGCAACGTAGACATGCTGTAATACCTGCCGAAACTTTGTCGAGGTCTTCATAAGCGTTCTAGTGGGTTAATTAGTCATGTGTTTTGGGTAAGGGCGGGCTATCAGTATTAAAGGCGATGACAGACCGTGTACTGCTACTTCTTTCTCGAGGGAAAAGGTCAGACGGAAAATTCGATTCTTACCACAAAGGACTCCAGGAATGCTTGAATACGTTACCATTGGTGCTAGTATTACAGTGGCCATACACTATTGTCCCACCGGTTCAACTAACCAAACCCATAAAAGCCATGAAAACGGTATCGTCAACTTTAATTGACTACAATGTAATCTCTCGTCTGCGTGCCACAAACGTGAGAATTGCTACATCTTTATAACTCATCAAAATAAGAAGGCAAGCACCAGAAAAAAGTCAGGCCACGACGGCCAGTGCATCCTATTTTGCTGCAAAACAAATTCGAGTGTTCTTTGCGTGCTTTGTGGTTGGTGAAGATGTCTGATGAGGTTGATTGTGCATGAGATTTGGATTGGGTCAAGTCAGTGAGTTACAGAAGTAAATTAGACGTTAGACGTCTTGCATCAACACTGGTGCAAGTAGCGGTTTACGTTCGATAATAGGAATAACGCTTACACGCACTTACATAATAATGATATAGTATACACGCGATCGATCACCATAAGAGCTTTCGATTAAGCATACTATTAATTGACATCAAGTTCCTTAGCCTGAGCTAAGCGGGGAACAACCAGAGTCTGATCGGCTGTTTCTATTAACAGGTGGAAACTTCTTCCAATCGGATTGTCTTTTCGTGACAAAGATTTAATAGTGTGGATTCGACGACACAAGGAGAAAAGAGTACATTTGAAATACATTTGTGTAGCGTATAACGTATCAGTGAGAAGCATATCTACATGGCTGCAGCTATAATAACGGTTATGTTTTTGCACGTACCTTTGTATATGTGCGTCCGATCGCGTTTAGATCATCAGTACTCTAAAGGAGGAGAACAAGATCAAAAGCTTAATTGAAGACACGCAAGTTAGGCGTAACACTACAGCAGACACGCTAAAAAAATTCGAGGACGCTACAAAGGAGGCCAATAAAGCCATCGAAGGAATTACCCAAACAATTCAACCAGATCTAATTGACCTGGCTAAACAACTTCCCGGTAAGGTAAGAAGTATATCACACGTATCCACGGATAGTCTTATACTCATAGATCATGTAGTGTACAATGGTGTTAATCTAAGACGGCACTGGTTAGGTATTATATGATACACAGACATATCTGAATGTAGCAGGTAGACTATGCGGGGTAACTGTTTTCAACCCAGAAAAAGGTCTACGTATCATTGGTATAGTTTGTCTCAATCGCGAAACAACTCGACATCATAATCGATCGTGGCAAAACCACTTGGATAAGAATGTAGGCATTGATTACAAGGATGTAATATGCACTTTTGTCTCCTTTCATGACTTTTTCTTATGTAGCAAAACGAGCTTCGGATTGCTCAGGAGAAACTGATGGTACTTAAGCCACCGCTCGCAATGCAGGTGGACGAAGCGATACGGCATGAACAAGAACTTCGGAAGGCGGTTGAGCAAGCACGTCACACGTTCCATACTGGGATGGATAACTCTGCTCGATATCTTGAAGCAGCTAACAGGTATAAGGCGTCATATCGTTGCTTCATTTTGGAGGAGAGGATGATGAGTAGAGGTACTGGTTTATTCTTTATTCTGGATTAGCGAACAATTTTATGCTTCACGAATTGCTTAATACGCTAAAAGGTAGCTAGTTCCTGTGAGCCTAAACCTGCATGTTCGATAGAGTCGACTTCTTGACAGTTTACCCGCCGTTTCCATCATGAATATTCTAAATTGAAGGTTAAGATGTATTTGACAGTTTTCGTCAGAACTGGGTTTAGCTGTTTGGCTGTGAATATTTTTTATTTGAATCGTAAATTACGCTTAAACGGCCGCAAGGAGCAGGTCGAAATGCGTTCCAAACGTTTCACGAAAAGTTAGCCCCATCACCCCGGAAAATCTGTGCACTGATCAGCGTTAGTCGTGTAACTATCTCGAACTGCCTTTACGCATTAACAAAGATCTCAAAGGCAATGAAAAAAAAAGTCTCAAATACGCTTAGCGTTAGTGCCAATAGCTTGACATTTTGTGTATCATTTTTGCGCAGTAAAAAGTGTTTTCCGCAAAAGAGCAATACTGGGAACAATAAAATGATTTTTGTAGGGTAGCATTCAGCATAAGAAAGTATAGTTAAATCCTGAATAAATCTTGTCATGTAGAACTTATTTGTCATTTGGTGACTCTGAAGCGAACGCTTCAATGAAATAACGACCGCAAATATTTCACTCGACTCAGCCTGATTAACTTGACAAAAACGTGGTAACGTCAAGGTTCATGCTTGGAGATCTCGCTGTATAACAATATTTAGTCCCATGAAATTTTCGAGCTGCAGAAATATTTTGAACGCACTTTTTACGCCCGGTTTATTGTTTAGACCGTGTTCTATATCTGTGCAGCGCGGCCTGAACAATAAGCGATTTAGTACAGGAACCAGACGCTCACAAAAAAGGTTTATCGCTTTCAAAAATGCAGTTAGTAGGTCCATATCGACTACGACGGAGGAAGGCTCCACAGAGTGCCAAATTAATAATTTATTAGACGAGTTTAGCGTCACGTAAAACAGTCAGAGAACACGTAATTGCGTCCCGATTGAGGTAACACAGTGAGAATATTATGAGTGGTATACACTTATTTTAGAGCAACTCGTAGCTTTCTATACTGTACGTATGACGTGAAAAAGGGCTTGTTGGAACTCTTTCGACACAAACCGTTTACATATAGTCTGAACTAGGTAAACTGAAAAACTTAGTACGGATTATTCACTGATGTTGACATTGAAATTATTCTATCTTACGTATGAATCCTGCAATAAACCGACGTACGAAAGAATCTACGTAGATATATTATACCCGTTAGTTATATGTGGCTTACAGGTTCAAGGATATGTCTGAAACTGTTGTTAATAGCGAGAAAGCACTGCAAATGGGTGGTGAAGGTCTCGATAAGCTGCAAACTCAGGACATAGAGAAGAGCGCCACTGGAGCATTGAATGTTAGTAAGAACGTAAAAATGGATGCGGACAAAGGGATAAGCGACATCGAAGATCTAAGAAAAAGTTTGCGAAACGCCTTTGCTAAACTGACTGATGCCGAACTCATCCACCGAGAGCGGCAGGATATGCTCCGAACCTTTAACGGTACTCTCGATACTCCAGCTACGCCGGACTTCAAAGAACTTCCTGAAATCACTCGTAAGGCAACGCAAGCTTTCAACACAACACAAAAGGTGTGTTTCTTTTGTATGTTTCACGGCCACCTGTAGCTAATTACCGAGTGTACTATATGTACGCGCAAAATATTGACGTTTCCATGATCAGGCGACTGCCTTTGGATTTGTATATAAACACGTTCACTAATTTGAATGTCGAGCTACATCTTGGATTAGATACGGACTAAGTAATGCGTGCTTATTATCACATGTTTTGTTAGTTCAATGATCTTCTCAAGAATGGAACTGGCGAAGCAGGTTCACTCGTTAGCGCTCTGAAGGCGATCAAGGATGCTGACCGATACCTCGCCGAGACTGAGGGACTGCTAAAGAACGACGATCTCGCTAGAAAGCTTAACAACATTGAGGCTCAAATCAATAGCTTCAATCGCACCCATTCGAAGATCTCGGCAAATCTTGTTAAACTCAGGTGAGTGCCAATGAAGATCACAGAGTTCCTATGTATCATCACACTTCATTCGTTTAGGCATTTCATACGATTTTTTCGAAAACATAACCCGCGTTTTAAGGTAAACACGAATTCATCAGGTTTTTTTTTTACCTATATAAAAACCCAAAAACATGTAATCTATTTTCTGTTTTTTTTCTGTCTTTTTTTCAGTGCATTGTTGCCCACTTTTTACACTAAGAAACATCATCCATATCCTAAAAATGACATCTGTTCATATCTTGCACCATGTTTAAAAATATTTCCTAGAATAAGATGTACACATTTTTTCTAGGAAATATTTTTTGCATACAAAAAAATTTGCAAATTTATGTTTACTAGCAGATATCAAGAGCTAATACATATACAAACAAGAAAATTGTGCTTCTACGCTGACAGTTAGAATAATGTTTAAGAAACCCTTATCGACTCCCCTTCACGTAGATTAGAGCTACATTGAGACCGCAAGCGAAATGCAACCGAAATGGGGACTAGTGTCGTTCTCCCGTCCCCTAAAAGTGCCATTTCGAAATTCTCGAGAAAATAGGAAAAAGTCATTACAAAAGTTCCAAGTTATTCGTTGTCAAACTACATGTAAAATCGGATATACCTAGACCAAAACACAAACCTCTCTACAGGTCTTTTCTCACGCAAGGTCAGATTACGTTAGTTTCATACACAAGAGGAATAATGCTAAATCATTACAATTTTACAAAAACTTATTGGTTTCAGGGAAAAGATCTTAGTGACCCGCGGAATAGCCGATAGCATTCCCATTGGTGTAGAATTAAGCGGGAGACCTGACACTAGGATCAAGTATATTAAGCCGAGCGCACTTCATGATATCAAGGCATGGATGGATATTAGCATGTTCGTGAATACGTCGGCACCTGACGGCGCACTTCTATACATTGGTCCTGACGTCGGGAACGGAGTTCGACGTAAACGTCAAGCCGACGCGGCGACCAATCGAGTCAGCGAAAATAAAATTGGAGAGTACATTCTCGTCAAACTGGAGAACTACCAAGTTTGCGTTGACATAGCTCTAGATAATAGCAAAGTGCAAAAATTCAAAAATCAGCGACCCCTTATCCCCTACAAAGTTCACATGATAAAAATTGAACGAACCGGGACCAAGATTGAAATCAGCGTTCACGACGGCGCCGACGATGAGCAGTTCACAGAAACCAGTAAGATCACAGGGAGCAGTTTTGTTCTGGCTATCGAGCCTAGCGACCCTATTTACATAGGTCAAGCACCTGGAGAAGTCGGCACAGTAGGCTTTCGTGGCCAAATTAGCAACGTCGTCATAAATAATGTCCGCATAGGACAATGGGAGTATCGCAAGCGAACAGGCTATAAGCCGAACGGCTCCATACCTCAACCAACAAAAAATAGTTTCCGCTCTCTGCAGACCCCTGTGGATCAGGCGTTCAGACATTTTCATAACGGCTACCTGATGCTGAACAAGACCTATTTACACAGATTCACCAACGAAATGGACATTAAGATTGTGATTAAGACTCATACTCCTGAAGGTCTTCTATTTATGCATCACAACCAGGCGCTACAGCGGTATGTCGTCCTTCAAATTAGGAACGGCCGACCCGAGCTGGTATTTGAGCTTGGTGACTATACAAAAGGTAACTTCTCAGTCAACCAGATAGTCAACACTGGTAACGAAACGAAGATAAGCCTTATTGTGAATAGAGAAATTATCAGAATGCAAGTGGACGCTGCTGGAACTTCAGCTACTAACCACTACACCATCTCCCAGAAGGCCAACGAACGGAGGGAAATGAAGATTCTCGACAATATTAGTCGTATCTTCTATATTGGTGGAATGCCCCTTAGTGAACAGCCGATTTACGAGGGCGTAGTAACGACTTCGTACGAGGGTTGCATTACAGGACTTGAGATCTCCCATCAATCAGTCAGTCTCTCCGAATACATTAGCTCACTCGGCACAACGGAAGGATGCCGTCAAAAAGTTGTAAGGAAACTTTCTCTTGGCGCCGATACCGGAGACCAGCACAAATATCTGAGGTTGAATCGATTCGACGACGTGTTTAGTACGGCGACCATTTCGTTCCGTTTCAAAACCAAAGAAAAGAATGGTCTCATATTCTTTGGTAGACAAGGTGACCCAATTGACACATCTCTTACAATTGCTTTGTCCGACGGAAGTCTCGTCATTTTCACGAAGCCTGGAGGCGCATTCGTTTCTGGTTTAATGCTCAATCTGGCCGATGGACGTTGGCATTATGCCGTCATACAATTGAAGCCTAACAGAGTGAATGCGGTGATTGACGACCAGGCACCAAGTACGCAGGTTTGGTCTAGAGCCGAATGGAAGGTCAATGCTCCTTTCTTTTTTGGTGGACTCAGCGATGAGGTAGCGGCAAAAGTTCATCTAGGAAGTAAGTACGTGCAAGCGCAGTTTAGTGGCTGCATTGCTGATTTCACTATTGATGATCACGTCGTGAACTTCGACGATGGCCAACGTTTCGGGGTTACGCTATCGTCCTGTAATGCGGTGACTTTCGATGAACTTCGTGAGACTGGAGATGACGACAAGAAAGATCAGGATTTCCAATGTAAACTCAAATATGGACCAAGTCTACCCTACGATCATCTTTTTAATAACAGTGAGGCAGCGTATCGGTACGGAGCTCTGCCGCACACACGAGGCGAAAGTCCAGTCGATAGCAGGGGTAAGATTCGTAATGAAACGGTTGTCGATCTGGAGTTCCGCGTGGGCCAATACTTCTCAGATGGGACGCTGTTCCTTGCCTCGACCGCCACACCTCGTGGACACTTCGACTACGTTCTCATTTATCTGACCAACGGAACGATTAAGGCTGCTTTCGATTTGCGCACGGGAGCTGTGGTAGCGGAAATTCCCAATCGCTTGTATAACGATGGCAAATACCACAAGCTGAAACTGGAACGACGACGATGGAATGCCGCGCTAATTATCGACGACCAACGAAGCGCCGATGTGCAGGACAAGGAGAAATCGGAACATCTAGATGAGGTTAATACTCTGTTTGTGGGAGGTATGCGTGAAGAGCACGTGACACTATTTTCGAGGAAATTCCCTCTCGATCGCAATGCGTTTACATCATTTCCCGGATGTATCAAAAACGTGATCGTCAACGGTGAACGAGTCGTGTTCGCTGAATCCTTAAACCGAGTACTGCCGTGCTTACCAAGCCAGTACGTCGAAGATGGAGCTTACTTCGGCTATCGGAAGGGCAAGCGGTCCTGGCTATCGCTGAATGAACAAATCATATCAGGTTCATCACGAATTTCAATGACTGTAAGTAGTGTGTAGAAAAACACCGTTAGCATACTAGTCGATTGATCGAGTCTATGTTTGTTTGATCATATTAGTCATATTAACTATAACGGTCGTTGTGAATTAACATAGTAATCACTCTATGGAGGCATGTGGCACTATTTGTGGCAACATAAAGAGTTGAAAATTCTAAAGTAGCTATCGACTTCAATTTAGTGACCCTAAAATTTTGTTAATGTTTCTAAATTTAACAATTTGGATCTTTAGAAGAACCGAACGTTCCTGTAACGCATATTTTTGCTCACACATTTTCAACCTAAACCCACTTATATATTTTCAACGTACAAGTCTGTACGCACTGCACGCTCACAAAAATGTACAAAACGGTGCATGCACATGCTTGCACGCCCGCAAAGAAAAACGATAAACTGATATCGGCCAGTCTAATTTCGCCACTTATTTTTTGGTACCAAGTATATGAGGGTTTGCTTGGCTCCAACAGTGGGGAAATACTTGATTAGTGCTTTTATTGCCTACAGTCGCATATATTTTCGTTATCATTTTGGCTTCATGTCATAATCTCGTCTCATTCGTTTTCAGATTAAGTCGCGACGTCATTCCAGCATTTTATTTTTCTCGGCACATACGAAAGAAGACAATCATCTCGCGTTGTTTTTGGTGAATGGCACGGTTCTTCTTCAGACGAAGCACGAGGGAAAAATAAATAAGGTGATGCTAACTTTAGCTTAATATTAATTTCAGTGTACTAACTTTATTATTAATTGCTTCTGGTTTTGTTGTCCTTTTTTTATTGAAATTTAACATCGCTGTACAAAGGCACGTGCCCTTATAAAGAGTTGGGTTGTGCTAAGCTATTAATGGCCACCCTTGAAGATTTTCGACTACTCGAAATGGAGTGGCTTTAGAGCAAACTATAATTGCTGCAAACAATAACTGCAGCATATTTCTATGTAGACTTTTACCTCTATATGTGTTCTAAAATTCTAGTAACAGCAACGGGAATATCGCAAAATATCTAACGGCTAAATCGTAACTTATAAGTTCGAATCTAAGGAGGTGGAACGTTCAAGATAAAGGCTGTAACTTTGCTGCCTAGGAATGAACACAACCATTCATGGATGGCCATAACAAAATATGATATTTATTAACATATCTATTGAATAATAAGCTGAACCTATAAAATTAACTAGATAACTAAATCCAACGCGCAAAGACTGTGAAAACAAAATATCAATCTCTAAAAATTAGTCAGATCATTTAGGTCGTTTTTCCGGCGCATTAATTTGACATATGATAACCCCCAAAATAAACTCCTTGTATAAATCATTTCAGGTCAATTTTGTCGGGCAGAGCATTTGTGACGGTGACTGGCACCGGATCACCATATCGCTACAGGGTCTGGTCATCGGGGTAAGCGTCGACGACCAAGCCTATAATGCTCTTCCTATAAGTGATTGGTCAACTCTTCCGAACGTACTGACCAATGGACCAATTTACATAGGAGGTCTACCGAAGTACGTATGCGAAATTTCTGAGTCACTTTAATGACATTGCGGCAGTTCTCAATAATAACTAAAATAATTGTTTGTGATATAAAAAGCTTCATCATGCATGAACTATTTTTGATACTTTAGAACAAAGTATGGATGATCTTTATGTATAAGTAAACTATATTATACCATAGTAAACTATAAGTCAATTTAACAGATAACACTATAACCTGATTGCATAAAGCATATAATAGAAAATGACAGTGATACTTAGAACGACTTTGACTGAGGCAATCGTTTGGCCGTTTCGAACCCAGAATACGCGGCCGAAGCAAAGTTTAACGGGAGTACTGCAAATATAAAAACCAAAGTAATTTAAAATCAAACCATTCATTATGCACCAATAAGCAATTAAGCTTCGTCGGCATTTGAATTGTATAGCATCGAAGCTACACTATTTTGTGATGGCAAGTCTAAGTCATTGAAACAAAACAGGCTACATATACTGCATTTGCTGAAGACTGATTTCAATCATCTGAGAACGTCTCAACACCACGTAACAATTTCTAGCTTGCTTTGACTTTATTTAGGGGGGTGCGCGATATGTCCCTTGTTACAACATCTTCATACGGAGGCTGCATTAAGGATCTTCGCATCGATATGCCAGAAAATGACGACTCGGTAAATACAATCAGCGGCCTTCCGCCTAGAATGAATCTTGCACAGGCTGCTAAGGACATTAAAGGAGAAGTGTCACTCTCCACGTGTTACAGGACTTGAGCGCAATACTGACTTCCTTAAGATATGAAGCAAAAAATGGGCAGGATATATTCTAAATGCTCACAAAAAAATACAAAATTTTGATTGAGTTAATATGACTCACTGTATCACAAAGTGGTTTTGCTGTAAGAACCATTCGAAATTACCTCATGCCTGCAGTACTTAGATTTGTATATCTCGTACAAATTACTTAACTTTATATAAGCATCAAATAAAGATATAAATGTCAATTCAAATCGGATGTGTCTAAGCATGCGATCCGTTTCTGCTAGATCCTCTAAGTTAACGAAACCTCTCGATGCTAACAGCGATGAACTAGCGATCTCAAAGTTCAATCATAACTTCAAACTGGAGTTCATTTTCAAATGCGGTGCGTATATAGCTTCAAACAGAAAATGGTTGCTTAATTAAAAAAAAAAAGAAGCGAATTCGGTTATCGATGACCAAGATGAGAATAATGAGCAATATTTGCATGACTCGGCCTGTCCTAGATTAAAGCAAACTTATGTTCGATTACATGAGTCAATTTATTAAATTTTCAGAACCGAAAATAATATTTTTTTAACTCTATTTCGAACAATATCTTCATTTTTCATCACGTAAGCTGAAATAAAAATGTTCCAAATACACATTTTTAAGGGTATTTTCATTTTTGCAAAACACGAATAAGAACAGGCTAACCTTAGAGGACTGATCTTCCTTCTATTATAAAATAACCAATGTTTCTCTTAAATTAAAAAAAAAAAACCAAAAATCCCTACACATTAACATATGTCCTGCTAGTGCAACCCTTTTAAGATATAAAGGATATTAAAGCCTTTCGACAACTGCAGAAAATGCTTCGACTCTGAACAGGAAAACTGTAGCCGGTCGAAAGTCTTCATTAGCTCATCATGACACATTGAGAAATGCCAAAGGTCCCATTCCGTGCTTCTACTAGCTTTAGTCCCGGGTTTTCGAATCCTTTTCGACCGCTCGTCGTATGAAAGCACCTGAGGCACCAACGTTAAGGAGTACTAAACCGTACTGTAAAGGCCGTATTTTTGTTGTATAGCCTTCAATTAGGGAACACCTGGAGCTTGGGCAATAAAAGTATCTATTGAATATGCTGATGTTAGCAACCCCCTGCTGGTGGGGCTATTGTTGCAAATAGAATTAGTTGTCAGACCAGCAACACTCTGTTTGTAAACAAGATTCTTACCTAAATAGGGGAAGTTTGACTTGTACATAGGCTAGTTAATTAACCACCCTTGCATTAAAGAGCGTGATGGTTTTAGTTTAACTCAAAATATTGAGCCGGATTTTGTTTTTACGATAATGCTGTTAGAATACATTCGAAAAACGATGATTTGGTACATAAATTGTTATAACCATGAACGATGAGAGACTTTTAGATTTTTATTTTTTATATAAGTTTGCATATTTATCATAAGAAAACCTGGTCACAATCGACTATGTAGAATTCCATAATACGTCCCTAAAACAGATGATATGGATGACGCATTTGTGGTGATAAGCCGTCCCGCCCTCATTACCTGTCTATCACTTCAGACAGTTATTTTTAACAGCGCTTGAAACGACGATAAACTAGCATAATACTCGACGGAATGGCAAGCCAGCAACCGCATATTAGCTCGGAGGACTTACATAAAAAATGCGTCATAGCTACAAAAAAAAAGTTAAGGTAAAGTATGAAATACGATCTATCACAACAAATATATATACAATTACGCCTGTTACTGAACTCAGAAGAAGTTTTTCGTATTCAACAAAGTATTAGGTCACTGTAAGCAAGTTCCAATTTTTTCTCTATTTTCTATATTTAAAGTTTTCTATATTTAAAGATTTTTAAAACGTTCTACACTCTGCCTTTCCACTATTCACTAACGCTACGACCGTGACTGTCAATGAGCTCCAGATCTGTATGTTTCTTTTGCCTTTAGAACAAACTCCTTTAATGAAATCAGACGGGCTCTGATGGGAAACTTGTTTAGCGGCATCCGGTCCTTGCAGCGAATCGTTTCATTCGTCAAAACGAGCACATTTGCGTTCCGAATCCTCATCGATCATGTCAATAACGTAGTCGATAAGCAGCCCGTTAAACCAGTGCTCCAGGATGGATAGGACCTTTCATCATCACATGTTCTGTTCACCGGAAACTCTTCTGAAAATAGGTTAAGGCTGTTATATTTATTGACACGGCCGTAGCGATGTGGACTAGGGCCACAAACGCATCCAACGCTGTTGTTGAACGTTAGCTGTGCACTAGCATAGAGGGAAAGACCTCCCAATGGTGGTGAATACGAACTCAGCTAATGGAAAGATCTGCTCATGCGCGCTTTGTGGGCTTATGGAAAATTTGCTTACGATGGAACCGTGATCAGATACGAAAAATATCACGATTTGCTTAAATATGCTACTAGCTTTAGCTTGTTAGAGAACTGAATTAAATCATCGTCCAAAAAGAGTTCGTCCGATCAATCGTTCTGAGCAAGCCGATTCACGTTTACCTTTCACGAGAAAAGTGAACGATTCCGAGTTAGAAGCTTCATTGTCTTGTGCACGTAATCGAGAAGTATTCTCGTTGTTCACCTATTACGAACATACAGCTGTTTCAATAGGCATGCTCCATCATGTAAAGAACACACGTTAGAAAATAATCGATAGGATGACTCACAAAGCTTAGATAATCTAGGTATGCTTTGACTTGGCAGATTACGCAAGGAGCACGGTTCAATAGCCGTGGCCTCTGAAATCTTCATATATAAAATAAGTTCGATTGTCAAAGGGCATATCTGTGACATCATCAGGAGATAGTGGATTTCGAGTGAAAAGCGGGACCTGCATAATTCTTAAACTATACCCAGTCTTGCTATATCTAAGGAACTGAATCAGTCAATCGCCGAATAGAATTTCCAACTTGAGTGTTTAAATCATCGGCTCAAACGCTATGCGCTATAACGAGTCCGCCTCAAGCAGCGTCACACGAAAAACGACTGCTTTTTTTTTCGAGTCTGGGTAACATCAATGACTACCGATATTCCAACAGATTATTGCTATCTCTCTTACAGACGATCCATATTTCTTCCACATAAGGACAGTTCAAACTTTAGACTTCCGAGAACCTGTCGCCAGAAACAGTAATATTATTTTGCGAGATACCACAATACTTGCATCGCACTTGTTTCAACGTAAGCTTACGGTCTATGCAAAAAGTAAGTTTAGACAACTTCGATAGCAAATTGTGTTGGTTTCGAATAGTGGCCTCCTTTTTTGTACGGGTCTTCACATTGGAGCTACTATTTTCCAAAAAGTTTTGTGTATCATTCAAGCAGTAGAGGGCCTTTGAAGATAATATGACATTAATTCAAGTCAGCAATGTCTAACTGTTGTCAATCGAAGTAAATACAAGTTTGTTCAAGTCAATTTCATCTTCTCTACTGGATCTTTAACATCAAAACATCTCGAGTGGCGTTTAGGGCACCCCAAATAGGTACAATAATATTAAAGGCAAAAGTTTTTCCGGGTATTTTTCCATTTCATGCTAACTGAAAAATGTTTTATCTACGGAATCTTACAAGCATCGAATATTGGACACCATAAGTCTTCATGTTGTGCAAAAACACATTTGCCTCTGTGCATCTGCACTGACGCATCCTAAACATATTTGTGATGATGGGTAATTAATCTACTTTTTCAGGTCGATCGTCCTACCCGATCGAACTGTTCCCAGTACCTCAGAGTGGAACACAATCGTTAGACAAAACCCGCACAGACAGTTCAGTTATTCTCATCGGAAATACGTCAATCGAACTAAGCACTTGGTTCACCAACGAAAATAAATTCGGCCTGATGGACTCGACTTCATTTAGGATGGGTTCTATACAACGTTAAGTAGCATGTTACTCCATTATTTTTGCCTTTACTCAAACAAAGGCATAACGATAAGCAACAGCTACCGGCTAAATATCTCAAGCAGGCCTTCATCTGTAGCCTCTTGTCTTTTGTGACACAAAACGACTCGGAAAAAAGACTTGGCATAGCATGGTGTAAGTGTGTAGCGTATTATCACAATGGCTGGCCAATATGATGATAGAACGCATCACGTACGAGATTGTTAATTAAAATATTACCAATTGGCAAAAAATGGGCCAATAACGATTATCTACGCTAACATTTTGCTGTGCGTAGGGTGATAAACAGTTCGGTAAGAATCGAACTTCTCGACGCTCGAGGTAAAAGAGAATTTTAGAATAGATCCTATACAAAGCATTGGTTATGTCTCATTTCATGTTTGTTACAAGTATAGAAGAGAGCTGCCGACAAATGCCGCGTTTGCTCATTTCGAACACAAGAAAAAAGTGATACTCGACGCACCATTGAGGTATCTAACGCAGTCCTCTCCAAAAAGTAATTTTTCGTGGAAATTACGTGAATTTGGAAGGTTTTCGAACATTAAACGAAGAGTCTATAAATTATGAGAATTGTAAATTACACTAAGCATAAATGTTGCGTTCTGTCAATAAAGTTTTCTTAGACATAGATCCATTGGTGGTCCAGGTTCAAAACAGACTTCGTTTCGTGCTAGGAGCCGGCCGCCTAGAGGAACTATGCTTAATGGCGATACCGGACGTAAAACTTTAAATATAGAGACATAAATCCAGAAGGCTGGATTTATTCGTATTATAGCCCCCATAATATTTTCTCCTGACGGTGCTGTTCGATTTTAAGACAAATATTAGCATCATTCAAGATATCGTTTCAAATGATGTGGTAAAAGCGACGTCGCGTACTCTAAAAATTGGTACATCCTAGAGTTAAGCTGGAGACGATCTTCTGAGAAAAATAAGATACGGAGACAAATCACAGCGTATTTAACTCGGGAGAATAAACGGTCAGCAATACGTTTACATATTAATATTAGCAATATTGTTACCCAAGAGTAAAAAATATAGTAGGACTCTGCTTGAGAGCGAATCGGATAACGATTTTTTCAGAATTTTCCACTCGACGAAGCAACGTCAGTACCCGTAATAAACGGTAACACAACTGTGTCGTTCACAGATCATTGCGGTTAAGCTATTTCAAATTAGTACTACGTTGAGCAGCAGATGCAGCTATAGTTGGTTACAGGAAGCGTTTATATTCTAGCTGCTAATGTATAACTCTGCCGATTAAGTATTCACACGAGACCGCGCACTTTTGTCAAATCCACAGCTTTTGCTTATATTTAAATGGCGTCTGGTCGATGGATTTTGAACGACGAGTTTTATATGATCACATCATCAACTAAAACGTTATGATTTAACTCACAGTCCTTAAGCATACGTCGTATGTATATTAATGGTAAGCTCATTTCAAGCAATTATTTTTTTTCAAGCAATCAACGAATGCTTGAAAAAAATAATTACAAGCTACGTTGTCCAAAATTCTGCCATCGATTTAGACAGCTTAACACAACTGAATATGATCTACACGATGAAAAGGCAGGAGTTTTTAAATCTGATTTGGTCAGGTAAACAGATTCTGAGTGGAAAATACAGCTTTCAAGACATTCTATTTTTGAAAAGTTATTTTTGTCTTTCAATGCACCGGCCGCTTGCACAAAGGAGGTATGCCATGAAATACCTCAGCTACAATAAGCAAGCCAGAAACAATGGAATTTGTGGCACTTCATATTAACATCGTGTTCAATTCTACACCTTAGGAGGTACTAGTAAAAAGACTTGAAGCAAAACACGTCAACCCCATTCTGCGTAGGGTCATTTCGAGTTACTTATATAAGAGGTTCACAGCACACAGCGACAGCGCGTAGCGTAGGTCTAGAAGAATGACCCGGGATTCAGTGTTAGGTTATCTTCTTTGAAATGTAGAGTATGACAACAGCCTACGGCAGGGCAATCTGGACTTGACCAAACTAGTCGCGTTTGCAAATAACGGCAGTAGCAGTAGGCCAAGAGAGTAGCGGACCTCAATTCGGCATTAATAGTACCTATAATATTGTCGACAATTGCGTCATTGACCATAAGCTCGACCTAGCGCCGGAAGCAATAGAGTTAGTAATGTTAAGCAGGCAAAACAAAATAGGTTATAGAAGCATTAAATTATATAGCCATGCAGTCTTACCAAGTACAATCATCAAACACCTGAGAACGATTCTGGATGATTTACCAAACGGCGAGGCATATATTGCCTGTGGTATTAACAAAGCCATTAATGCGACTAACAGATCAGCTAGGATCTTACCCAACGCGAAGAGTCCCAGGGATGGAGCCCGAAGATCCTTAGTATCAGTGGTACTTTACTGCCCTGTACCCATTTGAAGGAAGCTTCTATGCAAAAGGAAAAAAACTTCACTCATGGAGGTGATAGCAATACGGATAAGATATGTATTTACAACTGTTTCGCCAAATGCAGTAACGGTTATTGCTAGGCAAGTCTTGAGAAAGCGCGGACAATTCATGTTCGGCCTGACGTAAATGTTTAACAAGCACGGATTTTTTAAAGACTATCAGCTTCGTATGGGTAAGTCACCTGATACTGTTTGTAGATGTTGCAATGAGGGTGTTCATGATTCGATAGGACACACTTTATGGGACTGTGTAGCCCTGGAGAATCTCAGAGCGGAGCTGGAATAGAGAATGGGGACCTTCTCTATTATTGACCAATGAGTCCCACAATGCTAGATACAGGAAGAGATATGTCAGTTGGCAGACGACGTTTTTGAGAGAAAGGAAAACACAGATGCCTATTGCATTTATCGAACGTAGCGACAGAAATAAGTCTATTTTCTTTTCCGTCCACTTGGCTTCCTGCTTTTTTGCTTTTCATCTTTTTCGCCTCCTCCTCCTCCTCGTGCTCCCTCTCTCTCTCTCCCAAAACGGGAGTGGATGCTAATACATGGTCAGCTTTGGATTTTCCGGTCGTTTGCGTCTCCTGTCAGCAAACACTTCATAAATACGTATACTCCTTTGAAGGGGAGCGTTTTTTAATAGATAACTAACTCAGACCATCAAAGAAGCTATGCTTCAAACTGCGAACCTGGGATTCTACACTGCTTGGCTAGATAACGCAAGTTATGCGCAAAGCATTTCCGCCGCTAACGATTTTCGAAAAAAAAACGGGATTTTTAATGAGAGCGTACACCTGTAGGATCGGTATCGATTAAGAATAATATAAGACCCATTAACTCTATTAAATTAAATACGTGTTCGCCAGCAACGCATACAGAACTGTATAAGTGATAGAATAGAGAATTAAATTAAGTGAATAAAAACTGCTTCAATTTTAGGGCAAATTTGGTTAAAAAATAATACTATTACTACATAAGGAAATAAAAAATGACAATTCTGTTTAGAATTTAGAATGTTAGAACAACCAACTTTAGTAATAGAACCCCGACAGCTTATTGCCAGAATTTTCTTGATAATGTTACGGTTACAATATTAATAAGGTAAATTTATTACTACATGGGTGATAACATCATCTAACTTTCAATTAATCCACACAACAACGGCCAAAAGGAATTTGTAAAGAAGCCCAAACCGTTAACTTGATTTCACTGTGTACGAATGCGCTTGCAACAATCGCATTACGTGTACTAACAATAACTATCACACCTCTCGGTCCCAAAAGACGAGGTTTTACGTAGCCGCATGTGCGAATCGTTGTCGTTCCTCGACTAATCCGTGCATCCAGAAGCTCACTATCAAATAACAATGCCGCGTATGGCAACATCTTCAGTTTGTATCGTATCGGAACGTTGACACACAACTCCACCAATTGGGTGACGACTATAAACGGGTCCGTGCCATGTATTCCATAGGGCGCGGTCTTCGCCAGCGTGGTAGCACTTCGACAAACCAATTTCTTCTTCCAAGAGCAATGGGCTTCGAAGAAAACATAGACATATTCGGTAGAGCTAAAGAGTTGTCATTGCATTGTGATAATCGCATTGATTATGATGACGACGGAGACATCGTCAGCCACACGGCGCGGGCTATACGAAGATGACAACAATCACAATAGCAACTTCCCGAAGAATCCTATAAGTGTATCTATCGTTGTAGTAGAGCATTGTTTTGCTAACGTTAACGCAGCACCAATGAATTCTGTCACAATGCGTTTTTTTCTCTAGCTATGGGGCATTGACGCGCGTAGATCTCAGCGCATAGTCGCCTGCTCTTCTTATTGAGACCTCACGTGTCTCACTGATGTTCATCGACACCCCAGGGCTCACGTGGTACCGCCCTCATCAACGATGGCCATCGACAACGAAAAAAGCCAACAGCAGTAGCAGCAATAACAACAGCAACAACAACAAAACTAACAGCAAACGACGACCACAGCCAGGACCATGAAAACAATGCGACCTATGCGTACGAATGGTGAAGTGCGATAGGTGAGTCATAAAGGACGCCTCCTCGCCGTCATCTATTTGAGCAGTAGTACAAAAGGCCAGGTGTATTTACCATTGTTTGTCATAGTCATTGGCTGGTGGTGGTAAATCAAACGGTGTTTAGTTTTCGTTGCTTCGTTGTGTCTCTTCATCGTTTCTCGTCGTCGCAGTCGTGTTTCTAGTCCGGCTGTTTGATAGTGTCTATGTCCATAGTGGTGTACACGTGTGCTCGCTTATGTCCATTGTTTGTGTGTGAGTGTTTCTCATTGGCAATTTGCATACCTACAAAAAGATATGAAGGTAAGATATGAGTGTCGATCTCAACAAAATACACCGATTCGATTGCGCTATTTGTGACGCCCCTAGAGGCGTCAATGATGAAGCGATAGTTAATGAGTATCGTATTTGCCTGCTGAGGTTCGAACCCGGACATAGACAGGCTTCGTTTCGTGCTGACAGCCAGCCGTCTAATGGAATGTTTAACGGTGATACTGGACGTAAAACTCAGAGCATAGAGGCGTCGATGATGTACCCCAACATTGGCAGGAAGCTTTGTTATAGTTGGCGGGACTAAAATCTTCACAAGTAGCGATGCGAGGAGAAACTGTAGAAAATTTTTCTGAGCTTCAGTTATTTCAGTTTGTTTTTGACAACGTGTACAAGGAGTCGCTTTAGCGCCTGACACCTAATATTCGAGTAGTTCAGTTACCTGGACTCTAAATGGCTTATTCTCAAGGATCTTTCGTGACCTCGAATTACCATCAGAGAATAATATTCATTATCTCAAATCTTGCAGGTTTTAACCAAAGACTTCATCTTTGTGGTTGCACAGGTAGCTCTGTGAACTCACCGTCAGACTTAGCCCGTCTGCCATCGTAGTTTAGCATCTTCAATCAATGATTTGGTTATGCTATTAAGGCATTATTAATCCGAGCAGAAATTACCGAGTACAGAGTTCATGTGTGCAGCGAGGCGACATTGTAAAGAAACACGCAAACTCGCGTAGAGAATAGGACAATGGTCAAGATAGATCTGTTTCTGTGGCTCCGATGAAAAGCCCAAACATATAAACATTAGACGTTCGTGGAAAGTATTTGGATACTCTAAAGGAGAGTTGCAAAGTCAATCTGGAATCGAACAAAAAGGTGCAAATTAAAAGAAGAAAGCCTATCACGCAGTTAGAAGTCACCTCAATAAATCTGTGTACTTAACTCACTCAGGCTATCCTGCGATTTTCTGCTGCCTCGATGGCTACTACGTGCGTCTTAATCATGGGGTCCGTATCAGCGCAGGAAAATAATGTCGAAGATGTGTTTCCACTCGGAGTTAAGGCGGAAAGACAGGACGAGAACCGTCTGTCCAGGCAATTTTATAATCCTTCCAGCACCCGAGCAAACCCGTCTAACGTAAGTGGAACCTAAGTCAAGCAATGCCTAGGTCGAATTCGAAATCCAAATCAAACAATATCTAAATATTCCATGCAGAAAAATGTTTATCTGGTATACCGAGGGGAATGTTCCTGCGCAGAGAACAATGTGCGTGCTTATCAACCCCACGGATCACACAGCCTTATCATTAACAATGTAAATTAGAATGAGTTTCGTTGGTAAAACGAAAGAACAATTCGACGCGTGCCTTATTCATTTTTGGGCATGCCACAAATTAGTTATACTTAAGAAACGTATCGACCAAAGTAAAATGTTTGTAGGTAAAAACAAATTATTTAACGCTATTGATATATATATCATATCCGCAGGAACGACCCCAGCCTTATGATTTCGGCTACAATATCCAAGACGAATATGGCAACAATCAATTTAGGCAGGAGAGCGGAGATGCGAATGGGGCAGTCCAAGGAACCTACGGCTACACAGATGCCTTCGGCATCTTTCGCAGGTAAATACACTTTGCTTAAACGCATATGACTTTTCATGTGAACGTGAATGATTGCCTTTTTTCTAATATTTATTTCTGGGCAGATAAGTCACGTACACTACTATCAACAGCTTCCTTTTGTAAACTGCTAAACTTACTGATACTCATGATGAAGCTCATATGAAATATTTACAACAAGTTTGCACTTACATTATGCTGTTGTCTTAAATATTTTTGTCCCCGTTCCCACCATGTTGTTATTTAAACCAGGTGTGGTTGACAACGCACGTGACCAAAAGTTTGTGTACCGAATCAGGTTTATGTACTAGATATGCGTCACTTCTACCCGGATGCTTTTAGTTACGTATGGCATATAGCAAGTGGCGCAATTGATAGCTAAATGAAACTTCTCATAAGTATCAAAGTATCACGTGATAATCTGGGGTACATAACATTTCACATGTTTACATTTGTATGAAGGGTGAAGTACGTTGCAGACCACGACGGCTATCGCTTGGAAATGAAATCAAACGAACCTGGTACCAAACAGGAAAGCCCAGCTTCTGCAGTCTTTCAAATCGAAGATCCCCCACAGGGAGCCTACCGCCAGGTAATTCCCAGGTTTGATCAATTATCAATAATATGTTATATATATAACATGTTACTGATAATTCTCGTATCCAAGTTCGCATTGGCAACCGCCGTTTTTCATAAATAACTACTTCATGTTTTCTATGCGTACAGAAAGAACAACGATATAAACTGGGAGGCTCCAAAGAAATCATTTTAAATATATGCTCAAACTCTCAGCTTCAAATCAGTGCATATTTTAGTTCTTCACTCCATTTTTGTTTTTTTTTTTGTTTCGATTAAATAACAACGATGTCTGTTTCGCGCAGGTATCAACTGGTGGTCTATCAACTAGTGTATTACAGAGTGGTCGACGGCCCTCAGTTGGATCCTCACGAAGGTTTCCCGCAGGAAGCGCAGCGGCTTCCAGCTCCTAAGCACCATATTTACTTAGTATCAACCCTTGTTGTACTGAGCTATTATCCATAATGGACATAACCTGGGCACCTTTACCACACAAACGCTGCCTCAACGCTAAAAATTATTGTGAAGCACCGAAGGCGATCCAAAGCGAACAGCTAAAACATACCTGAAAACTATAGAAAGTAATCGAGGTGAATAATAATACTGTAGACATCATTTTGTTTTTAAGCAAATATTCGCCCACTAGCGCACAGTAAAAGCGTTTTCGATTGTCTTCGTGTCCTCCTCAAAGAGTACAGAGCAAATATTGATAGTAAACACTGCCAGAGCACAAGAATATGAATTGCTACTGATCTAATTACCGGTCTAAGCCAATTATGCACTTAGGGTACTCAAATATCCGTGCGTTACAACAAGAAGAAAAGTGAACTCGCTCGTACAAAATATAAAGAAGATCTGCCACATGAACTGCTTCGACTTAAATACACATTAAATTCGACTTCCTACATTGAGTAGGAGGTTGTCACCTTTTCCTTTGTTTCATCGCTGTATCTATTACATTTTTCAAGTACCCCAAGTAAACGCAATCCAGTGAATCAAAAATGACTGCAAGATTCCATGCCATACCTATTCTGGTTTTTTGGGTTGGCATCAAAAATGCACATCTGTGCTCATCAGTTGATGGAGCAAACGGGCAGCCCAGAGCCTGTAACGTTTTAATGAGTTGGAGAAGGACGTTCGATTCATGCTGGTGCAATGCTAATCGCAACAAACAAATTAGCCAAGTTAATTCTGATTTGGAACAACTAACACTACTTGCGTGTATACCGTATGTAAATGTTTTCGATAAGCACGTGCGCTGAGCAGCCTTCTTTCTGAATAATGTCCGTTACTTTTCATAATATGGATAATAAATTTTGAGGTAAAACAAATTATTCGTTTGAGTTGGATTTGTTTGCAATATTGATCCTGAAAAATTAATTAGTGATTTCATACAAAAAGCAAAAATAGTGCTTCTGAAAACGGTTCTGACAGTGTTTCGAAATTTAATATATATAATATAATAATTAACAATAAAAAATAAAGTTTAATTCTTATACATATTATATTCTTCGTTATATTTAATTGGAAAGCAACAAATTGTGGCAATTAATTTCATAAATCCTACAGGTTATAGAAGATACTTGTTTCATGATAACGTTTCCTGTGCCAACTTCTGTATCCGATTGACCAAAGGGGCATTTAACCTAAAAGGAAGTTTAGAAAATAGTTTATACGAATCTCCGAACAATTTATTTCAGGTGGAGACGGCAATTATCGATGTTGAAGGCAGACGCAAACGCAGGTCGGGTGGTATATTTTCCAATTTTGAAGCAAAAACAGAATAAGCCATAGAATACTTCTCCGGACCACCTATAGGAGCTGAAGCAATGCTATCAATCAAATATAATATACGCCTTCCACTGGTGGCAAATCAGATTCTATAAGGTCTTAGTGGAACGGCATCAAACACGCATATAAAAAATTCATTAGTAGAACAAAAGCTAACAGTGGTTACTTCTCTGGGTACGCGTGCGTTTCATTGGCTTCATGGTAATATATATATATATATATATATATATATATATATATATATATATATATATACATATATATATATATATAATACTTCTTAACATACTTTCGGTCCAAAGTGCGTCACAACTTCCAGCTCTGGGATGCTATAAGGTTTCACTACTACGAGTGTCCAGACTCGAATACGAGACTTGAACAAGGCTGGCTTATGGTGCTATTTTCTTACCCGTTACATTTGGACAATATAACTCCTCAACAGTCGTGACCCGAATCATAGCAATTAACAGAAATTCTATTTCTGAAGAGCCTATAAAACATATTACCATGGTGGTGATTATATAAGGTCAAGTCCTTAGATCTTCCGTGGATAACAAAATCGAATATATTCGCGTCCCGGCTTCACACGAACTACGTATCTATTTTTTTTTACACACGTGTGGTACTGTAAGACCAAATTTAGACTTTCACAGAGAGTGCAAAAGACTGAACTATTTATCAGACATAACCGTTTCTGATTTCGAGTCATGTTATAGACTAGAGGTACATTGCGTGTATAATAACAACAGCATCCTGAAATGTCTCGATCTCATTGGAAATATGTAGAAGGCGTGAAAAGACAAATTCGTGCAATTTTTGTATCATTCATAGTATATTTAGCAACTGAGATATAGAATCAGAAGACCATATGTTCGTACGCATACTAGTTCGTCTTAACATAACTTTCTCTTGTCAGTAATCGAGGATATTTATTAGTTTTAAGTATGAAATCAATTTTTTTAGCATATGAATCTCTCAGTGGAGAGTATTCCTGCTGAACCAAACTTACTTACCAACAAGTTCTTAATATCTGGTCCTTTTCGAGGTAATTCGAGGATATATACACGCCTAGGTAATGGTAACAAAAAATCAAGTTTGATTTTGCTCATTTCTTCATATAGATGCAATAACATAAGTACATAAGTATGTAAACGCTTTAGCTCTAAACTCTAAACTTATACTACAAACCACGTCATGTGTCTTTGACTTTAGTGCACAATGACACAAGAACCTTCCCTAAGTATTTACCGCTAATACTAGTGTACGATCTTTCGTAAGTAATATTATTATTACTTAAAAAATATTGTTTATATTACTCATTTACTATTTAAATCGTAACACAAATTACCTACTACACTAGAGGTTTTAATTCAACCCACGATATACCCCACTTGTTTTCTTTCCTAATCTCACTTGCTTCTGTTTTTCTATTGCTATCTATCTACCTTTTATCTTCTATTGCTATTTTCTATTTTGTGTGTTATCCCCACAACAATAACAATCCGGCATTACCTAATGTGGTCTGTTCTAATGCAGTATACCATTGTAGCAAACATTCCAACCGCCTAAATCGCTTGAAGGCCATCAAGCAAAAATCACTATGGTCATCGTTATCATCAGCAACAGCTCAGGCCTGTCACACTCATCAGTTTCTCCGATTGTTTTCAAGCAGTAGTCATCGTTTGTTTGCTTCTCCATTTACTCTTTCCTCTCCCTCAGACTTCTATGCCTTTGATCTATGATGTTGCCTCCATTGAACCATTACCATAAGCCCCATAATTGCCACTGGGATTTTTATTGTGTTGAGCGCTCAACATGCTGCGGCTGCCGCCGCCACTGTTTCCGCTATTTCCATTACTAATAATTGTATAAGTATTGTGAGTAGCTTGGCGTTTTCTCTCTCTCTCCCACTGATCATTTTCTCCTCCCCCTCTCCTTACTCTAAGCCTTCGCGTCTATATAGCGGACGTGTTTGATTCTGTTTTTTTTCAAGTTCCCTTTCTTCGCTGTTGCTGCTGCTACCGCTGGCGGCTCTGGCAGGGGTCGTCGTGTGTCTCTTGAATTGCTGGGTGGATGACTGTGAATCGGGTTGAGTACACCAGATTAGTGTGCGCCCATCTGTTGTACATAGGTAAACATTTTTTCAAGTTTTATGTACACTGGTGTTGGCGTAGTTAGCATTACTTCAAACGGCTTATAACCACCTCTAACATGAAATGAAATGTGTCTACGCCAAGTTTCGAACTTCTTTTAGGGGAATGAGAGCGAGTACATTATACAGACGGGACGTCACGGCTTAGCTATTCGTCTAGTACGGTGGGGCTTTCATCCACTAAATACTGGACCGCACGTTCTTAAGCCTTGGTTCGGAGCTTAGTTTAGTATTACTTTGAAGCAAGGTTTGCAGGGGCGTGTAGTGGTAGTAAATTAGTAACCCGGTTTCAAACCTGGACCACGTCACGTGTCCTCAAATTCAATAAGCAAACATGTTACCACTGCACTATCAAGAAGAGGATTTGGTCTTGTGTAACTCTTTCTGTTAGTAGGCAAAAGCCGCCGTCGCTACTCCGACTGCTGCTGCTGGCCCCTCCGCCGCCAACTTCGTGCGCACGACGACGAGCTCAGCTTTTCGGGTTGGCTGAAATCTATCCGACCTGCTTCGGGGCTGTTATTTCTGCGCTCTGGTTAAGCGTCGTGTGTCGCGTCACGCCGCGTATGATGCTGTTGCTGTCCGTCTTTGTGCGCCCACTGAGTGGCCCGTTACGCGCTGTGCTCGCTAACTACTCATCGGACCAAATCGTTGGGTGGTTATTTGGTCTGATCGTCTTGTCCGCGACAGTAGCAACGGTGGCAGAGGGAGCGGGTGCTGCCGCGCCAAACGCCAGCGCGGCGGACTTCCCGCCGTTACTTACAGGCAGAGACCATGTCATCATCGGCTGCACGCAAAACAAATACAGGGACGACGACCAAAACATAATGGCGACAGTGGTGTTCCGATGTTAAATGGCTCCAAATCGTTCGTGCTGGTGGACTAATTGCTGTGCACCGTGGTGGTTTGGTTATTGGTGAGATTGAATTGGTGGCTGTTAGAGTGCGTTTCACGACTTTCGTCCTGTGTATCGCCGTCCGGCATCATGTGCTGAGCGGCGCCGATATCGGATAACGCTAGAAGCGGCCATCGGCCAAGGTGAGCACTTCTTCCCTTCGGATAATAGGCGGTTAGCCAGGCTGATATGGCTGTGGCACACACTGCACCACTGCTGTCGTTCCTACTGGGTAGGCTATGCAGGGTTGGGTGTATCCCGAGGCGTAACACATACTTACACACAACGATTGCACACAGCCGTCAGCCAGGCCACCGACAAGTCTGCTGGCGGCAGCAATACGAAGACGAATCCGGCGGTGACGACGACGACTCAGACGAGCGATACCGCCACATACAAAGGGAGGCCTGGCGGCCACAGGCGGCCAGCCATCGAGAGACTAATGCGGCGGCAGCGGCGGCAATAGCAGTAGCAGTAGCAGCACTAGGCGTTACGACGATCGTAGAGTGATTCTCTCTGTCGTCAAACGCCGTCGACGGAGGGGCAGACTCTCTCGCTGTGGCGGAGATCGAGAGGCATAGCAGTACAGCAGCCCCCATCAATCTACTATCGATGATGGGTAAGAGAAGCTTGTGCTTGCTGCTTTGTTTCTCGAACGAAACCATTGTTGCTTAATTGGGATACTGCAGATGACCTGCCGCCAAACCGATTCTATTAATTGTAACATAGCGTGGCGTAACCTAACTAGCACAGTCCTGATGCGATAGGTGCTGAGTCCCGTAAGACCTGTCGGTTCTCGCAGGCTTTCGAATTTGTATCGTAAGCCACCGTTTGTTGAGTGTACTGTGATCTGGTGGTTGGCCTAGCCCGTCTAATCCTTCGAATCTTTATGTAAATCGCAGATAGGTGCGATTTAATGGATAATCTTCGCTTCCCCATATGTGTGTATATATATATAAAGATGAGCGCGTATACCTTCATGATGCAAACGGATAGTTCCTCATCGGCGAACAGCAGTGTAAAGTAAGGGGTGGGGGATAGCGCAAGTCAAATGGGCTACTGATGCTAAAGCGGTAAGAATACGGCTAAGTGTCATTATTGATGTCTGTAGATAGAAATGGGCTTATCCTTTCGTGTTTGTAATAGGCGACCATATGTATGTTCAAGGTAATTGCACATCCGTGGTTGTTCTCCACCATGTTCACACTTAGAAGCTCACAGTTTTGCAAGGCCTTTATCTATAAATAAAACTGGCCTAATACCATTATATGGCATTAACCGGTCCCTGTTGAAGCGCGTATGTCATCTTAGTGTGTTACAAGGAACAGCACAAGGCCGTAGATATTAGAAAAAAACGTGTCTAATTATATTATTCTTTGATGAAAAACCTGTAACATCATTTTAGAGAATTCGAATTATGTTGCATACAAATGTGTTGTATTATAGATTACACTAGTGACGAAGAATTACAGGTATTGTCGAATTTACAACGTTGTTAGGCTGTAGAAAAAGAATCGTTTCTTAAACGATAAAAATTGAATCGTTGATGTGAAAAGGTTTGTCTCTCAAAAAAGGCGTTTTTTGCATCCACTCGTAGAGGTGGTGAAAGTCACGCAATTCAGTACCTGCTGTTATAAGAAAAATAATAAGTAGTCCTGTGTCAATTGATGGCACATTATTAGATAGGACTTATAAGAATCAAAAGAGGAGATGTGGAGATATTGTGAAATCGGTAGGCTTTTAGTAATGTTTAGTTGACTCCAAAGGCAAGTTTTGTAATTACGTGGACTTCCTACTTGTTGTTAATTTATCTGCAGGTGCAGTAGTTAGTTAATTATTAAACATTGCATACTGGTGTTGGTAGTTGTGATGCCTTCTTTTTTGGTTCCCAATACTGGTGCCATTTTACATTGATATTATGTGCATACTGCACTCCAGTCTCCGTATTTAACTAGTATGCATTATAATCGGGGTTGTGGCGGATTCGTCCTTCGTGCAGCAATGGTCTTGACGGAATGCCTAACGTTTCCTTGATCGGCTCCGGTATCATGATCTTGATAATTTCCCAAGTGCTGGCCAACTGACAGATCTGTGGCCCGATCATAAAGTCGAACTCTATTGATTACACAGTGGGTTTCTTGTGTGAACTCGTTTGGGTGTTGTGCTCCCCTTCGGTAGACCAAACGATTTTTGCTCCAGCATCTTTTCACAAAACAAAAAAATTTAATTGATATGATAACATTTTCCTACTTTTATGGTGTCAATCCAAACCAACTGATATATTCTTATCGTTATCATATGCACCTTTCTTTGTAATTAATAGGCTGCTATAAAGTGTGTCACCTACTGCATCAGCAAACGGCAGGAACCGTATTAATAATTCAAGGCAACTAGAGGAGCTACTGTTTATGGACACTGCCCCGACTAGATTGTATTATACAGATAAACTGTGTGAGTTCCTGTATTTTTTCCTTTGGCCAAACGCACCGACAGTTGGCAAGAACGAGAAATATTCGGCAATAATACCAAGCTAAAAGTAGTCTGGGATACTGTATAATAATAATAATAGTACTGAAAGTTACTACGAATATATAGAGAACGTTCCCTTAAAAAGTTTTTATCTGTTGTTTTTGCTCTTTGACAGGCATTTCTGATATGTTTTTCATCGTCTCTATTTCATTGTTCATCCCATAAGCGATCACCTTAGTTGAGTGTGATTTACGTTGTACGAAAATAACTATTGTAGTTGATTAATTTTGTTCATTGAATTAATTTTTTCAATCCTGGTTTTAATGTAGGATTTCCTTCTCGACAATAAATATTTATCAAAAAAAGCAACAAGTAGAATTCCAATAGCTCGAGCAAAATCTGTTTCCTATTGAAAAGTCGGCTTGGCCTTATTCTCTTAGCTCTAAATGAGACCTGGAGACAGAATGCGAACCAAGCTGAATATAGCACACGGTGCATTTTCTTATTCCACTTTGCATTTTGGCCGAAGCTCCGATTATAATTTTTTTCGGCTCTTGTGGTAGTTTGATCGAGCAATATTTAGCCCAACTACAAGACAAATGGTACATCTAGTTCGATCAGTAAAAAAAAATTATGTTTGATTCTTGGAGAACGCGAAGACACCATGAAATCTCCGAATACTCGAAAATACAGTACAGTATAGATATCTATGCTCTAAATTTCGGTTGTTACTTAAATCTTATTTTGATTCTTGTCGAAAGAAGCAGTCATTGTTCTACCTGTAAGCTAATTATTGCATAACTGTTTCTTTCTATTTGTCGACTATTTACAAATCCAGCAATATCCGTTAATTACCATAGTGAGAGCTAAAGTTTCCTTCACGCTCATAATTGCGCAGCAGAATACTCCAAGGTATGTCCATCTGGGTCCCCAACGTATCCGTAATTATTTAGTTGTGTCGCAATCTCTCTGTGTTTCCTTGAATTGAGGGTTTTTATAGTTGAATAATACCTAAATAGTAACATGCGAATATTAGGTATCCCAAACCTTCTCTATGTAACTACACATGTTGTGCAGTTGTTTCGTTTATATCTATACTAGATGCTCCTAATGGTAAACAAAAGATTACTACATATTAGCTTCAAATCAGAATCTATCTAGTCGTTGACGAGTATCCGATGTCATCATACATCATAGTAAGACACTTCTATTTAACCTACATCACTAAATTTTATTATTTCGAACACATTTTTGTACATCATGGCTGACTTATCAGTCCAATGAAACAAGTTGAATTAGATAATCTTCGAGTCTATAACTATTATTTTGAAGAGTGCCTGTACTGCATGTGATATCAAACTTTGAACGAGAACAGAGCAATTTTACGATGAGTGTCATAGAAAATGGGAACTTTGTATGAAGTATTCTTAAAAAAAATACATACAAATATATAACTTTCGATATCCTTAGTTTGTTTAGTTTTGTAACCGATATCGTTGGCGTTCTCTTTTTTAAAAAGCTTCGACTTATATATTCTTTATTTGATATTGTTTTATTGTTTATTAGGCTACAAAGCACAGGTAGCAGGACCGGTTGCCCGATGGTGCCAGTGCGTTGATGAGCCCGTATCCTAACCAAAAATGGTTCACCGAGGCAGTTCGTCACACATGCAGGTAATAAAATTTTATAGAACATATATTGGCTTTTAAATATGACGATGCTTTTCTTGTTGAGCTAAGTAATTTGTTAATAATAAGATTAAGGTGAAAAGAGCAATGCTGACGCTTAAGTAGACTAATTAATGCCTGTCCGGTAGGCACGCTCTATTAAGTTGCTATCTTTACACATTTCGAAGACCAACTAGGCATAGTACCTATCTATTGCTTTAGCTCTTTAACATTGTTTTGCACACATGCTTGGCCAGCAAACAGCGTCCGGATCAAGCAAGTTACTGAAGTATTACAGACTCATTACTAAGAACAATAGCGTTGGTTCACAGTTTGTTGACGGATTGAGCGCTTTCCCCAATCGGTACTAATCATTTGTGTGTGTTTGAACCTTAATCACTGGCTAATGATCATGATTGAGATTAACAACGGCGAACTAATTATACGACAATATGTAGGCTCAACGATGCGGTATGCTCGCGACGAATGGCGTTATTAGCGAAATGCGTTAAGGGACGACACAAAGCGAGCTAGGTTGATCCAGAAGAGCTTGCTACAGACGTTGGACTCAAGAACATAAAAACCGCAACCGACCTACATTACGGCAGGCTGGCGTTGATGTAGCCTTAGAAGATGCCACCCTGTGAAGATGTATCCTTGCCATCTTGCCAACACCCGAGTGATTGGTCCTGTGCAGCCGTTGTCTTCGATGAAATCTCCACTACTTCTGCTTCTCCATGAAGAGAACGCTTCGACGCAATTGGCATCGGCTGTCTGCTAACTTGACCCTCCGTCGCCGGAAACATCTGCGGTTCGAAACGCATTGACCATCTTTGTCGAAGGACACACGACTTGAAGGACATACCAATGCTTATTGGCACCTCGATAATTCTTGCTACCTGAAAGAGATCCAGGTAAAGTTTGCTCTGCCCGATGTTGTTGTACCATTCTCCAATTTTGAGATACATTTCTCTTCTATCTGTTGTAGCTCGGTTATCGTAGCTGCACACATGGTATGATCTCGCATCAAATCATCATCGGTAGTAGATCCTATCTTGCTTATTTTTCCTGTCCATACTGTTGACAGTGTTGTCGGATCAAGTGTTGGCACAACCTGATCGTCGTGAATGCATTGGCTTGTGAACTATTTCGTAGTCGTGAGGCCACTGTATCGTTAAACGTTGTCTTTATATATGTCAACCCAATTCAACTTCTAGATACGACTCCCACCATTCCCTTAGCAGAGCAGCAACAACAAAGGCAAGGTGGGAATAAACTGAATCCCCGGGGAAAAAGCTCAAAAAATACTTTTGTAGTGATTAACACGGTTTAGGTTGTTCGTCTCGATTGCTCATACGAACAAACATAATACGTCCATTGTTGAGCAAAGTCATTTTGTCATTGGTCATCATAGTTGCATTCATTTAGTGGAATTGATTAAACAACGTATTGCCTTTGTCTGCTGGGCCTTCTATTCCGGAAGAGCCAAAAACTTCGTAGTAATAATAATAACGACTCGAGCAAACCCTGTGTGATAGTATAGCAACATCAGTAATGGAATATTTTAACATATCTAAGCTTCATGTAAATGAAACTCTCTCTAATCGTGGTTCTGTATGTTGTACTTCCTATTCGGTTCCTTTCATAAAGTAAACAAACTGCGTCACAAGATAGTATTTGATCGTTTTTCTTCACCCACTTAATTTTGTAAAGACTATAAAAGGCGAGAAAACTAGTAACACTGCCTTGCACAAACATTTGAAAATTAAATGCACGCTGTCTTATAGTCTGCACCGTATTGCAGTTGCAACTAACCAATAGCATTGTAACAACTGTACTTGTCTCCACATAGTCAACCATAACTTTTCACGCAAGGTGCATCCAAAGCTATCAGCCATAACTACCAATACCATCACGAGCAACTGCATCTGATCATGCTTGCCTAGCAATGCTAATAAGTATAAAGCACATGTAACTTGGACTTACTAAATTATTATGTTGAATATCTATGATCTGTCACTGAATGTTGCGTTTTCTGAAGACGATGAAAGTGACTTGTACTTGTAACCTCTCAACTTACCTTGTATGCCACATTTTGGGGTAATTTTTCAATTCAGTTCAATATGTTTTTTAAATTCCTTTTTGACTAGACGATTTTTACCGTTATTGTTGAATTTCGCTTTCATTCGCTGATTTCGGGTTAATATCATTTTCAGATGGCTTTCGAGGCGAAGCCGCCATCGATCGTAACGATCAATCCTGGAGGTTTGGGAAGCACGGGCGTTGGCGTCGGTATGGGGGGCACCATCCAACTGGGAACGTGGACGAACGGCGAGACGGTGTTTCACATGGTGCCCGTGCTTATCAACAACCTCAATTCACAGGCAACTGGCCACGGCGGTCATGGACCCCATGGGCCGGCACCGTCTGCCCATCAAGCACATGTTGGAGGCCATCCGCACATCAACAACAGCCTCAACAACATCTCGAATATATCGTCAATGAGTAACATCTCATCTATGAACAGTCTCAGCAATCTACAAGGCATCAACGGACTTGGCAGTGTGACATCATCGGCAAACTCAATAGTCCCAGCAAACGATGTAAGCTAAAAATTATTTTTTTTACACCTATTATAAGGCAGACTGTAATATACAGTACTCGGGAAATATAAACATTCGGCATAAAGCATAGTCGTACCCAGAAACGTGGTACTCACCTAGGCATAGGCCATCGTGAATCTCATATAAGCCTAGTAATTAAGAGAAAGTGTTGAATAGAGAGGGCAGATGGGGTAATCAAATTCAGACTAAATTTCGCACGTAAAGGAAACAGTTATTTATAAAACAAAACAGCGCGTCGTTTCCAGAATTCCTAGATCAGCTATTATACAATGCTGTTACTCTACCGACAGATAAACGTCTTTCTTTGCTTGAAATCGATCATCTACGTTATTGCCAGATTTCATATGGCTTCAAACAGATTCAAGAAAAATTTATACGAAGCAGACAGTAAGATTCTTAATAGAGTTGAGATTAAAGAGCTCGAAAATTTGCCTGGATCTCTCTGCAAGAGATTAATCGCAATGTTTTTATAGGCAGAATGTCAGAATCGTTCAGATAAGCTGCATCCGTTAGTTTTTTTTACACTTTTTGCGGTTTTCTGCGCCTTTTGTGCTTATTGGCCGTTATAAGGCTCTGCATTTAAGAACTTTGACCTGCTATTAGCCCAAAACTAAATCAGTTGGAATTTTCTACACGCAACGAATTTGGGTGACGACCTTATTCCTACTAACATCGTTTGACGCACGCACGGTTATGTTTAAGTTATTTGTGAACTAAAGCAGGAATATTCTGGAAATACCTAATGAGCGATTAGTTCCTGAATCTTAGATGTAATTGCGGTGAACAACGTTTATACTGAATAAACAGGACCCTCAGGATTGTCACTTCTGACACATGCAAAAGAATTTATTGAAGTACCTGAAGATACGGTAATAAAATTAAGTTCAAATTTAAATATTTAATTCTGTATATAATATCATCATTTGTATGATAATTAGAATTATTCGTTGCAGGCAACGAAACTGTTTCTATGATATGGATGAAACAATTTTATCACACTTGTCCTTACCTCCGATGCATACGAAGCAATAAAGATGAGAATCACTCCTGAAACTTTTCAGGTCGTATGCTAATTTCGACTTGCATTTTTCTTGCAGGTTACCGTCGGATCTAACGCAGGCCAAGTTGTTGTTAGCAGCAGTAGCAGCCATAGTGGAGGTGGCATCCACCATCACACAGCAAGTGGTCATCACGGAAATCATGCTGGCCACCATCCACATCCACTGGTTACTGCGGCGTCGTACGGCGGGTCTCATGTGACTACGCATGGACATACAACGACTTCGCACGCAGCAGCTGCCGCGCACGCAGCTCATGCTGCCCAGGCAACCTTGGCCGCGCTCGGCACAGTGGCCAGTGCAGGGGCCACCGCAGGGGCAGTGGTTGTGGTCAAAGAAAAAAAACATAAATGTGAGTTCTGCGGGAAGCGGTTCACTCATCGACACCACCTGAAGACTCATGAGAAGACGCATACCAATGAGTTAGAGCATGGATGCTCATTTTGCGATCGACGCTTTAATCGCAAGGATGTGTTACAGGTTAGTTTAGGAACTTCATCTGTGTGAATTTTGATGTATAAGCTATATAGGGATATGTTGTAAATTTCATACATACACTAATAATAACCAATCATATTTTTTGGCTAATTGGTTTATTAATTGGTTGGCTCATTGCATCTAGGTGCACGAACGGTCACACACTGGTGAAAAGCCCTATAAGTGTCGCTTCTGCGACGAAGTGTTCTCGGACTGTCGGATGCGCACCCGACATGAGAGTCGGGCTCATCCCAACAAGCAATATGTATGCGAACAGTGTGGCGAGGTATTCGGGGTTGATCGGCGGCAGTTTTCATCACATATGAAAAAGACGCATCGTTCGGCTGTATACAAATGTGAATTCTGCTCGCTGACGTTTGTCAGTCTACGGTTGATGCACGAGCATATCCGTGCGCACCACCACCCGCATCCGCCCGCCCTTCCGTTGCCTGCTCCACCGCAGCCAACACGAAAGCAACAGCAGCAGCAACAGCAGCAGCAGCGCGTGCAGATCGTTCTTGAGCCCGAGGTCGAAGCGCCGGACGTACAAGCCGTTGTCAGCATCGAAAACGGGGGTAACAGCGTGCATGTACGGAACGTGGCCTCAAGTCACGGAACCACGACTGGCGGAGGCTCTTCAAAGGGTCGCCGAGGGAATCAGCAACATTCTGCGGGCGGCTCAACTGCTGGAAGCGGCGGGGGCTCCGGAGGTGGCGCGACGGCATCATTCAAGTGCACGTACTGCACGCGGACATTTAACCGCAAGGACTGTTGGAAAAAGCACGAGCGCTCGCATACCGGCGAGAAGCCATATAAGTGCCGATTCTGCGTCGAGCCGTTCGCATGCACGACAGCCCGTGCTCGACACGAACTTAAGTACCACCAGGGCGAGAAGTACCAGTGCGAAGAATGTCGACAAGAATTTCCCACCAAGCAGCTATACAACTCACATATGAAGGGTTCACATCCGGACGAGCCTGGCTCACTTCGATGCGGCCTCTGCGCGAAAACGTTCAAGGAGGCCAGCGAGCTGGAACGCCACATCACAGCAATACACTCGACACACGACGAACGCCTGATGAGGGCGTGCAGCTCACTGTTACCGTCGCATATTTCTGCGGCAATCATCAAAGATGAGGGATCCATGCTGAGTACCGGAAAAGACCATCCAAATCAGGGCCAACAACAACAACAACAGCAACAACAGACACCGCAACAACAGGCCGCACAGCAACAAGTAGCTCAACAGGCCGCACAGCAACAAGCAGCCCAACAACAAGCTGCTCAACAACAGGCCGCACAAGCTGCACAACAGCAGGCCCAGGCGCACTTTTTGGCTCCCGAAATACTCGAGGAGGACAACCCAGCTAATGAGCTATTCGAAACGTAACTGTTTTCCAATCAGCCTGCAGCTGCTGATTCGGGACATCAACTATTACTAGAGCTATAAAAAAGAAGCACGGGGTGTAAAAACAGAGAGCAGAAGAAATTAACAGGGAGAAGATTAAGAAAATCATAATAATGACCAAGTAAACGTGACCATGATAGGATGATGATACCCCCGATGAAAATAGGAATTATAATAGTGACAACGTTCATTCAGAGACAGTACTATCACCGTCGACAGCCAGTCACTCCTGAATGAATGACCTTACCAAGATGATAGACGATGATGACACATCGTAAATAACGTTTATGGGATGCTAAACGATATACCGTCGATGAATAATGTTTATTAAAGTTGGATTAACGACAACGTCGACAACAAGCTGGTTGGACCGAAATGAATATGTACGAAACGATGACCTGGTCGTAGTATAAACCAGTAGTGTATATTATCGTTCCAGTATATTCTTTTGATTCGTATCATTCAGAGCTCCTCTGCTCATTCGCTCGCTCTCATAACCAGAAACGCGGTGTTCCCATACAACGTTCTCGCCCGTGTTTGCTGCGGACTCGCTACTCTGATGATCATTCCTCCACAACATCCATCGATTCACACTCATTGATTCATTTATCTCAGCGGTCCTGACGTCAGATAAGTGGCAGCCAACCTCCTTCCGGGTAAAGTGCGCCAATAATCGCTTCTATCTTTTAAGCGATGGTAAATATGTTCAAACCGTGAACAGGAGGTGGATTAATGCCTGACTATATATATACATATACCGTGTATGTTGATGATGGTGATGCCGCTGATAATGGAATTTAATATTTTGTCTGGATCTTAAAAACAGTGACAAGATTCTATATTAATGGCAGAAGAAGCCGCAAAAGGTCAGGGAGAGACAGATCGCGCAACAGAGAAAGACAGTGCGCATGAATGACCAACACTAACGATGAGATACATGTAAGAATAACAATAATTATATAATAGTATATATCTATATCTGTGTGTGCGTGTGTGTACGACCATGTAAGATAACAACAGTTGATAAAACGGGCTCATTAATGGCAATGCGCCTTGTACATCAAGCGCAGCTCGGGGATCGCAGGTGAAAATGGCAGAAAGAATCTATTAAATGAAAGACAATACGGCACCAGCATTGATGCATGCGTGTGGCAGTTGTGATGGTTGCCGTTGTCAAAAGCCGCATACTGCGATGCCATGACACACCCTGCCATGTGTTTGGGGGAATTGCGACGCGTGGGTGCTCGGTCCTTGATACCATAATAGTAGTAACAGTAATAGTTTATTCCCTCGCCCCCTAAGTCTGTCCTAAAGTAGTCTAGTCAGCGTAACAAAGCGGTAAGAGGCCACAAAGACATCATGAGGGGTATTTGACGGAATCGATATAGTACGGTTAACAAGAGTGCCTCCGCCTGCGCCTGCTGCACAGTCCGGCAACACACACAGAACGCTATTTCAGTGGCTACGCTACACGCACGTCGGTTCCCCTAGCGCTTATTTTCATATGGGTGTGGTCAGTGAAAATGTGCGGCTTCGAGTAGTCCCCATGCATATGGCACTATATATCCATTACAAGTCCAGCTATTTGGAGCCGATCGATCAGTGTGGAAAACATCTTATTATTGTCGTTTCATTAATAGGACGGAGAAGAAATAAATATTGAGTGAAAAAACTGGTCGAGTAAGATCAGACAAACAGGGCGGATCGAAACAAAGGAAAAACTTGTTTTTTGCTGGAGAAAAACGTAATTTTGTTAGTTGTGCACTATAAGCGGAAAACAAAGTGTGCGCACATAAAGCGGATCACATTATAAACTGATTACAATTATGATGATGATTACTATTATTGTGGGTAATAATTATATAGTGCAACACAAAGGAGCAGAATTTATGAGCAAGCAATGCAAAAGAAACGAATGGATCGTTGAAGAACCTATAAAAAGAGAGAGAAAAATTGAACAGTGTAAAACATGAAAACTCTCCAGTTAGATCCTGCCCACGAAGGATAAGATATGATAAAATGTAAACGACATAACCGGCTGTAAACTGTAAACGGAATCGAGAATAAGAGAAATCTAGCCTCAATTATTAGCCTAATTCAGCATAGGCCTCTCCGAGTACTTGTAGCTTTATTATTCGTTTATTACAATATTCTCGATTATAGCTCTTATTACTGTTATCACGGCAATTACTATTATTCTGATTATTATATCATCATAACTGTACTTTATGTTGACTGTAGACAAAAAAAGATTAGGTGTCGCATATGTCCTCCTCATTTGATATGATTACATATATATACATACATACTGGTAAATGATAGCTACGGTAATGTCGATGTCTATATACATATTGTTATTATATATACAAGCATATATATATATATATATATATATATATATATATATATATATATATATGAGAAGCAGCTTGCTTTTGTCAGGTTCGGTTTTTCTTAACATAGAAACAAGAAGAAGACATCTTAGAAAGCAGTATATATATATATATATATATATATATATATATATATATATATAATGTAGTAGATAATTTTGTATATATTGTGCATACATATAATACTGTACTGTTGGTGGCTCGACCAGAATATGACAGGTCAGCTCCATCGGGCCTAGACAGAATGATGACATAAGAAAAATTTCTTTGTACTATATTATTATAATTATTAATACAAAAATTAGTATTGTTTCCACAATATGCGTAACTATTCTGTTGTTAAAAACGAGAAGTTTATAAACATACGACGCAGAGAATGAAAACAAATAAACGGTTCACGTTGCGCAGTTTGTGCGTGTAGCCGATCGCTTTTAAGTTATCAACTTAGCGAAATGATCTTGGTTATAACAACATACACATAAGAATATATCTACATATATTCTTATGTGTATATATGAACGAGTACGTATACAGCAAGCATGACGGGATGATTATTATTACGAAGTACCATAATAACAATATATCAACATGGAATTGAGTTTCTGGAGAAATTTTCCTCCATGTTTTGTTCATGGCTGGTTCATTCATTCAAGTTAATATCTTCATTGCTATTATTATAGTTCATACACGAATTATTTTACTCTTTCTCCACTAACAGAAAGCGTGAAGCCTACCCATGTATTGGTTACCATCACAGTGTGTACTTGTATGATAGTGCTACAATAACTGCTTCTACTACTATTGTTATAATTATTATTACTTATTTACGAAATGGTAACAGAAGCTAAAAGGGACGAGTACGATTCTTATAATGAGGGTCGTCGATTTGAGCAATTGGTCCTCAGTCGGAAACATGATGGATTAGCAATAACAAGTTGATCTTCTTCAGAATACCAGAAAATTCACCGGTCTCTTGGCCAGGACTGCGACTTCGAATTGGAACAGCGCAATAAATAAGATAATGGGCAAAACATATTCAGATTCACTAACATGGTATGAAACTGGTCGTGTAAGTTGTTACCATAATGGAAAACAAACCCTAGATTACGCCACCCAGATAGTAAAAATCTCGTGGAGAAATTTGTCCTGAAATTATTGCTTTTTGTAGAATCGAGAATTCATTTCTAAATGGAACAGGGCTATTTTATACGTAGAAATTGTTGTTAACCGAATGGTTTCTTTCTCCGGGGTATGTAATTACAAACTACATACGCTATTCCACGTGGTGGCCTCCCCACCAGAAAACATTAAATTGAAAGGTTGATACAACTAGCGTCAATGCACAAGATTCTGTCCTATATTGTCGATCGATAACGTGAGAGCGGGTTAGTTTGTCACAGGGTGTGCTATTCAGTCTCTATAACCGATCCTTACGGAGGTACGGCAAAGAAAGTCTGACAATTACATAGTTAATAATAATAATATATCGCAATATGAAGATATGAACTAGATTCCAACAACAACAGTAGTATTATTCGAGCCATTTTGATAGTAATCTATCGCTTAACTTCCCTCTCACTCGCTCATACAGATAAGAAGGTACATTTCAAAAAGATGGTTCATTTAACCGCATTCCTACGGAGAATACAACAACAACAGCTTATCTGTACATTAATCAAATCGTCCAACGGTGGAATCAAAGGGTAAAATTAACTATCATTAAGTGTAACGAAAATTTAGTAAATTGTGCTTTTTGCCACCTACTTGCTTAGCTTTTATCTAAAGACTTTAAGGGAGCATGAGCATTCCACAGTAATGTTGAATACTTTCGTAAAAGTTTAGTTGCACCTGTTTCTAAACGGAATTTTAAAATTACGTTAATTGGATTACACTTTCCTGCTTATAGGTATAAACCGTGATATATCAAAGCTATATATAGAGAACAATAAAAATGTCGACACATACAGAATTTTCATAACTTAGCAACTGATAATAACGGTTATTAATTTTGTTAAACCTACGATCGGCATCGTTATACGAAATTCATCGAAAGTGAAAAGAGGCACCTACAAAATCTCTTCAATAACTAGATTCATCTCGTTAGAGAGAAAGTAGACGCGGAGCAAGACCTCGCCTTTTTATTGCGCTGGACCTGAGTATTGGCGGTGACGATACTTTTGTTTGCAACCAAATGACACGAATGTGTCGAAAACTGTCGATTCCAACGTGGGCTCTTTGCTTGGAAGTTGTTTTTTATCTGGATTGAGCGTGCAACATGTTCTTCGAAACGGTAGGGTTGTTGTGCTGTTTTCATCGAGGACAAATCTTTGTGACCAAGAAATATATTTGAAGGTGGGTGTAATAATGGTAATCATAGAGACAACGCGGATACTATACATTTCGCAAAAGTTCAACCAGTGACATGAGCAAAATAACGGTGACTATGACGATGACGACGAGAATATGATAGCCATTTATAAAAAGCACCACAAAAACAATTAGGTAGTTTCGACCGCTCTAACATAACCATTAATGGTCGAGGCGCATTATTGTCTCTTGATTGTAAATAAACCTATGCAACAGTTGCTCTGTCAGAAGACAAAAAAGGCCAGCGTTGTTTTTATTGAGTTTTTCAGGTACTCCATTTTATCGCCGCATCAACGGAATTATGCATCCTCCAGTCCTTCCATCATGAAGTCAACGAGGTCGTATTGGTTTACCGGATTACTTTGCGCACTTAATGTATACGATAAGAACGAAAACAAGCAAGGATCTGGTGAAACCATATTCAGATGGCTGGCACTTGCCCGCATAAAACGAAGTGCCTATATTTCAACCTAGCAAAACTAGAGAGAGCTGGGATACGATTTATGGCGTGAAATATTTTTGACTTAAGCGATACTTTTACAGGTGTATTGTCCTAAGCAATATACAGCCAAAGGTAGGTAGAAATATACCCTGAGAGCTTCATCGGGCAGAACATTATCTTTGAAAGGATTACTAGTGGGTGAGTGGATACTACAGTATCATATACATGAAGAGAGATAGGGGAGGAATAAAGACATAAAGAATAGGAGGTAATATCTAGGTGTGCACAGTTATAAACATTAACATACATGGTTCGGGAGGAACAGAAGTTACAATCTATGAATTAAATGTAAAAATGTATTTACAATTAGTACGGTATTTTAAAAAGAAACTAGGAAAAAAATATGTAATAGAATGTATTTGATGTCATCATATACTGGAGATACGTAAAAAGCTCGAAAAGTAAAGAAATGGTGTGAATAAAAATCAAGAAGTGAATCTGAACTGAAAGGCAGGCTTCGACTGAAATATAAGAAATTACTAGTCTGCCTCGTTGTGCAAAGTGACATCATGTTGTAGAGGAATGTTGATTAATTTATTGTATATATCTACTTGTAGATGGGTATGAATGAAAGTGCGTGCAGGGACGCATCCTATGCAACATCTTCAAACACAATGGATGTATGGCTTTTGACGTGGAAACTCGTGAATGAAGTAAATATTTAACTGAACAACAAATCTCTGAAATATAAGACGCTAATAATTAGAGGTATATAATTTACCCGTTTAAATAAGTTTATATATATTAGAAAATGTATTTCTCAACAAAGTTACGAGTTGTCGAAAAATGCGTCATTTTATCTAATAATCTGATCTAGTTGGGATTAAACTGCGTTTTATACTTCAAAACACTTGAAGCCCCCTTCTGAACATTTGGATAGATAGGGCCCTAAGATGAATCTGAATGACATAATTGAACATCCATACGAGGCTGACAGCATATTTTGTATAAGGAATCCATAAACAACGCTATGAAACGCTGGTAAAAATTTATCCACAACTGTCATCATCGAGTAGCTTCTATGATCAATATTGAATAATCTGTCTCGAGCTGATGTTTTTAACCAATAATCATTAACCAATCAAACATCAGAAAAAAACTTGATGAAAAAATGGTCTTGTTCAACGAATTTATATGGTTTATTCTTGTTCATGCTACACGCGGTCTTCGTCTGAAATTTTATATGGGAAAATTGACGAACTGTCATTTTTGGACGGCAGTCTATCGTTCGATTTGCTGAACCTGAGTTGGGAGTTTTCTTTGTCTATGTGCATCTTCTGCGATACTCTAATATTTTGGAACCGTAGTCAAGTATCACTTAAGCCAATAGTCTGCCACGTTGTTCCCCCGCTATATTTCAAAATATACATGAATTCGAATTAAATAAACCGGATATTTAAAGACAACAAATCTTAAAAAGTATTTCCTGTTAACTAAACACAATTATATAATAATTGTAGCTCAGATCATCAAACTACTGAATGACGGATTTTTCAGTGAGGTCTTTAATAATTGCCGAAGTAAACAAGCCATTTTTATAATCTGTACTCCCCTAAACGTAATGAGGCCATACCCGTCATAGACACCGTCAAAAATCGTTATTTTGATAAACTTATTTTGATGTCTGCAACACACTAGAGTGAAGTACAATAATCAGGAAGCTACGGTATATTTCTTTGGCCAAACTTCCTGTGGATCAAGCTGCCTAGCCTTTTAATACCAGGCAAGCCTTTGAATTCGTACTATTACCCACAATAAATTTTTTGGCTCCGACGAAAATGGTTACATGTTTGTTTTGAGTGCAACGTATTCCTGCTTCTCTGGTGTATGCCGTTGTGATTGCGTTTCGCCACTGGCATCGATGTAATTGTCTACATTTAGCAATGCACAGGTGGTAATTTTTCACATGGTAATCTAACAGCAAATCGTCAACCAAAAAAATCTCATTCGCAAATCATATATTAGACTTACGTTAGAATGTGGAATAGCTAATCTCAGTATTACACACAGTTACAACTGAGTCATCGTTCCTTTTCTCGGGCCAGTCAATTCCTTCTATTGTATAAAAATAATTGCTCGGTCAATATTTTGCTGTATTTTACTACATTGACCATTACATCATAACATATGAACAGCAGGAATATCGTTGTATTATTAATAACACATAGTACTATAGCTGGTAACATTCCTCGTTATCATAACAAAATTCTGTCGGCAAATGGTCGAAAATTTAGTCTCCCTGTTACCTTTAACATAGCCAACGAACATTAAAAACTAACTTTATCCTTCATATCATTATACTAGGACCAATGACCGTCCTTTTATGCTATTTTGTTAGAAGATAATGCTATCGCTGAGGCGGGTCATCTCTTGATTGCTGCTGGTCATCAGATTCTCCTCCAGCACCGTTAATATTGTCCTGATCAGGTCGTTCGTTTAGCTCCAGATCAGGTGGTCCGCCCTGAGCTCCTCGTTCTACCGCTGCTCTGCGATTAGCGTTATTATCTTCATTATTGTTGTCATTCTGTTGTGGTCCATTACCCCCTGTGATATTGGACATGAGGTTTAGGACCGCGTCAACGAGGTTGGAAACGCCCTCCATTACGTTATTTGCTCCGTTATTATCGCCATTTTCGTCTTGACCGGTCTGAAATTTGAATGCGTATTGAAATCAAAATTAAAAGAAGTAGAGTGAGAGGGAGTAACAAGTTAACGAGAAAAGAAATTTATTTGGTAGATTCGTTATGAATTAATTCTGTGTGTCTTTCACTATTAGTGATTTAGAGACAAAGACACAGTGAATTAGATAAAATTCACAGCTTAAGGAGAAACGTTAGCTGTGTTTCTTGTTTTACTCAACGGTAATGTACTTGAGGGCTACGGTTTTATAGTGCATTTTCAAGAAAGAGTATGCCAGATGCTCTCATTTCCTCTGAGCTCCGTTTCCAACTGTTCTACGAAATAGTTTACGCACCCAAGAGGGATGGAGTGAGTTCAGAAAGTTTGCGAGAGTTGATTCCGACAACATGTTATCCGGAGCGATAGACAACAACTCAGGTGATAAATCTCCATAAGCGTCCTTCGGAGGAAATGGATCGAAGTCGTATATTGCTAAAATTAAAATAAAGCGTCAAATATGAAACTTCCCGAGTATTAATATATCATAATATAACCTTGTGACATAGCTAGAAATTTACTTCTCTATGAGCCCTTGTTACAAATTATTCATTAGTGTAAGTTTATTGTCACTTATTTACAAGGCAACAACGCTGTTGTTGGCTTCTGTAATGAAAGCTGCCGTTGATCTGAGTAACCTGTTTAGAACTGTATATTAACGGATACTCTTATCTTTAGACTATTCCCGCATGACTGTAGTTGCAAAAAGAAAGTAGCTATATCTTACAGACACAATCGCATACACGCTTTAGAAATCATACACGTTATCGGATTAGCATGCTCAACCCAATATTAACCACATCCGAAGTCAGTACGTTCCACCCTAAGCTAGTAACCTAGTTTTATGGTTTTACATCACTTTTATGTTCTAATCGTCGTCTTTAGTGATGGTTCAATATTCAAGCTACAATGCCAATAAATTATCTTAGTTGTGATATACAAAGAAAACGTTCAGACCCTGTGATCTAACAGGCAGTTTCGGTATTGAGACTGCTGACATACTCACGCTGTCGGTCTTCTATATTGCTCAGATATTGTCCAATTATCGTTACGCCCGGCACGTGGGATTGCGTGATGTGACGCAGAATATTGCGTCGTGGGCGATGTGGCGTATCAACCGATGCAATGCGTATTCCAGAGTCCACCATTTTAGTGGTTATTCGCTCCATCCAACGCAGAATTTCCGGTTCTCGATACATCCAAGCGCATCTGTGTGAAAAAAAAACAAGAAAATTGTAATACATAAGTTGATATTAAATTACCGACTTCCTTTGTAGATCATAAAAATAGTCTATAATGCAGACATTCTGCCAGTCGGATATTTGTGAAAGACTGTAGATACACTCGAAAATATTAATATGCACACCCTGAAATTCAATCCTTGGACTGCTGTTAGCTGCTTGTTTTCAACAGCTTTATGGAAACAGCTAACAGAAAATGATTTGTCGTTTACCTCTCGGCATAGAGATGAACTGTTACATCGTACGGATAATGTTTATCGAAGATACTCGCTATCTTTTTATCCATTATAATCGAGTTCTTATCCGTGATAGCCTTCAGGACTTGAGGAAAATTCGTCAAAGCTTTGATGAGTAGGCGATCGGCCTCATCGTACCGTTTTAGACGGAACTGTGATAAAGCGATCGAATAGGCAAAATTCACGAACTGGTCTAAATTTCGGCCCGCCTGAAAGATACGTAAAAACAATGGCACATTCATAGAAATTACTTTGCCTAAAGCACTCGGAAATCTTCCGATAGGTTTGGCCCCGTAGTTACGGTAAATCACTGCATGATTTTATGGATGTCAATCTGTCACTGAATTTGGAATTTGATCAAAATTCACCCTTTGGAACGTCTCAAAGAAGTGCACTAGCCATTCGTCCTCCTGGGCACGCAAAGCATAGTGGTCGATGATTAGAAGAACCGCCAAAGGGTCGTGTTCAGGGTCGAGTGATAGCAATACTTTGCAAAACTCCAGCGCCGTTTGAGGGCAACCTCGTTCAGCTAAATTTACAACATATTTAATGGGCGATTAGATATAGCATAGCAAATACAATAATAAATATATTTCTTTATATACCTTAATACAAATATGTGGGTTTTTATTAGCTTACCAACCCTTTATAAAAACGCACGCGTATCTGACATGTTCTATTAAATTGTTGCTATGAGTTTTTGGCTTGAACAGAAAATTGAATTGAAAATTAGATGCAAGGGAACTCACACAGATAGTATGCATGCTGGAAGAGGGCAATAAATAAAGGTCGGTTTGGCTTCGCACGATAGTCTAGTCGGCAGTTCCCACTCTTCAGATCGAATGCCGAATGAAAGGCTTTCTCCATGACGAAGATTGCCTGCTCAACGAATTTCGAAGCTGGAGTTTTCTCTTCATTTGTTCTACAAATCGTGGCTACTTGAAGTAACGTATCTACGTGATCGCTAATTCTAGAATAGACAGCGATTCGTATTAAAAGAGCACGAACAAGGTTAATGCCAAACCCGTTATATCCTCTGCCGGCAGTATTGAGGTTAGCACACCTAATTAATGTTTTTATGCATTACTTCTACGACTGTTTCTACAATGAACGTTTGCATATACTAGACGTGTCATTCCTGACGATCATGTTTATTTAATATAACCACTATCCACCGGAAAAATCTAGGACAAACTAGTCTATTTCGAAATATTCCTCCTTTAATCTGCAAATATGTTGTTACTAGTAACCGTATGCCGAGCGATACTAGCAAGTTCGTCAAAATATCACTGAAATACGCTACAAAAAATTCCAACGAAATTAAACAGTGCGCTAATAAGAGACTGAGAGTTCTAAAATCGCGAAGGCTCAAAATAGTTAAAAGGATTAAAAGATGGAAAACGGCGAAAAAAGTTCGAAGCTTATTTGAATGACCCAAACGACAATATCGATATTCTTTCTTTAAATATGCCATTAATTTGTGCATTGAAAACCTATGTGTAGTAAAGACAAATTGTTGTGCGGTAGAAATATAAACTTAAAAATAAAATACTAAGAAGGATTTTTATTAAAAATGAACTAAAATAATAGGAAGATGTCTATTAATTAACCGGAAAATCTATAAAAGATTTTATAGATTTTTCCAGTTAATTTAATAATCTTCTAGTATCATCCTAGTATTCTCTGGAAACTACCTGGAAATTATTAATAACGTAGCACATAGCCTTCATCCAACACGGGAGGATTGGATAATAGTTGATCTTAGCTCAAAAACGACAGAATGTTGTTCTTCACGACGAGTTTGTTATTTTGTTCTAAAAATAACTGGCTTTCGTCCGGTACTATGAATAGTACGTAAACACATGTCCGTTATGGCAACCAGTCCACCAAGGATTCCCATAGTTTGAACGTATGAATCTTATTATGACGTTTATATTGTTCATAAAAAACGCACCTTTGTAGCATCCCTAAAATGTCATCCTGATTGAAGCTATTCACGAGAAGCATGAATTCTGCCTGCGTACGCCAATAGTGTGGGGAGAATTTGTATTCGAAATAGCCCACCCGATCTGGAACAGGCTCCATCACGATGCCTCCAATTTTTCTACCCTGCATAACAAGGAAGTGATACGCTGCAGCAACAAAAATAAGGATAAAAACAATAACAGCAGAAACAGATAACAATGTTATATGAATACCCTCTCTTAAGTATTCTGAAAAAGAAACAAAAGAAGACATGTTTCTATTTTAACACGAATAACTATTTTGCTGTTCTCACTCTTCTGCTCAAACAGAGCAAATGCAACAGAAACCTCTTTATTAAAAAAAAGTTGTATGTTAAGCGTTTCAAATCTTTATGATATCTTCCAGCCTATCGAGGTACCCGCCACGCAAAGAAACTACAAGCAATGCTGGCTGTCAAAGTGTGTGGTTTAAGCATTTCATTTACGAGATGTGTATTTACATCTGCAATGTCACATTACTAATTTTCTTCTTTCTCCTCTTTCTAGGTATATAAAAGCAATTAGAAGCTAATAAGCCATGGAATATTAATGGTAAGGGCATCAACTATTGAAGAGGTAACCGAAGATAAAGTATGTGATTAACTGTTTTTAGGCAAATTCATAGGAAAGACCTACCTGCATCTGGAATTAGAAGACTTCGCATTGCCCCAGACACGAGCCGCTTTCCAGCTCCTCGAGGCAACTGTGGCTGTTGCTGATGACGTTCTTCGCGAAGCACGGCAGCTCCAAACTTAAGACGAAGTTCCCTCTCTGGATTAAGACGCTTGACGTGAAAGGAGAGCGCCGACTTCAACACATGATCGACCCTCACTGCGGTGTCACTTTTAGCAGGCCGACTTTGCTGTTTAAGCGTAAAAGAAGACCGAACAAAAAATGTCCAGTTACATTGATTCTGGTATTATACTCTCACCGTGTACACTTTGTACGCAGTATTCGGAAATATCGGGAAGCTTCGGAGCCGAAAATCGTGAGACTCTTCAGGCTTAAGATCAAGCAAAAAAGTATAAATTGTTACATCGGATCACAAATTATTATCCGAAGTAAAGAATTGTCGGACATGAAAAAAATTACAAGCACACAAAAAGTATTCGGTGTAATAAAAATATAATTTGTACACAAGATAACTTAGGCGTTGGCTTCGACTTACATGTTCGGCGCACTTTAATTCCTTCTCAAGTTCATGTTTGTCGTCAACTCTCGCCACTTCTTCTGTTTTGCACCCGCTTTTATTCTTCCTGTTCCTGCGCTTCTTGCGGTTCTTCCCTTTGCCACCGCCTGTACTGTAAAGTTCTGTTCTGTCGGGGCTCTTGCCCTGTTCTCCGCCCTTGTCACTACGATCAGTGTCACTATCATCTTTACTACTGGATGGGGGAACAAGCAAGGCAGTTGCCTCGACCTCGTCATCCTCACCGTTTGATTCATTGGCCAACTTCCAGAATGAAGACAGAATAGACGAGAATCATGAACGGCGGTTTAAACGGCGAAGATTTTTGCTTTGCATATTAAGCTCATAACACCTATGGCCCTACAAATATTAGTAGCTTACCCATGTTATTGTAGTCACGGGTATACTTTTACTCTTCGCTATTAATACGGTTTTTTCAGTGGACACAATACTTTTATACTTTGTTGTGCCTCTGCAAAAAGAAGCTTTAGTACTGGTAGATCGATGGTACTTGCTGTATAACATCGACAAATATGCGGAAGAAGAAACGGTAATCTAGTATCCTACCCAGGACTGCCGTCGATAAACATTCGTAATTAACTTTTTTATATCAGATAGTGATCAAAACAAAGTTCGGTATTCATTTACAGCTCGTAAGTTACATATAATGAATACTTGAACGTTCTATGTATGACCTGTATTGTCGCTTTTTTATGCCAAGATCAATCTTACATCCTCACAGGGTAAACATTAATTTCGTCCCTGGTCCATGGATTTATATATCTTAAATAGCAACTTTGCAATTAATTGTAATTTTTGACACCAAATGACAATCTTACTGAGCATGAACCAAACGAAATCGATTATCTGCAGTTTGGGACGTTTCTGAAGTAAAACGTTACGTGATACAAATAACATATAAATGCTTTGTCTTCTACAGTTGAAAAACGCCTGATTCGCAAAGTAAGCATTCACCTTCGTTTCCGTTACACAAAAGTAGGCTATTGTTGTAGGCTTGATGTTTCCTACCATACGAAACACGTTATTAACATGCCAGATGACAACCTGAGTTAGTTTGTTTTTGGACAATAAGCTTTACGAGGCTGGGACTGAAATAATTGCCAACTTTTTACCGCCTAAGCACTTTTTTTTAAGCACCGAGTTGCACTCGCATATGGAATCGGATAAGCAGGCAAAAAAATCAACAGTGCAAGTTTAGGTGCATAGGATTATTTCCGTCGATTTCGATTCCATCATAAGCGCTATTATACTTCTTATAGTATAGCACAAATACTTACCAGTTGAAATATGCTTGTTTTTTGTGGCTTCGCAGCGAGATCGTCTTCATTCGATAATTTTTTGTCAATGGGAGGTATGACGATTCCTTTGATATCATTTTGCTGCTCGAGCCGTTTGAGGTGTCGATTCGACATGGCTGCCAACTGACGTCGGATCTGCAATATTTACAGACACTATCTTACAGATGATGGCTTCTGGTAGCACTTAGATGCCTTCCAAAATTAAGATACCACGGATGGTTTTCGCTCATTCGACCTAGACGAATACGAAACGGCAAGTACTTTCTTCTTTCCGCAAACACCAAACTCATGCAGTACTTTCTCTGCTATCAAAACATCTAATGACACTTGTATTTTTGAAACAGTCGACTCAGTATGTGACAGTGATGTAACGCCAACTGACAACCTATTTTATAAAACATTCATAAACCACAGCACCTACTTATTTAGAGGTTCACAGACAGTTTGTACAAAAACAACTACTCAATGGGTGCAAGGGTATCATGTCCATATAAACAGTTTCGTCTAAATGTCGCAGTGCCACCGGTATTTGCAATATGGTGGAATAAAGAAGATCTACACGGGATACAGAAATAACATTCTGGTCTTGTGTGGTTCTCCAGTGCTCGTAAAGAGCGCCGCTGTTCGATTTCATTCGCTGCAACGCATATAGCTAGTGCTCCTTCAGAGTGGAGCCTTTTTGATAACAACTTTGATGTAATTTACAATATAGTGCATACTGGCTGAGAAGGCTCTGGCTGAGAAAACCCAAGGTTACTGCTTCGAGTTAGGCCGTTGTTAACATATACTACACGGTAGATGTAGGTGACTAGAAAATGATTTAATACACAGTATTATTTATTCCACCAATTAACATAAATGTAGTTTACTATGAAGTAATCGTGCGATGTAATCAAGAGGTTGCAATTTTTTAAACTCACACATTAGACTTCAAGTTGAAGAAAACTTTAGCAGTCGTATAAATTTAACAACGGCCGCCTTTAAATGTATTTAACGCAGAAGTGGTCTGATAGGCCTGAGTTGGTTGTTTTGAACGTTTCTAGAAGCAATGATAAATTTGTTTCTGTAAACTAGTCGATTTATAATACGAACATCCGTCTATCAAAGGTTATATACGATAGTGCGCATATAAGTGTAGCAAAATATTTCTTCTCGGCAAGTGCGTGTGTGTGTGTTAAAACAGCCGACAGCTTTTCGTAGGGTTCGCAGCACTTTAATAAATTTCACATGCCAAATCTAATTTGCACAAAAAGTACTCGGTTTGTGTGTGTTGAGGTGCATAATGTTGGCGAATGGTTTATTTGGCGTGTTGGAAAAGCTGAAGGATGACGACTGGGAAAATTGTCAATCCATCCAGAAGCACATGTGAGAACAATACACTTCGCACACATAGTAACTAGAGTGCCAAACAATATGAGTATGTTTGAATATGTATCTATCTTATGTGTGGTTAATAAGAAGAGAATGTTGATGGTGTTGACTGGAAATAAAAAAGTAGGCAGGTGAAATGTTTACATTGCGTAAACAGAATCCCAAGCAGGCGCATCTATGGTTATTCTCAGTATAAATTTGCAGTAAGATATCTTCGGGCTTTATTTTTCAATTTGTGACTCTGAAACAGCAGCGACGGGCCGATACCAATTAGCACAGATCCATCATGGCGTAAGGTGCAACATATTAGTCTGCTACTTGACGAACTATCCAGGACAGCTTTCACTGATTCAAAAGAGTCAGTGATACTGAGCGTCTCTCAGAGGAAAACTTTATCACAGACGTTTGACTTTCTTGTCGGTTACAGTATTCGACCAAATCTTCTCCCAGCAGTATGGAGAAGTACTCAGGTAAACTCAATGTCACGGATAGAGGGCGTCAAGTACATGTACCTGGCCCAATGCAGAATTGATTTTTAGTAGAACGTTCTGTGAATACTGTATACCCATGCATTTATATTGTAATACCCAATTACTTAGTCAATCAGTGTGTAGCCGAAACTAATCAATTGTGTCTTTGTACCTTAACAAAAATCTGCCCTTTCATATTAATGGCTATTATTATATTATGCTACACTCTAACAATGAGCCTCTATATTACATTGATATTTAATGTTACCTGATCGCAAACCTCTAGCCAAGTCAACTTAAGTGAATTCAAATTCTGCCAAATGAATTTCAGAAAACCCCAGCAAGCGAACCCGTAAGAGCTTTACAGGAACATCGACGGCTTGTCGGCTCTATCAATCTATTATTGTACTTTGCTTCTATACACCAATTTGGATCTCTTCTCTACGAAAAACACTTAGCTGACATTCTGATTACAATGTTTCAACTGTGTCACGCTCCTATTCGAAAAGTAAGCATCGAAAATTGTAAAAAGACGAGTCTAGAGGGGCGCGAGCTATCTATATACGTGTGGCTTACACATGGACTTGAAATCAAGGACGAAAATGAAACTATTACTGTGGAGAGCGTTGTAGCAGAAATGAAGTCTGATCGAATGGGCCTCCTTCCAAAGCTCGATAATCTGCTAGCAACGGTATTTCAACCGGCTATGATCAAATGCCTCCTGGAGATCTTGTCACATGCAAATCCGGCGTGGTTACGTAAGGCGTGCTCAAGCAGACTTTCAAATGCTCTACTACGCAAGAACGGACTAGCGCACCTGTTGACAGCAGTCAGTGATTCCTTAGGCGCAGACATCGCTGAGTGGAAGCGGATGGAGAATTTCGCCTTGCTCGTGGCTCGCTGCCCATCGTTTATAGATCAGGAAAGCTATTTCATGAATATCGGCGACCAGCTGCGTAGTATTATGTATATTTGCAAGGATCTAGCCCAATTTCGTTTAATTGTGGCTGTGCTGAACTCGCTTTTGGCTTGCAATTCGATTTTGGCTATTGAACACGTTTTCTGCAAGTGCTTCAAGAACTTCGTTGACGTTCTACGTGGACTAGGTGCAGTTTCCTCTGAGGAACTTCGTCAGCATTTCGAATTCGTTTCGAACGCACTCGATCTGCTGCCCCACGATGCTGTGTTGTTGGAAGCTTTTGCGACACTAATGCCAGTGTACCTAAAAGTGGCAGCTTTTAGCCACAAGTCGGCTAGCAGTATGACTCAGCAGGCGACGGAGATGGTCGCAAAACTTACTGACAAGATAGAGGAAGGACCACTAATAGCGATTGGGATTTTCGATCCAAGCGAAATACGATTCCAGATGCACCCACATGTGAACGCATCATTTGCCAATAACGGTGAGCACTACTGTAAAAATACCATAAGAATGACATGAATGGCTCAAAGCACACTATAGCGTTGATTCTCAATTTCCGTTTGGTCAGGTCTCTAGCATGTTTTCGCGCCGAGTCATGGCAGATTTAACAACCTGAGTTTTCGGCCTTTTTGTATAAATTACCCATGGGCTAGCATGGCTAACAATAGCGATCAATAGTCTAGATCACTGCCAGAATTAGTAAGAAAAACATGCGATTCTGTAAGTAGTAATCATTTTTCGATTTTGCTGAATTTTAGGGGGTGTGCAGTTGACGACCACCGATGACGACAATGTGACAGATAATGCGTTTCAACTAAATGCCAATACTTATGTAGAGTTGTTTATTTCTCTTGGCAAAACCCAGTTTAGACTTATACCAAGGCTTTTTTTCGTGTTACTTAGTAAGTTTGATCAGCTCAAGGAGGATGCTTCCCCAAAGAAGGGCATATTTTTCGGAGTTTTCGTAGCGTCCCTCATCACAGCGTTCGAGCCTCTGGTACAAAAATCTTTAAAAGCGGATGTCGAGCTGATGACCGAATTCACACTAGTGAACCTTCAGAGGTACTGTTTGACACCCAGCGCGACCAATGACGACGACAGCCTAACCCTTATACTTGGTATGCTCGAAACGTTAACGTCAAATAGTGATCAGTTAAGTTTGACTGGTCTTAGTAGACTTAAGCTTGCCTCAAAGTTGCTAAAGGATATCTCCGGGCCCCTGACTGACCGGTGTAATGATCTTGTTAAAATTATCGATGAACTTGAAGTGGCAGGAAATGTAAAAAGCTTTAAGGATCCAGTGCCATTCCTTTCCTGGAAATTTGCTCCCATCGCTACTAAGGCACTATTAAATATAGAGTGGAATCAAGCGGACAGTTCGGCTCCTGACGAAGACCTTGTTGACTGGAGGGAGCCCACGCTTGAAGAACTGATAGCAAAAAGGATACAGAAGAACCAAAAGTCAAACAGGTAAGTTTCGTTTATATTTTGCACTCGTGAGCTTAATCTAGAAGAAATAAGAACTGAGTACGTTTTCAACAATTGCGTACACGGCAAATTCTTCCATGTAACTGACTCAAAATTTATAAAAAAAAATAGCCGCTTGGAATCTATTTGATAAGGTAGCGTTTATTAAACAAATTCAATGTTTTTTTCAATATATGTTATTAGGGCTTCCATCTACGGGACGACTAGCATCTACCGAAGCGTCAAACATGAACTACACAGTCCCGATATTGCTATACGGGGTCACGGATTCATTCAGCTTCGGAAACTGCTATCTGCCAGAAACAGCGAAGCAGTCAAAGATATTGATACAATTGTCAACTTGTGCCGGTAAGCAATTTCTTGTTATAAGCCCACTATTTCAAGGTCAAATTAATTATGAACATATCACACTGTCTCGAATACAGAATCGGTTAGAAGTGTATATGATGTTCATGCTTGTCTATAATAATCGTTTTGTTTTTTACATGATAACTCTATAGGCAGGGTATGGAAGAGTCGGATTCATACATCTACTTAGGAGCGGTTCAATGCTTCGCGCAGTTAGTTGAATTGGACACAGCTCGGCAGCTTCCTGTACTTATTGATGTACTCAGCGGTGTGTCAACTAAGGATAACCGAATTCGGGTACTTCTGGCCGAGTGTCTTGCTCGATGTGTACCGTCATTTGGCGACATGATGTCTGTCTATTCAAAACGACTCATTGAGGTACAGGAGATAGCACAAACATAAAACATAATTTGACTATTTGCCTAAAAAGTGTACAAATTTATTGTTTCACAAATAGACAAATTTTGCGGTCATATAACATGCGGCGTGGATTATTTGCTACGAACCTTAAACAGAGATATTTTGTCAGTACATACAAAATACAAAAGTACTACAAAATATAGTTTTTCCTGAGCTAAAAATAATGTATAAAATGGCAATATTACCATATATTATTTTTGCAAAATAATTAGCATGTAGAATATTTTTGCAGGTTCTTTTCGGGTGTTGCAGTGATGAAGAGGAGCTGATACGTGTTTTTGGCTGTTCGCTTTTGGGCGAGGTCATCGCAAGGCTCTTGAACGTTGAACGAATATTTCATCAATCGCTTAACATTATCGTGGCTCTAATGACATCGGACGAAAGTGATATGGTTCGATTGGCGGCGGCCGAAGGACTGGCAACTCTTCTTAAAAGTAAGACAGACGTGTATAGAGTAAGAAGTTTTTATACTATGGAATTTTTTTTCAAGTTTCCATCTGTTTTCTGATTTGTAACTAGTATATAAGGCTTTTATGCTTTTTTAACTTGTACTTTCTCGAATTAATTCGCACTGAGAAAAAGATTGTTACCTAAAATCCATATAATTTCAGCCAAAGTACGATGTCAGTAGTATCCCGCACGTTTTCCGATGAGCTTATAATAGCACAGGGAAGGTAGATATTAAAGTGCTTAATTGAATTGAGCTTTACAATGATTGTTTGACATCTTCAGATATTGATAAGTCGATTCTGGCTAGAGACTACGGTGGTGAAGTGCGAGACTTGCATCGTGTTGTAAAACATTTATATGCGAGGACAGAGAATCAACGGCTTCAATATCACCTTCAAGAAGTTTTGTTTGCTCTAGGAGATCTCGCTAAGAAGCTTCTTCGTGGAAGAGGGATCGATAAGCATTGTAGTTCCCGAATGCGAGAAATGAGATTGTGATCGTAGATTATTCAAGGTTTGAACTTACAAGAATCTCTTTCGTACAAAAGAATTTCATTGTATATTTGCTTCTTTGTCGGAGTCATTATTTTTACTGCAAGAAATAGAGTTAACTAGAACTTCCAGGAAAATGAACGATTTTCAATATATATCTCTGACAGTCTTAGATAACCATATTTTATTTTATGTATCATTCGATCTCGGTCGCCAGGCATTTCACAATGCCAAAATAAGGACAACATAGGTCGACAATAGAGCGACAAAATGTACAAAAATCGCCACTTGTGTTCAGTTACTATACAGGTAATCTAAAGTTAAAGCAACTAAAACTTTTTTAAGGCCATGTCTTAAGCCAAAGGACATATCTGCGATGATTTATGAAGACATAGAACATGTAAATTCAATGCCGATACAAAGTATTGAAAAGTAAAAGAAAAAGATAAAGTGTCAGTTATAGCTACCGTCTATTATTTTATCATCAATAATACGAACCAATCCAGCATCCAGATAGCAAGCAACGTTTGTCGAGGAGTCCACGCACGTATCATCGATTACTTCGCGCCTTCTCTTCCCTATTTCAGCATTGTACATTGTTCCGTCTTTTATATACATGTAGGTAAATTACTATTTCATAACACTATGCTTATATATATGCTTTCCATTACGCAGGCGTTCAGGTTCGCTAGAAACTCTGGAGTATGCCAGAGAACAAGTGTAGTTGTGTATTCATGTGCAGGTGTTGTTTTTTATAATTTTATACCACTGCGAATGATCACTACGTGTATCATTAGCGTCAAGAATGATATTCTGTTTTGTAGATTAGTGATAGAGATAAAAACAATAACACTAGATAGCACGAGACGCAAATGGAAGTATGCCAATCTTTAAGGGTTAAAATAAAATTCGTCTTTGTTCGGTACGTTTCGTACGATTTCAGTTTGTCACATTGTCAGTTGACGAACTTATTTACCTACATGAAATAAGAGTCTGTATGCAGTAACTGAGAATAATGGATGCACATGTTTCTGGAATTTTCCTTTAATTTCTCTTCATTATCTGTTCTATTCGGGTGCTGATTTCTCGATGTCCATAGCGTGCAATACTTACCCATTCAGCTAATTCGGAACCTGCGCTCACATCGCGGCTCGCTAATCATTTCCCACGCTGTTGTATCGCTTCACTGATCAATATAATCTATCTAACCTGAATGAAATAGAGTAGCTCTTTCTGATAAAATTGTGCGCGTTTGAAAGATTGTGTCGCACTTTGACTTCCTGCTTATATGACCGGCTTGGTTTACAACTACAGCTATTGGAATGTGCTCTCTCTCTCTCTCTCTCTCTCTCTCTCTCTCTATATATATATATATATATATATATATATATATTGTATATTACATGCAAACCCAGCACACTGGGAAGTGAAATAACTTTTAAACCAGTTGGGCTATAACGGTGATCTTTTAGTACGCGTTAGAGATACTCTCCTTTATATTTTACACACCACTCTGCCAGTTTTTGGATAGCTCCGCTCGCTTTCCCGTATACAGTGTCTCTATTTATGGTTTCTCGAAGCAAAGTTAATATTCTAGTACGCTTGTCTACCAGTTTCCCTCTTTAAGGCAGATAGGATCCCGTAATTACACAAACATAGATCAGGAAAATAAACGGGTTAATGTGAACGTTGCAAATTTCATTGATCAATCCAGAAAGTGATTGAGGCATATCGATGGAATCTAGTAATTAGAATGCATGTTTTCAATTTCCATCGTAACAGCCCATAGCAGATGCATTCATTTTTGGCGAGTATATTATAATAGCAAATACCCCTGATGTTCATTCCAAGTACTACCATCACCTTATGTCCAAACCTATTGGCAATGTCATTGAACTCGATTTTTTTTGTCCAGGACGAGGCCGTTTTTTATGGCTGATCGCTCTTCAACTGCTAGTGAAGATGGGATGCTTCGTTTAGAGCGACTGTTTGCTGCAGGTGGTTTTTTTTAAGTCCCGCAAAATGCACGTGGAATACACCACATATATTTCCAACTGACCTGGATTTAATCCACGAGGGGTGTATTTTATGATCAGTTAATGCACTTGCAGGATTTGAATTAGAATTCTATAAAAAGTTCTATGTGGAATGCTAGCTTTGGCCGACAGATTGCCTTTGACTCTAAATTCTTCCTTGCCCTTCGGCTCTCGATAATTCGATTTTCGATACTGCGATCTGCGTCTTTGAGAGCTTACACAATTTACATCCTGTGCTGAAAACTAGGACACTTTCAGGTCTTTCGTAGTTCCAAAATTATTTAATTTTAAGGTTTGCCAGCTTTACTTATAACAGCATTATATATATATATATACATATATATATATATATATATATATATATATATATATATATATATATATGTATCGGTGCTTAACCATATACCTTCAGTTCTGAAAACTAATTGCGAAACACTAAAGCTAATATTAATAATACGAATGCTGTATTATTCTACTTTATACTGATATCCTGCATAACGATAAAAAGATTGTCAAATATTTTGTAAACAATATGATATATAATACGTCTTTCAGTGACAGTAGGTATGGGAACTTGCTATAATCTTCCTTTGATGATCACTAGCATTCATCTTCCTCGCTGATATTTCGTAGGATGAATAACTGACGTGTTCTACCTCATCATTCAACAGGACTGCTATCGACGATGAACAATTAAATAATGGTGTTTAAGTAAGCTTGACTGGTTTAAGTGTTTCCTAGTGATTTTACCTCTTTCCGTACGTAAGGTGTCGGAATGGCAAGAGAAACAAAATGCCGAAACTATGAAATGTTAGGAAGCTTTCTGCTGCCATCGCTTAAAATTACTAACAAGAATCAAAAAGAAGTACTATGCAGCGGAAGAACTTGTGAGTACTTATGAACAAAAAAATATCAATTCGTCCTAAATAATATCTCCTAATGTAGATTAAAAGACCATGAGTTCTTCTAAGTAAAGAGTAAAGAACGTTCTTTACTTTGAAATTACGCTTTGCCGCTTACTTAGACGGGATTGTCTCAAGGGCAGTAGACCTGCCCTCGATTAAATGCTCGAGCAAAACGAGCCTCTCTTCATGGACCAAACCATGTTGAAATTTGAATGGCTAGGACCGGGAAGAAGCTTGTTTCTCAGTCAAATCTCATTTTAAAATTCTTGAAAAACGCCCGTAGCACCTTTAGACGGGCTGACAAATGATCTTTGGAAAACTGCATCGTGGCCCTAAATCAAACATTCATCACAACGTAGAACGTCGTCTACAATTTCTGATAAAGAGAATTTCGATCATACACTTCACACAAAAAACACTAGAACAGTAGTAATAGGCAGAATTTATCTTTACCGTTGACTACGTCTTCCTACACGATGTGGCGCCTTGTCACTATGTTGGCTATGCCACTTACTGTCAATGACTGTTGTCGTGGTTTGCTAACTATGCAGACCTCAGTTCTATAGAAACCGTTGGGAAAATTGTAGAATCATGGGTTTGGGAAGAACAGGAAATATAAAATGTTTTAAATCGTTCTGAAATATCAGTAATGTGTAGCAACAGGGCTCATTGAGAGCTGAGATAATGAAAAACTACACCAGCATACCCCAAAGGGGCAGTTGTTATCGCTAAAAGAGAGCAGCATTTTTCCGCAGTTTAAAAATTGCCGATTTTTTTTATCGATTATTATAAGCAATAATATGGTCGATTGTAAGCAAAGCAGAATAATGCTGCTCCCATGAGCTAAAAACCGTTTAAAATAATAGCTTGCATTAGTGCTGCGCAATTGACTTTGAAGGTTGACACTACTGATTAAGCACCGACTAATATATATATATATAGGAATGAGAGAACGACAAAAATAATTTTACAGCTCAAAAGTCTTTATTAAATATATGCTCTGTTTATTGTGATCATTTGTGTACTTCCTGTTATTTTAATGGTTGTAAAATAAAGGCTTTTCAAGTGACTTTTGCCTCACTCTGCATATATATATATAAGACCAAGCCACTTTATCAAATATATGTTGTGCTATAGTATTCCTAACTTAAGGCTATCTTCTGTATTTCGCTCATTATCGTGGAAGAATTTCCCTAATACTTGTCAGATATCACCGCAAACAGTAATACTACGATTTTTGCGTAGAAACTAGCCTTTACTTTATGTAGGTGCTCAACTACTACAAAACACGACAACTGGCGATTCAACGGATTCAGTTAGGAAAAATTTTTTGTTTGATCCAAAAAAAAGATTTAACGTTAGTAACAATTAACATCCTACACTCTTCCTGCTGTGTTCATAAATATTGTATATATACACATGTAGTAATAGAAATAATTAGTTTTAGCAATCGTATGTGCCCTCAAATCCTTGTGTCCCCGGGCTGATCTATAGGGTTACACCTAGCTAATGATAACGGCCTACTACTGCTTGTTTCTTTTCCACAAACGTACATCGAATTCGCATTCGTCTACATTTGTGTGACGGTCAGTGCACGGCTACTGTGTAGATGAGAACTCGTAATCGTGCAGCTCATGGGAAATTTGCGTACTACTAAATCTAAGCACGGCAATAATGGATAAAGTTCGATATACTTCTGTCAAAAGATTTTCTCTTTCATTGCAACAATTCCAACGTATTTACTTGTGTGCTTTTCAATATATATATGTTCTTACTCTTATTAACTTAGATGTATATGCCTAGACTCCGATGGGCGCTGCTTTTACTTTTGATTATTATTAGGTCACATTCTCATATCTCATATAATCAGAAAAAGAAGCGATTCGTGTGATTCGCATGGTTAGATACGTTTTCTAAAATAAGTGGTGCAATTACCAACAAGGCCCAAACCTTGAAGTCCTGTTCGTAAAGTCCTGGCATATCATTGACGCAAAAATATTGTATTTATCGTATGCAGTTACCTTATATATTAATAGATATTGTATGTCTATATACAAAAATCCTTTCTATTTTATATCTGACATTCTTTTTCAGTTTAATTATACGTTACGCTAGAGCTATAGATTATCTACTGCATGTAGCTATTACTAAGGCGTGAATTATCGGAGGGCTATTATAAAGTGAATAATAAAGCGTAATTGTAGTTCTATTGTTTGGAGAGTAGTTCTACCGTTACACCATTAGAGCGCTGCATGACCTGGATACACATCCCTCCATAGATTCTCTAAGATATTTGAATATCAAATATAGTAATGTATTGTAGACAAGACTTCCTAGTCAGTTCATCCTTTGGTCAAGAATATTAACAATCGTACGGATAGTAAAGATAGTAATTATCAAATATTTCAATAAGCAGATGACTTAATAATTAAAGTGATCATATGCCGCTACATATTAATGAACCATTCATGCACTCTGCAAGGACATTCTGCTCTCTTAATTGTTTGTTGTTTCTTTTGAACATCCTTTATTCACAGCGATCATTGCTGACAAGGTAGAGGCGGCCGCGATGTCTGAACGATCTTCGGTGCCGGTTCAGTACTGAGGGCGTTCTCCTCATCTTGTTCACATACATGAACGATGATGCCAGGGTGCTTCTCCGATTGCGGGTGCAATTCATGAGTTTCACCTAAAACGAGGTTGTGTCAAACAAATAAATAACCGGTTTCTGTCAGCGATAATTAGACTGAACATCGGGCGTAATACGAATAGGAATATGTTGATGTTACTTAGGAAATAGAAGCTATGCAGGGCTTAGAAGCTCTCATTGTTGTTATCCCTGTTGAAGGCGCTATCCGTGGCGTAATTATGGATGGAGGAAGTCTGCAATTATGAATAGGTGTAACTCGTGGATTGTCTAATAATGGTTTCCGTCCTACCTGCAGAAATTCTAGTGCTTAAAAAGAGCCTCAACAACCATTTTGATTTGATTCACTCAACACATTCTTACGCCGCCTTTTTATTTTCTATGAGATAGGATAACGGCGAACGTTAGGGCTGTCAGAGATAGGCATAATACTAATTTAGAAGGAACATGCTTAGATATTAGTTTGCTAATTGTCCGGAAGTAAGATCTGTCTGCCGTTGGCCTATGACTGGGACCAACTTGTTGCTCATAGGTGAGCTCTATGATTCGATGAAGTCAAAGTGTTAGTGGGGAACAATTCGATGGAGAGTTGTCAATTTTCGCTTATTGTCTAGTTAGACCATGCTTCCGGAAAACATCGAAATGCGGGCCGATCATTCTTGGACTGAGTTAAACTGTTTTGCAACTGATTCGTTACGCTGCTAAACTTGTTCTGCCCGCGGCCTGCTCGCTCTACCCTTTATACATGAGGTCTCCTAAAAATACGAGGTTGAATAGCGAAATATGTAAACGTAAGTATTCACAAGATGAGCCTGACTACGACCGCTATCTGATACTGTTTTGAGCGGCTTTCACAGCCACCATATGCGACAATATGTCGAATGAATTAATTTCGTAAAAAAAAGGCGAAGAAATCTCTATCTGATGTACTATATAGCCATCTTTATTGAACTATGTTTAGATCGTGCCTGGATCTGATATCTATTCGACCCTAGAACAGACTTTCTTAGATACAGCATTTATCTGAGAAAAGGTCGTGAGTACCATCTAACATAACCCATGAAAATTATTCAACGGGGACCTAAATATAAAAAAGAACCAATGTCTCAGCAAGTGACTACCACTACTACACTATACGTTTCTCCATGATTGACGCATTCCTTTCCTTAATCACGAAGCACGAGTTGGCAGTAGTTATAACATTTATAATTGTAATAATGTTTGAATAGGCTCAACCCGCCTTCTTAATAACCCTCAAATCTTATAGCTACATTACTTAGCGATGAGCGCAGCAAGTATTAGGTAACAATACTTAGTATTTTAGCGAGTCACTTGTCGTAATAACTACTTTAAGTTGTGGTATAAACGTAATTAATATTCAACTTCGGGACACTCAGAGAAGCGAACAAACGATAATTTTATATAGCTGTTTAATAGCACACACTTTGGGGAATAATTTGGTTAAAAACCATTGCAAGATGCATTTGAGAATCCTATATAGCCTTTTAGCTAGTAACTTACGATGGCTTTACATCTTTATTAGAAATTTCTTGTATGATTCGTAACATTTGATTTTCCTCACTTGTCAGTTGCAATTGATCGGGTTGCTTACGGGCTCAGAACTCGAGAATGACCCATACCATTTTTGCTAAGAATTGTGGTGTGGATAGTACAGGTTATTGTAGTGATCGGTTTCGTGTCCTTGAGGCGATTCAGAAGTAGTACTGAACGACAGGATTTTCTATAATATGGCCCCTGGTACACGTGGCAGCATCGCAAAGGTAGATTAATTTGAACTTTATGCATTACATTACCAATCTGCTCCTTAATCACCAAAGATCCAAAATCTGCATGCCATTGTCCCCAGATCATTGCATAAACAAGCTGATTTAGGTCAAAGTAATTGGGTTTAACTTCATGATGCTCATCGAAATATTGCTGCAGTTTGCTATCTAACAATTTTACTCTCTGATTAACGCCGGGCGGAACTTTCCTTTAACAAATTGACTACCGCTTTCAGTTTCAAAAAAGGTTCAACTAGACTACATCCGTTTTCACTGGTATGGTCGGAATTGATAAATGTTTCTTAATTTTAATGCTGAATTTTTTATACTTTGCTTTGCTTAAATTCTGAGACATTTACTAAATTATACTAAATTAAATTCACCCATTCAAATCAGACGCTGTTCATCAAATCAGGTCTGGTTGCGCCGCACACATTTTTGCCATTTCATTAACGCGGTTTACCATCCAAATGTACTAATCAAATACCTCGAGGCTGTCCGCGCTCCACTGTATTGCCTAGAAAGGACGATACGTTCTGATCAAAGACACGTTTTCGGCTGTTTGTTGTTCCTTGGAGGCTTTTTTGGCAGTGATTTGTATCACAAGCGTCTTAAATCTCGGCGCACCTAACCTGTTGATATTTTTAGATCTAGTGGCATCGTCTGAAGTGAGACTATCCTAGGCCAGTTTTCGAAGATCCGTGTTCCAGATCGGAGTTTGGCAGTTTTGGAAGTTTGGCAGACGGGACGACAAACAGCTCATAATGAGACAATGCTTGACTAAGCTAGCATTGAATATATAAGCTAGAATTGATGGTAAAGTATCGAATGTAACGTATTGAGGGTACTTCGCCAAAGACGAAAAGCGAACTTCATGTTCGAAACGCATTCCATTCGAGCACTTCACTTCAGGTATGTCGATTAGGTCTTTTCGACAGAAACTGTTATTACAACTTCACTGAGACAAATATCTGTTACCAATTTCTCTTTAACGGTAAATTTTTGGCTCTTTCTGTATTACCCTGTTGATGTACAACATATCACCACACATGTGTATTTGTTATGAACGGAAGCATACTTGAGTATGTAATAAATACGGTTATAAATCGTGCCATTGCACCGGGAATAACAACAATCCTGAAGTGCTTAGTTTTTTTGGTGCAAATCAGATATTTTCAGCACACAAATGGTGTTCTTCATAGTGTTTCCTCGTCAGACATATAAAGATGTCAGGGCCGTTTTCAGTATGTTTATATATATATATATACAGCTTTGCTAAATCGGCTCTATTGCTTTAGCGAATGCACCGGTCCCCATTCAAAGCCGACAAACAAATTCTTGCATAGTGTATCATGCTTCGATGGGGTGCTACTTAGCTTCCTGCAATAAACAAAAAGCAAATCGACTCAGCACAGAGGAGGCAAGATGACATCAGCATATTCAATTCAGTACGCCTCATTGACCCCAGGCGATGGTTGAGGTACACTTTATCGCTATACATTGGATGCTTCGAAATGTCTGAGCGCGATAAAAAACGGAAGACAAAACGCAATCGGTGCTAGCGCGTCCAGTTTGAGCTGAACGAATTGCTAAGTACGTATTTGGGTTAGCCGATAATTACGGCGATCTGGTCTGATTTGAATATCTAGCGGCTACTCCCTCTGTATTAGGTAAAAATACGCACAGACCTTTTGTAGAAATACAGGGCTCTGAAGCGCTTGTGATATCCTCGATATGTGACGTCTCCGAAGCGTCTGTACGCTGCGGCAGACAACATCTCCCGTAGTTTCAGACCCTAAACGAAAATCGATGTACTAATAGAACAGTAAGCGGCACATTAGCTATCCGGCAATAGGATACATAGCGAAGTCAAGTCGTATCCGCGGCCGAAAATCTAGAATAGAGAGAGCATAGGCTCAATGATAACAATCCCAATCACGAAAATATAATAACGACAATAGGGCCCGACAACAAACAAAAGCAAGCTGCCAAAAACAAGGGTTCTGAGAAAATGTCTTTTAGTCTCTGCAGATGTCGTGGTGTACCGATTCTACCTGATATTTCTATTGACGTGATTTTATTTAGTATAATATTTATCACATAATGAATACGCCATTCAAGTTGTCGCGTATTACTTCATGCGAGTATACGTGACGAATGTTCCCTGCATGCTGATATCGTCAGTGGCCCGGAAGAGACAAAAAATACCCATAAAAACATCTGCCTTACAACATTAACCCGTTAAAATGCCACTAAGAGAAAAGCAAATTTCTGTGGTTTCAGAAAAACGACATTCTGCTTTGTTTCTTAACTTCGATGTAGAGGATCGCGTTTTACGCCCGCTGGACGAGCTAAAGGAACTAGCAGAATGAAACGGGCGAAACCACTATGTTGTTGCTGTAAGTCTTTACATTATGCCGCAACTTGTTAGCGTTGTATAATAGCGCGCAACAACACATATTCGTGTAACATGCTCTGGATAACGAAATATTCACTATTAAAATTTTCACCAATCACCATTGTTGTTTCGTACCTTTATCTGTGAAGGCGCTGTAGTTAAACTTACATTGGAAAAATAAATATTGCGAGCTCTCTAGCCTTAGCACAAGGCAATAAATATACAATGGTGTTTGGGACTGCTTTCAGCTGAAAGTGGTACTTCTTTTAACACTTGTTAATCCAAGGTATATACATTCCTTCAGAGGTCCCATACAATCCCAGTGATGACCTTACTATTTTTTTTTTATTTTACTACTAGTTTTGTTCATTGAATACCTTGTGCATGAATCTTGTTCCATATGACTTATCCCCTGGTAATTCGTTTGGCTGATATTGCACATTAGGTTTTCCTCAATATAGGCACTATTGCTTAATGAAACGAACCCATGCATGTAATCATTTCATGAGCTGATGACTTTGTTCTAGATCGTGGACACACAATTACTGCTGTTGCATGAACGAACAAACATACTTGGTGTATAAGGCGCTATTTCACGTAATTGCTGCTTATTACGAAAACGTACCCGCTGCAGGATATAACGTACGTATGTATAGATACCGTGAAGCCTAGTCATGTCCAAAACGGCGTAATCACGCTAGAAATGCTAAATTCTATGCAGATATGACTCGGAGGATTTGTCATGCATCCAATGAAATCTAGGAGCAAATGACTTTAAAGCCCAACTGCGATTGGAGAAATTTAGCAATATACAAATTGCCCTTTAAGGTTTATGAACCTGCAAACGATCGAGCATTATTGGCCGATATATATACCAAAGAGATTTAAACAAGGCTTCGTCTATCGCATATCATCAAAATTTCAATATGAACTATTGTCATTCCTATTTACAACAAACCTTTGTGAACAAATGAGAAATTAATGATAGTAAGCTTTTAGTATGTACAGTCTATACTTAACAAGGCGAGGATTTTAAGTAAGTACGTATGTAATAAGCTGCTTTGTCATTAGTCGTCACTTGCCATGTTACGATGTATTGATAAGCCCCGTGAGCCGGTAACATCCGTACTTTCCAGATGTTTTCCAATGACAAAGTCGATTAACAGTTCTGTGCGCGGAATGTGGTCGTAGCTCGTATTGAGAGAAGAAAGAGGGACCCCTTAAAAATGTCGGCATTTATGCAACCGCAAACTAGAATCCTTAGCAAAGCGTAAGGACAATAATCATATCCTGTATTCATATGGCCGCGATGGTCGATATGATAAATGGAGTGATCTTGTAAAAAGTGAATAGCGTTTCTTTCTTTTTGTATCCATCAAGCAAGCATGCGACTTTTATCTTATGCGAAAAAAAAAGCCGTCACCATAACGCGTAGCTGATCACATGAATAAAGTAATAAATAAGCAGATTCTATTAGTGGGCTGGTTCATTATGTTACTACGAGATAGCGCGTAAATTGGCTCATGAACTTTCCTGCATATACGCGTTCAGTGTCCAGCCAGCTCGCGGAGATATTCAGGACATAACAACTTGCGACAACCGCCGTAATGCAGATTATACTATTAGCAGGTCAGCGATTAGACGGCCGGGTGTCATGCTTTAAATCCTGGGTGTGCTATGTACACTTCTAACAGAATATTACGCCCTATTGGATCTCTTAGAAACCACCGTTCGATCTAGAAATTGCTTTTAGTTACTTCCCTGTAACAGAGTAAACGTTTCAGGTAAACTACGTTAAAAAGATTACTATCAACAAAACATACTGTCAGACGTTCCGAAATGTCCCTTACGATTTTTTTACGACAAATTTAGCGCAGTCTGACGTTCAATCATAAGATAATACAAAGATAACGCAGGATTAAAAACCTGATAGAAGGCATTTCTCAGGAAGGGTTCCTCATATTTAGCTAACTGAGTATATTGGGTAGATGAGTCGAGTAGACCTTACAGATCCTTTTTTGTGTAGCCTGAATTGAAAATGTTTTAAAAACACAAAAAACAAAAGGATAAGAAGAAATCGCTGCTCTATGCGCAGGTTAATTAATTGTTGCAATTGTATCGATCATATGAGAACATATCAGGTTGGTTAAATTAGGTCTTTTATCCATAAATTAGCTGGAGGTCAGCCCAGGTAACTCAATGTTAAGGGGGCTATGATAGCGGAATAAATGACAACTTCAGCGGCGAATGTAGTAGATTAAAAACATACGAAGTTTGACCTAAATAACTCTTAGACAGATCGAAGTATGTATTTAGTACCGCTGCGCGCTATTTTAGTTTATTTCACTAAACAGCTATAATCCACATTTCATTTAGGAAAGAAAATATGTCTTTCAATAAATTTAGTTTCTTCTGTTTATATGAGTTTCCAAATGTATACAGCCCCAGATCTTCATGCTGTTCAGCTGATGATTGTCAGACAGGTTATGGCAGGTAGCAGTCATTCGAGTGGAGCCTCTATCACCAAGCTCGAACCGGTAAACCATTGTTACTGACAGAATTGGATAGCAGTTCAAGAGTAAAGTCGTTACACTTTGATACGGATCACAGATAGCTGCAGAGTATTGATATAAGAAACACGCCCTGCACCACATGAATTTTTACATTATAGCTATTTCCTCCACAGATCAATGTTTCGTAACCGATACTTTGTTGCGTAATATTGTTGATCAGAAAAAATTAGACACCGCTAGCCTTTAATTCCTTTAAACCCTTAATTCCAGCGCTACTGTAAATCTAACGAAAAATCACGTTAACACAAATACACACAGAGATTCCCTATGGGCCCTGATTTTGTTCGATCGGTCCAATATCTAAGCGAGAAATTTACTCAGCTGCGCGGATAATTGACCTTGAATATATTCCTGTGATTTTAGGGTGTTTTTCACTTTTTCGTCTCTTGTATGCCCAACTATTTTATAAGCTCGTTATCCCACTAGTCTAATAATATTGAGTAGCCGTTTGGGAACGTTTTAGCATCCAGTTCTGTGTCATAGAAAAAGGCCGACATAGGTAGGGCTCACGGGTTTGTAAGCACGATTCTAAATATTCATAGACCGGATGAATCACAAATAACTGTATTTTTAGACTTAACAATTCACAATGAGAAATTAATATTGCGCAAAGTCGCATTACCAGAAACAAATCATAATATTAATTAGGAATACATTCGATAGGGAAAAAAAAGGGATGAGACGATAGGGGCAAATAGGCTTATGATGCCCCCGTATATTGCATAATGCCACCGAATGTCAAGCCTTCACTAATAAGAAAGCCTGTACATAGAGCAATCCTACAGTGTCTAGAGGACGTGCCATTTACACTAATACTGTGTACAGATATACAGCAAAGAATCACTAGCGTAAGGACGATACGAAGAAGGCTTTTTGGTAGGGGATTGAGACTCCATGGGCGTGTGGCATGGTCTTATCACCAAGGCACCGCCTGCAAAAACTAGGCATGCGCCAGTGTTGGTACAAAAATAGCCGTAATCAGTTTGCTTAGAAATGTCGCGCAGGCGTCAAAGGGAAGTCGCATGGATACTGTCAACTGCTTGGCGCCACGAGCAGGCCTGTATTCTGCATTTTCACAAACTCTTCGATCATCTCCATATTTTGTTCTTCTAATGTGTACGTACCTGGTGCGAGGTTAGCAAGAGCAGAAAGGATATCGTAGTTGATGGTGGGTTCAGATTCTTCGACGGGTTCCCAACCAACTGGCGGTGATGCTGGAGGTGAGATTAAGAACTGCTTATATGGAAGCGGAGGCTGCAAGTACGGATCCGCATTCTGCTGTTCAAGTCACGTCACAAACAAACAAATGACAAGACATGAAGTGTGCGTTACAGCAAGATTAACTAGCAGACGGGTATATCCATGCCCCTGCGTTTACAAAGGTCCCTTGAAAATACCATGTTACAAAAGTACACTGTCAGGCAAACACAACCGCTAATAGGTTGGCTGATCATATTTCATACTCATTCTACAGAACAGGTATTTCCAAGGATTTGTTCACGCAGTACAAAACTAGCCAAAAATGTAAAAAAAAAAAATTTTAATCAACATTGTCCGCCTCTAACAAAAACAAATTGATTAATATATTAATTAGCAGAGAAAAAAAACAATAGACGTCTACGAAAATCTCCAGCAATCAACGTGCTTAGAAGGTTTCGCAAGCTTATTGCTCCGAACAAGTTACGCGTCACTCCTTGAACGCACTCAAAAAGAAGTACAAACTGTAAACATTTTCTGTGGGCTGCGTAACGTTCCTAAATGTAAAAGAGTCGAACGCCCTACCCCTGAAATCTTCGATATTCATTAGAAAGCGGCTTCTGTAAAGTATCTTGTAGTGTAAAATTATTGATATGGGATCTTTACTACCCAGCTGCCAGACACACACACGTGCACATTAGCTGAAATACACTTAGTCAATGCATTCATAGTTGAAATTTATTCTCACAACGGAGCGTATTTCCTTGAAATATAGCGATTGCTACATAAGAAACAACACAGTCGGTTATACCAAATAGGAGTTGTTCGTAGAAGGTTATAAGAAGCAAGCAGCATTCAATGAATCAACTACATCCGCGTCGTTTAAGAGTTCCAGCTTTATACAATGCGAAGATGGACAGCGCCAAAGTAAAGCACTTCTTTTACAAACTCGCTTTTCTTGTATGTAGTTAAACCTGCATATTAAAAACGTAATAGGACTCCAGCGCTTAAACGCCATTCAATTTAAGAGTCTGCAAGGGCTTCGGACTGATACTTAAACACGAAAGAAACGGAATACCCCGATGTCGACGGTGAAGCTGAACTGTTGACATGCGTATGTTTACAGGTCCTTTGAAACGCCACCGTTTCATGGAATCGGCAGTTTTCTTAAAGTTTATACCGAATGCCAGGTTCAACGTAAACAAAATTTAGATAACGGACATCATGAAACGTCGTCAATGACTGAAACGAATTTTAAGTTTCAGCTTGCAAAACCAAATTATGACTTTAATAGATTCATCTTATAAGTAACACTTATAAGATGAATCTATTAAAGTACATTGCGAAATAGCTTCAAACACTCATGCTAAACTTTCTAAATTGCCTAATGCTGTTTTGTTTAATAAGATTTCTCTAACTAGAAATTCGTATTCCGATCAAAAAGCCATGGCATACTGAATATTGCGCACATTTACTATGGCAATAATAAAGACCCGACTGATTTCGTCTAACGAATTACCGTATATCGACGGAGTTTAGCGACAGGTAAGGAAATTTCATCAAATTGTTTCACCTTTTCTATCACGTACTCTCTGCCATCTTCCTGTCTTTCTATAAAAAGAGTTGATTTAACGTTACATGCTTGCGTTCATATATACAATTCATTTTTTACTAATATACAAATAAATTCCCTAATGAAAAGGATTATCCAGTTGAATTAGCTCTCGTTTTATACAGCGAACGCCTTAATTGCCTTATTATGTTACATATATATGCCTTCTGTTCTGTTACAATACAGCACCCGTAAACATTATTTTTTGTCATTCTGCTCAGTTACTATATATATATATATGTCATAACATGCCATCGGCGGACTAAGCGGACGCCGTAGAAGCCCTCATAAGTCCTTTAAGCCACATACGTAAGAGTAATGTTTGCAGCTAAACGACGGTGAGACTTCCACGAGTGGGTCAGGCAAGCCTCGAGCGAATCGAAGATTACTGTTCATAAGTACGCCTTCAGAAACAACTACAACAAAAATAATCAGATAATTCGCAACAAATGATAGGCGAATTTGCCGAATGAATATTTTTGTGTATCCGTATTCTTGTCGTTGTGGAAGGCTAATTATTAAGAATTGTTATAAATACAATTATATCCATAGCAATCACAGATGAATATCTATACTTTCGAGAACTTCGTCAACTGGCACTGACAATTTCATCGAGTCCATCGCAATCCCATCTGCTTCTAGAGCTGCTTCGTAAATATCACCGGCACTATGCAAAACGACATGAACGCATCTTTGGGTGGGAACATCGTCATTTATCGACTAGTAAGGTGATGCAACAGTATTAAAACCCTTAGGCAATATGATTAAAAAAAAATTACTTACATTGTATCATCGTCCATAGTAAATGACAACATCCAGAAACTAATATAGTAAGACCACGATACAGAAGCTGGAAAAACGGACTGTAGCTGCCTTTACCATTGTTACTCGTTATGTAACGCTTGCTACTTAAAGCACATAGAAAAATCAATTAGATATCTGCTTAAATATTATTTCCGAAGTTTGCTGTTAATTCATGGTTTACTAAAAAAAAAAAAAAAGATAGATTAAAGAACAAACTAAAAGCTGACCAATCCGCCTGGAGGATCTACATCTAGTTAGAACTCTTGTTTAGTGAATATTCACTTTAGATAATTTGAAATTTCACTCTTCCAAAATTTTAAATGATGTACCAAAAGCTTTTTTGTAGCTTAGAGCAAGCAATCAGACTTATTTAGAATAAAAACGGTAATACAGTTTTTTTTCTTTATCGCAAGACGGAACAGCCAACGACGTATTTTTCAAAATGCCAGGCCTTTTTTTGCCATTAGGATTGTTATTGTTATATACACGATGACATTTGGCGTGGAAGCGTGAGAACTGAAATGTGCGCGAAAATTTAGCTAAGCTTTCCTGTAGAAACAACTCTCTCTTTAGATTTGACTCTGTGGATACTTTTGAAACCTGTAGTTTGTCAGTAAAACACCAAAGAAGACCAATAACATCCAAAGTAATCCAGCCGCTAAAGGCCATATAAAATAATCATTCGGAGTGGAAAATCGAGCATCACCTATGGAATGAGTCCAAATTGCTGGACTTACTTTGAAAATATGGCAATAACTATGATTTCTAAAAAATTATCTGTTATTCCTTCACCTGTTTGCTTTGCCGATTTACGTAGCTCAGGGCTTACTTTTCAATGCGTATTTTTGATTCATGAAAATTCCATTAACTATAGTGTTTAGATTTTATTCAATATCATCTACATAGAGTAATTAATAAAAGCCTAAAAACAGAGAAAAGTTATTCCGAATTACTTAAAATTTAGACCGCAGGCTCATTGATGGATAAGCTATGTGCAGGTAACAAAAAATCCTCATATAGCTCGGCGTCTCTTGTGGAGGAGCTCAATATACTTGTCTCGTTCCTACACAATGCATCTTCGAAGATTTACACATAATAGTATGATATATGTCAACTTATATAATTAATCTTGTTGTATACTTAAGAAACGTTCTAAAAAAGAATTAGTTGAGCTGGGCAATCATTTCATTTAGCTAGTAAAACTCAGCTTTTGTTTTGCTCGGTGTACATCTAAATTTTGATTCATGTTTATATCTACGTATATCTATGTTGTACATGGAAAAACTAACATTATTTTCTCCATCGACGTGTTGTGTAAAGTAGCAGGCGAGACGGTTTTCTCCGAATTTTAGCCCATGACAACGAATCCGGGCTTCGGCAGCTCTCTGGGGTGTTGTAAAGTTGACGCGAACCCGTCGGAAACTCTTGAGATATTGAAACGTCGCGTCTGCATCATATGCTTGGAAAATTGCTTCGAATCTCTCCTGAAACAGAGAGAAGCGCCACAAAAGAACGATAATATTAATTTTCTTAATGATTGGCTTTATCACCGTTTGCACAGTTACTTACACAGTTTTGTTTGGCTGCTTAACCAAAACATTTATTATTCGATATTGATAGGGTGAGAAAGCCGAAAGACATTGAAATTAGATTTGGTGTATCTGTCAAGTATAACCGTTCGGGGATTTTCGCCGTACCTAAATTTGTAGTATATAAAATTGGCGAAGAATGAACCGCGCCGGACTCTACTATAAATGCAGTTTATCAATATCGTGTTCACTTAGCGAGACCAAATAAATCTGCAAATAAATATTTACATATGGATCACTATTTCAAGCCCAAACTTTAACATTTTAAGTGAACCCCATGCAGTATAGGTGAAAAAAAAGGGTTTCGTGGCCACAGCTAACCTCCACAGTTGATTGCGGACGCAATTCAAGATCATCTTTATCTTGAAGAGCCTTCAAACAAGCCTTGCCGAAGAAGGCAGACCCGCTTGAGCGAAATACATCTCTCAAACTTAAATTACTGCTTCTAAACACCACGAAGACTATCCTCGAATTGTTCGAATGTCGTGCCGCCTTCACACAGCCTTATGTACCGAGCATCGTTTGACATCGTTTTAGCCTCGAAAGCCAACCTTGAAAAGCAGGTGCCGAAAATGCGGTTTTTGGCTTGCTAAAGCATCCATTTATCAAGGCCTTTCGTGATGCATGATTTAGCTTTAGACACAGAAAACGGTTCCCGGTTTTTCATGAAAACACAACTGGTTTATGATAGCTTGCACCAACGGTTTAGGGATAATTGGCAAAAAAACCCAATTTTCAAAAAACCTTAATTCTTCATCAACCTGACGTAAATCTTTCCGTTGGTATAGTGAAATTTATCGATATACATTTCCTGTTTGAAAAAGCTAATAAAGTATAGAAATAATTGTCGTTACGAAAAAGCTTTACTAAGACTGAAAATTTTGATTTGCAGGTTACTTGTTCCTGGTTGCTACCTTCATCACTCAAAGTATACTCGGTGGTCCTAATATTACGCTACGCCGAATACCTAAAAACAGCGTACGTGTTTTCGATCATATAATATCGCAAGGCTTAGATTAATCAAGAAAAATTGTCTCAGTATCTTGCTTCCCGTTAGCTCGTTATATATATAAACCACATCCCTTTCAGTATATATATATATATATATATATATATTGAAAGGGATATGGTTTTAAAATAATAGAAATGTCGCAAACTCTAGACGAAAGTCAATTTTGTTCCACAAGCGTCTATATAACCCCTCGGGCGTCGTTCCTCGGGAGTTTGAATTCCAGTCCAATAATACAGATACCAAATACACTATTCATTTACTCTACCAGCATTATCAACAGATTCTTAATATCATACTTGATTAGATGCAGATTGAGCAGTATTTTAAAGGCTTGCTTAATAAAGTATACCATAAAAATACGGCTTTTTGCGCATTTCAGAATGGATAGTTTCTTTAGAACACCTTTAATTATAAACCTACTTCTGAAACGTCGCCTTAGCATACAGAAACATGCTGGCCGTATAATTAGTTTATGTTCCGCGTAGATTTTTTAAAATTTAATTTTTAAATATTATATAATGGTTGTATCCGTCGACGTATGTCTTCTTTTTTAATATTAGTATTATTATTAGTTTGAAAGATATAGTAAAAACTAACAGGTAATAAGATGCAAACCAAAAAACAGCACCTAACCTCGCTTACCGCTTTAGAGCAGACAACCAATCTCCCAAATGACGTTTTCATCCTCATTTGATTAAAAAAAATGTGGTTCCTATGTATTCTACATCACGGTCAATATACAAAGGGAAATTGTAGAATTTCCAAAACATGTACATATTCCTGATGGTTTTACTTAAAATGCATTAATTCTTTATTGTACTTGCATAACTTTGCTTGATTTGTTTATGGAGTAGTATGAAGAAAAAACTGCATCAGTGGTACTCAACGTATTCCTTGTATAGTTTTAAGGCTTTTTACTATACCGCTACAACGAATAACTAATGATAGATTGACCAAAAATTCTAGCATACTATATGCTAGCACTAACCTGTCACAAAATGATTTCGGGAAAAACGCAAACGTTTGAATTTAGCGTTATGATGAGTACATTACGCAGAAGACTAGTCTAGAATATAGTACTTTGGTAGTAATATCATTAAGAGATGGTTTTCTTTATTTTCACACTACAGCAAATTCCATCCGATGTAAACGTGAGGTACAGCTGAAATGGTAAAGCCAGCTTGCCTGAAACTGGATCTAATTATTTGATTGAATGTAAAACCAACAACGTATCAAACAAACTGTGATTGTTGCCACAATAGCAACCAGCTGAAAATACGACCTATTACTATTATTATTTAATACACTGAAAGATAAGAATGCTGTTTAACTAACACCTAGCTTAGCATGTGTGGGTGACTGCATATTGGACTCTTCTCAAAAATTCACTAGGCCAGCTGTCATAAGCAGCCTGAGGCAAAAAAAAAATTAACCTTTGATAGATAGTTTATAACGATGAATCTTTGCTTGTCGCGGTAGGTGTGAACAAGGGCTTACGTTGTTCGATGGCTATTCAAATACCGAAGAATTTACATTTTTAGGATCAAATGCGACTAATTAATGAATGGTCAAAGGTTCATTTTAGTTTATTCTGACGTGTATCATGTATACAAGATAGCCCATACATTACAGTATACTTGATCTGTTTTTCATCAGTATGTATAGCGATGTTTTATAGGATGAAGTTCAAACACAGCATTTACTATCCCCTTATCCCCAAACAACAAAAAAGGAGTGATATATCAGTTTGTCGAATTGTTTTACCGGATTCGTCCAGTGTCAATGTTGATCGATTAAGGCTATCCGAAGAACCGGTATTAAATCAGCCACGATCATATTTGTTTAATATTGTGAATAGATCATGAACATCGCTAATTCAAGTTAGAAAACATGGTTCAATATACTTATAAAGTATAATAAAAACGTTGAAGATATGTATAACTTGATCTCTGTATCTATCTCCACATTTCAACACCGTCGATTTTTAGATCATTATGCCCTTACCACTATCAACGCGACAGACGCTGAGGACTGAATACGCCAAAAAAAACGTTTCACTAATCCAGCAGATAGGAGTTGCAACGAGACGTCCCGATGTTACAGATTAACAGACTAAAATAGACTCAGACTTCGAACAGCGCCGCACGCGAGCAAGGATTCATATCTTAATACAAAGTACGTGTAGAGATCGTTCTGAAGTTATCTTAATTTCACCAAACAAAAGTACCATAAACCTAATGAGTAAAAAAGTCTCCACTTCAAATATTGATATTCTTATGTTAAACACGTATACACACTATTCTAAGAGAATAGAGCCAATAGAAATGACAGTTCGATTATACATACACACGTATATAACTTAGTTTTAATCAGAAACAAACTTTTCTGTGTGCTGCTATATTTGTTAAAGTTCGTACTTAGATGAACCTGCTAACTTGTATATCGCTTCACTCCATCAGTTCACAAACTCTACGTCACCTCAACCAGTGGATACATTGTGAGATATTTCTATATCACAGATAACCAAGGACACAAGGCCTTTATATGACAGTTAAGCAAATGTTTGCTAAATACAGTATAACACGAAGCGCGCTCTGTGTGTGGCTAACTCCACCCGCTTGTAGGTTGTCGCTATCGTGCCCTATGGGTCGTTTCATTTACCTTCTTAACTAAATACGGTCTTTGATTTTACCTATAACTAGATATGCGAAGAGCCGAACTGCCTTTTTTCATCTTACACGCAGCTGAAAACCGGCCCTGTATACGGTCGGAGCTACCGCGGATTTATTCTAATGAAGTAATAATGCATACAAGGGTACTCATAGTGCGGCGAAATCCGTGTTCAGCGAGAACCATACAAACCACGACGGTTAAAAGTAAAATACTAGGTTTATTGTTATTATCATTGTTATTATATCTATTTCTATATATACTGACAAGGAACGTAAAGCCAATTCTATCACTTTCTAATTTTGAAGACAAATAATAGAAAAAAATTCAATGGCGGCTAAAACTAAACGTGAAGAATTGTCCTGTGATTAGGTACACGTCGTTGAATATAATAATATTTGAATTTGATGATGATACTCTCCTAAATTTAATGAAGAGTAACTCGCGCGAAATTAAACTCCGTTATAAACTTCCTATTTTTGATTGATTTCCTATAACTAGCTATTACTAGTTATTGATTTCTTCTATTGATTTCCTAGCTATTTCTTCACCAACAACATTTAAGTATTGATATTTAACCTACATGTCTTAAATTTTGACTAATGATATTTGGAGCCGTCTTCTTTCAATAAGTATAAGCACAACATTTTATTTATGAACAGCGGTAGTTGTTCACCAACGTGCTTTCCTGTGCTTTCTTAGTACAAAAGATGTATTAATTCATAGGCCCAGGGCCCTAAAGGATTCTCCTTTTTTTCTCGCTCAATACACACTGCAGTTTTTAGGCGAAAACACGACAGTGTCACTGAACTATTAGCGATGGCAACAATATAAAATCGATGCTTTGAACTATTATAATCAGTTTTGAGGCTGACAGAATTCTATCGATGGATGAAGGTTATTAAACAAATTCATTTAGTTTTTAGACAGGCTTTAGAATGGAAGAGTTGTGAACAAGTAAATGCAGCAAACTAACCGATAATTTCGTCTGGACAACAATTCAATGATTAACTTCAGCAGGTAGACCTAATGCTGACTACTGTAACTAAATACTTTACAAATGAAGCGAGTATAGAAACTATCATTTATATTAACCCCATACGTAAAATGCCCGAAACTGATCTAATATAAACACAACGTCGCATTCACGTTTAGCTGAACTGACCTAATCCGTGTCGAATTTGCTTTCAAGTTTTACTTCCGGCACTGACGTTTATCGCTGCAATAAACAACTGGCTTTCAGTACAAAACTAGGTATGTCTACGTACAGATTCGAACTCAGACCACTACGTGTCCATATCGTTAGCAAAAGAACACGTTATCCATTAAACTATCACGGGAACATATTGGACTTGTATGAACATAATGTTCGGATCGTCGCTGGCATAGGGATGTTGATCCTGAGCACCGCACGAAATAGTGCTTGCATTTAGTTTTCGTCGGAACTGACAAGCATACGTATTTATTCGTACGTGCACCTTCAAATGCTTACCACGATTAGACACAAATGATTTGCTGAACCCATTGTTTAACCGGAATTTGTAGCAAAACAGCTTAATTATGTATTGGGCAGTATTACCCTATATATCTGTGTTGGCCCATTCGTTTTGCAAAGAATGCACAATTTATAGGGAGGATTTATAGGGATACAATTCGGAAACGGAACATAAGACATGTTTCGGCACAGAAATGTTGGATACGTATAAAGGAAACGTATCTTTTGTTTTCTTCTTGGCGGTGAATAATAGGCCGACACTGCAGCTTGTTAAATAGCATTGACACCTTATATCCTATGCTGTTTAAAACTAGAATACTCAAAAATATTGCATCTCCCGTCACATAAAAGAATATACTATATGTTAGCAAGCTTTGAATTGAAAGTTTGAAGACCGATGAAAGTTCAGGCAAATGTGTCAGACACCTTGGTTTGCCCTTCTATCATTTAAAAATACTACTAAATTCTCTTCCCAAAGACACTAACTGCAAAAAAAGGATCGTTATGTTTAATATTTTTAATTTAAAACTTCACACACACTGCTGAAACAGCCGATTTTTAGGCATTTATCTGGAATAAAAGCTGCACTCCTGCACGACAGATATTAGTGTATTTTATCTTTATTTATTAGCATACCTCAGAAATAATCTAGCAGATACTACCTATAAGGACAAATTATTGCGAACATTCACAGTGAATAACGTAGTTCAATAAAGGTGTATCTGAGTGAAAAACTGCGCCTAAAAACGTATTTTCTCGCACATAATTCCGTTTAGGCGTTTTCTTAAAACCAAGCTTATTGTTCAGCCACTTTTACTTGGGTTTAGATAATTTGGAATATGGATCTGAATATTGTCTGCAGTAGTGACGGTAATCAATAGCGGCCGTTCGATACGCTGTTCTCATTCGAAATGCTGTAAACTAATAATTAAAATTTCCAGTTGTTGCTGTACGAAACATCGGAGCACTAATATTCGTATAGAATTAAGCCCCGATTAATGAATGATTTCTCTCATTGTATTCAGTTTCTGCGCTTCTTACGTCCACAGAAAATGAATCTTGCCGTGAAATCGTATATGGATCGATTATCGATATATCTTGGCACAAACTTACTCTTAGTGTCATATTGGTGAAAACGCCAGGTTCCATATTCGTAACGATCAATGACGTTGGCAGATCCGCAAGATCAGTGAGGTCTTCCTCCATTGGGCCCATTTCCATTAGACGCTCAGCATTGCTGTCACACTGTTCGGAGACTTCCATATTTGCAAATTTCTGCAGGCCAGTATCAATCAATCTCGATAGCACGATCACTAAAAACACTTCTGAGGGACCTGATCCGTTAGTCCGCTTATAATGTCTCACCAGTGAGCTGCTTTTCTCAGTCAGTCCAAGTAATCCACCCACCCGTCTGCGAACATCTGTGTACTTCCCTCCGAAATATAGTCGGGGACGTAAATCTACAGCAAAACAAACAGTAACCTTAAACCACTTCCCCGCTGATTCGCGCCGCAGAGATGTTCCGAAACCTCAAAGTTTGGGTCTAAAGTCAAAATGTAGATATTTCTCAGACCTTTTGTAGTAAATAAGATTCGCAGGACACAGCAATTGATATAGCTGATTTGATTATTCACTTGCGCTTCCCTACGTGTCCTATTGCTAGCTTTACTTATAACCAGATTATTACACTCTGTGATATGCAACAGCTTGTGTAATCACCACCCAGGTCTCCACTTACACAGTACTATAGTTATGCTCTGCTTAACTCCTTTAGGTGGCGACATGTTTGTTAGGAAAGGGCCCTATTAGCGGAAGGGTAATGTCGGCCTATCTTCAAAACTTATCTCGATGTTCCTGGCGAACAGCTCACCCAGAAGATGTGTGGGCTGACATTCGCGCAGCTCAGATTTTATTGACCCTCGTTGCTATGCGTGTTGTTTGCGAGACATAGCACTGTAGCTCAGCTCTGGCTAAATTAAAGATTGCTGCGCGAAAGAAAACGAGAAAGGACTGTTTGACAAAAAAGACAGCGAGCGACAGCCCACATCTGTTAGCTAGAGAAAGTCCAACGAAAAGGTACGGGTAATACATGCCAGTGAATTGACCTCAGCATCTGCCTAAAGAATTGCCTCTTACTAGATATCACCCTGCACCGCTTTTCTGGCAGCGGAAGAGCAGACGGATATTAGATTATAGAGAACGCTAGACACAACCAACAACGCCGCCGTATTGTTTAAGTCTTGTCCGCATTTGCTAGTTCTCATACGGGTATTGCTCATGTGATGATCAACACAGAGTTTAGAAAAGAGAAACACAAAGTATAGAAAACACACAAATAAATGTGTAACAGCAGGCTAAACATTAAGAATGAAAGAACAGAGATATTGTAGCATATGACTTTGGGTAGAGTTTTTCTGCGTGTTCGGCCAATATGAAATGGATATCTACACGCTCACAATAGTTGTGTTCCTTTCTGGGATCTCCTGGGTTTTCTCGACAAACTATATACTAGGCGTGTCTACGATTTACTCATGCTGGCAACATCAATTTGATGACTAAATGTGAAATACAAGCATAGCACCTGCTTTATTGGTTTGTATTTAGTCAGTCATAGTGATGTGAGTGTTGTCCGGTGTCGCATTTATGGGCATTGCACATTTTGGAAGATGACGAGCAGAATCCGACTTTCAGGTTTATCAGTAAGAGGACTTTTAAGCCATTTCGGTACGACGCCTTTTCTAAATACAGTGAGCCTGACCAGTGTACGAGGATTAAAACGTTGGGATGAACCCCCCACCTATGACCCGATTGATCTTCCACTTTCGGAACGGCGTCTCGCTACGCTGGAAAAACAGCCAGTCTATCCTTTCGGGGTCAGGGCGATGAAAGAAGCAAAAGAGCTTGAAGTTATTCGCGGTAAGAGCAGAAAGACTGTATGTGTGTGTCTCTAACAAATGATCGCGTACAAATTAACGTACAAGAGAATACTTATTTTGCTATTTAGCGTTTCAAACGCGCTGAGTAACTGAGAGCTGTGAGCCTTGTTCAAAATATCTTTTACATTTGACAAACTAGATAAAGATAATTGAAAATGGTTTACAAGTACAAACAAACGCACATCTCGCATGCGAGTCTTCGCGAGGCGTTTCCAGTGCTTGAAGACTGTGGGTATAAAATCAACAGATTAAGGTTCTCTGAGATTTAACAAAACCTTAATTAATAATGTAATTCTTATTCTAATTCTAATTGAAGGCTCGCTTTCCCATATCTTTTGCAGGGCCGGAACGAGTAAACAATCGCCTACTGTATGATCAATATGGAGTAATAACCTTGTGTGGCGGGTTTCTGCGACCCGGACATATTGATATGATTCGAAACACGATCAACAGACAAATGAATTTCACCAAAGCATTCGCTGTATGGCGTATCGATCCACCTTACAAACCCATCACGAAAAAAGGCCAAGGAAAGCGTATGGGTAAAGGAAAAGGCGCCATCGACCATTATGTCACACCCGTCAAGGCTGGGAGGATTCTCTTCGAAGTTGGCGGCACCATCGATTTCAAAGAAGTTGAACCCTTATTACAGGTAAGTATAGCGTTTTTTGCAATGAAAAGCTGCTAAAATTCTAGCACTAAATCCAAACGATTATTGGCACTTCCGTGAACACCTAATTGTTGGAAAGCCTTTGTATAAACTAAACACTTAAATAGATAAACCAGATATAGAAATAAATCAACAGAATTAGTGTATCGCTAGATCTAGAAACTCAAAATGTCTAATTTTTTAGTACAAATAAGATCCTAGGACCCCACGGAAACTCAACAACATAATTGAATTATGTATTTTGGAAGTTTTAACGACAGTCATACAGTCTATAATGTGAATGTATTGTATGTTCTAAATTTTGGCAAAATATATTTTCGCTTTAGAAATGTCTTAACTCTAAACGTATTTATTCATCATGCTGATTAATGCATATTATAAAAAATCTAACTGTTCACAGAAAAATGTTACCACTACAACTTGACTATAGAAATTATATAAATATTTGTATTATCATAGCAATAATATGACATTTGCATAAATGCATTAGTTATTTTTTTATGTGTCCCACAGGAGGTCTGCTACAAACTTCCCGTCGATGCCATTCCAGTATCAAAAGCTATATTCACTAAAATCGAAGCTAAAATCGACGCCAAGGCCGCAGCTAACATTAATCCGTTCAACTTGCGACGAGTCATCGACTACAATATGCATGGCAGTGATGTTTACATTGGAAAATATGATAAACAACATTATGGAGATTATATATAGCCGCGAGCGCTCTACGATCTATCTGTGCAACCAATACTGTATATAGATTAGTCCGTGGTCTTCACCGCACGCTACCATTAGTTTCCCTAATATAGGAGACTTTCCACCGTAATAAAAACTTTTTCTCCAGTTTTTTATTACGTGAAAGTTGTTTTCAATTTCATAAACATTGACGTCACGTTACTTCGTCTTAAATTTTTGCAGCAAAATTACTAGAACATTTTTGTGTACATTTTAAATTTAGATGGTACGTATGAGGTTATGCATTATTAGAGATTTACTCTCTGTATGAACAGAAAATTCTAGGTGTATTCAGAGATGATGCTACATACCTATCTACTTGTAAATACGTACCCAGAATTAACCATGAAATGGCTGCAGATTCTGAAAGTGTATTGGTTTTATTAAGTTTTCTAAGCCTTCTTTCTTTAGCTAAAATTCCAACGGGTCCAACAAGCACGTGCGCTCGCTTCGTAATTGTAACGGGAGAATGGTTTAACCTACACACTAGTATCTACTGTGTCTATAAGAAGATATGAAATTAAGAGAAAATCTGTATATGCTAAAAAACGGCGCGCTACACACATGCACACACTTCATTAGAATTACATCACCACTTAAAATTTTGTTTTACGTATAAAGCCTAAGGATTGAAGAATTTTGGAGTTTGAGCTACAGATGCCTTATACAGTAAGTGAAACACCGTCAAATGGGTAAGCTTGGATCACGTCGAATAATAAGAATGAGTTGTTCGTGAATAAGTTAAGGGCTAATAAAAAGCAAGAATTACCATTCGTTACGAATTGTGCAGATTTTTAATGCAAGTTCCGCTATGATTTATCAACGAAACGTCGTCCTTCGACAAAGCTATTTCACAGCACTTCAATACAGATGTTCTTCATTGATCTCATAGCAGTATTTTATTCTATTTTAACTGCATCTATGTTTCGAGTTCGAAGTATGGCATCGCCGTTAGGAATCCCATAAGAGGCTTTCAGCTCGAAACAAAGTGTACGTATTTTTGGATACGAATCTAGAAGTCAACGTGTTCCTAAGAAACACGTTAACCAATAAGTTATGGCGGGCAGAACTGTACCGTATTAATGCCTCTAGAACTGCCTAACAGTAAGGAGCCTTATTCTGTTACGCTTAAGGATTCTAATGATAAAGGACGAATGTACCTTACATTTTTTAGGTATTTTTCAAACTAATTTCTATGCGGCACTGACCCACATCTATTGTTCACTTTGTTGACTATGCAGCCATTGGGTTCCTTGTAATGCTAACTTAGGTACAAGTTGTATTTGCGTCCAGAAGTACGCCTGAAGCAATGCTGATGATTTGTATCGAACGCCAATTTAAAGCTAAAACAGCAGCATTAATTAAGACATAATCCTACACCGCGCGAAGTATCGATGGGCGAAAACAGTGTGAATATAAGTAGATATTCTATCCATCTTGAAGTTGTACACATGATATTATAATCATATGTGTCATGCACCAGTGAAGTTAGACACTTAAGTTAGAGTTACAATAGTTTACCTCAGACTGATTCGATAATTTAATTAACTTAATCTTCTGTGCTGAATCTTTCTGGTATTAATTTCCCACTTATCCTACGGCAGTTATAGATTCTAAAATCCTTTTAAACATACTGGTATAGTTTTCTAGTGATTAATTCCGGTCCCTTTTGGCACGTTACCCCCTAGTATTTTAACTATTATACTTAATAAATCCTCTCTTTTATAATCGTAATTATTTTTTCGAAACGATAAAGATAAATAAATACGTTAAAGAAACACACTATACCGTTAATTTTAACCGTGAATATCGCTCACAGTCAAAGCCAACAATATGCATCTTTGTTATCTGTACAACTTAGTTTTCACGCACTAAAAAGACAATAATTTTCTTACTGAAGTAAAGTAGTTCAGTTCTAACAAGAAATCTCCAGCTGTAGGTCCTTTGCCGGCCGCGAGTCGGTTAATCGCGGAAGAGCGCAATAGTGTATCGCCCAGTCATAGAATATACTGCTAATTTGCACTGGCATAGCAGTTTTATTTATACAAGTGGAGAATAGCTAGCAACAGTTGCAATCCGGCAGACGATGTACCTTTTATCAGTTGCTGAATTCTACTATGTCCATAATAATGTCTGTTCATTATACTGACGTAGTCAATAACGAATAGAGATACTTGGACTGTATCAAGTGAATCGCGTATGCCGGTGCACAAGGTCTTTTACCGACAAAAGGTGAAAATATTTATATCCATAATTACTGGTGCAATCAAGCCTAAAATACTGAATGTGCGATTGGCTGGCTCCTATCAGGACGTAGACTCACACAATATGGATGATATTATAAAAAAAATTTCAATAAGCGTATGGATTAAGACTGGAAAGTCTAATAACAATAAAGTATGTTTTATTACATGTCTGATAATTAAAAAAACGAAGGTAACATGTGAATCTATCATGTTATTATAGTCGAAGCGCTTTCAACGGAAAATACGTGCTCGTTGCTTATGACAAGCATTCCGGCACATTATCCATACAAAGATAAAGGCATCAAAATGCTAATAAAGTAAGATCGTCTTTAAACTATTGTGTTATACAAGTTCCGTCATCTCACTTCCGGCTTTTTCACAATAATTATTTCAGGCTTTAAACAAAAAAATCCTTCGAACTAACACGCATTCTCCTTCGAAATTGACTCGCTTCTTTTAGAAGAAAACAATATTTTCGGTGTTTATAGATGTTACAGAAAGATCGTTTACAGATGGGACTGTAGACGACACATGTGTGTTCTGCACAAACTTTTCTTGATAGGTGCACTATTTAGAGTTCCTTTTTTAAAACTGACTTTCCGAGCAGGCGGAAAATAAATGTTTAATTTTGTTGTAATTGTCCAGGTTTTTCAGGTCATACTTGCTTTGCCTGTATACGCCGGTCATAGTTTCTACTACGTTCTAGCTACTACGCTGCAGGATTGCAAGATCTGATGCGTTTAAGTAGTTGTTTTGCAGTGTACCAATAGAAAGGAAGCTTCTGAACATAGCCTTCGACTCGCGTTCTTCAACCATAGCATGTCGTACTGTTAAGAACCCTTGAACATTAAAATAAACGAAGTTGTTCTAACTCATAAGCAATAGTGGTTGATATTTAAGAGTTTAAAAATTCACAATGGCCGTTATTATCACTCGAATAGAGAATTATCGCAGTTGTCTCTTTAGTTAAACGGTTAAATAGTAATATCTATTTTTTTGCTAGAATCGCAGTCAAAATGAAGCTCTTAAGTACTAATTTTTCTATGAATTCTATTCAAGCACAAAAAACAGATACTCTGCTTTTAAATTTACTTGAACTGACTATGCGCATTTTTCTAAAGCTAGTCAAATTTAGAGCAAAATTCAATACACACCACTGCGTTGAGATGCCAGTGGTAACATAGATAAATGTTTCAAGCCTCAAGTTCGATACTTCCATTAGGAATCACTTTTGACGACAGCATAACATCTGTAATATATAGTACCCGTGTGGATTGCTATCGTTGTATTGAAAAGTGCGTGTAAACACGCCAGGCAAAGCCGGTCAATCAAAGAATATTTTTATGAACAATTCTAATTGAAGAAACAGACATAACAAAACAGTACAGTACGACACACAGCGTATTTCTTATTTTAGTCTGATTTCGGTTTCTCCTACACTCTTACACGGAAGCAACTACTTTTACCAGACAGCAATACGGATCTTATCCGCGTATAACGTGAGCTAAATTTACTAGAGTGAAAAGTAGATAACCGTTAACTTTCGCAGTGTTCCTCTAATACGAAGCAGGACAATTTTATAACTTAATATAAAAACCAAAAAGCTTTTTTTACTAATTTTCGTTTTCAGATGAATGCACATAGCTTCACTATAGCCCTCATAGCATTCAAAAGAATAACGAGTGTGAGTTTTGTAAACAGCATATCCAATTTATTTAGTATTTGATATAAATATACAGGGGACGCCTTTATTTAGAAGGCAACACAAGTTGTTCCTGACAACAGCAGTTCCCACTGAGCAAGTTCTTTATGAGAAGCCCAGAAGTACCTTAAATTGTTCTCACTTATTATCCTACTTAGCTGCCTGCAACGGATTTCTCAAGACGATTATAACTGAATCACCACGTAGGAACATCTTCGGAATGAAACGGTCCTTATTCACAGGCTGACCCCTGCGTCCTTTTGCACTCCGTGGCGTCTCGGTCCACATTTCCTTAACGTTTTCCAAAACCATATTACAGTGCCTGTAAGCAGAAATAGACGCATCATTGTTTACAGGAAGCTTACGCTTTCAGGGAGAACCCTTTTAATTAGGTGTAATGATTAATTACGTCCTAATGTCATTTATGTCTTTATATTTATATTTATATATGTCTATATATCTATATATAATCATTTATGTCGTAATCTAGCAAAACAGTCATTTAGTTGGCACACCTGTCAAACGCCTTGACTCTTCCGAGAAGTTTCTTGTTGTTTCGACAGTTTATAAGAACCTGAGTGTTATTTTTGACTGACTGGGTAAGCACAGACAGTGGCCCTGTTTGAAACTCTTCCTCTTCTCTTTTGGCCAACTCTTCAGGGCTCATTTCCGACTTCGGTTTTGTCGTCGTCATCTTAATGCTTTGGTCTAAATCCGCGCCACTCGCAAAAACAATATATCTACAAAAGAGTCATTGCAAACACAAAAATACGTAATATAATTGTAGGTTCTGTTTCTCCATTTGTGTTCTTTGATACGAAAATTGCTTAAGATGTAACGCGGTCAAATGCTTGCTTATTTTAGTCTTATAATAGGTTTTTTTTTGTATGGAAAATAGTTAAAAAATAGAACTGAAAAAGTTAGTCACTAAATGAAAACAATGACCAGATCTAATTTTGAACGATGCATTCACATGCATCACGCAATCACATATCAAAATCGTAGAAAGGACAAAAAGCGCGCACCGTACTGTTGCTTGGTCATCACTTTCGAGCTGTATATTAACGTAGTAAAACAGTACACATAAGATGCACCGCAGCATTTTTCGGTGAATCACAAACTTCCTAAATGTATATCGCTCAGAGGATCCACAAATTCTAGTTACTTGAAATCGTAATCTATAGTTTAAGATACCATTTCAAGTTTAAGAACGATTTTTAATGGAACCCGGCTAAGTGAACAATGGTGAATATAAATAATAAGAAATCGTTAATCGCCTGTATAGTAAGTGGATACCATTATCTGAATTCAGGCTATTCCATGAGCAAGCATTGGCTATGAGTTTTACCTTAACACGAACAACTGACAGTGATATGCAACATTAACAAGAATAATAATATCGTAATCAAACCAGTTCTCTCAGATATAATAATCCACAAACAAATTGTGTAGAAGAGTCTTTCTCCTAGCACTAAACTAATTTCAAAATATGCAAAAATAAATTTTGCTTACTTTACATAAACGAACAATCAGAGTGATTTCACAACTTTCTCAGGTCTGCCGGCACGACGTATGTTTTGTAATGCTACACTCAAATCTGCGCGGGCTACGCAGAGACTAAAGTTTAGTGGAAGGCAGTATTCAAACAATATTATTATGTTTGGGCTTCGACAATATAGCAGCGTTTTTAACAACTGGCGCGACTACGAATCGATTTGTTTTTCCACTATAGATCTGAATGCATTCAATTGTCATGCGTGAATTGTGCGTTTCCCCTGTGAAGGATGCACTATTATAATCGAAATTAAGCATTCAAATGATCGCGGGCGATTGAAGCGCCCCCACGCCGCCATGTTTGGTCTCCGCACTTATGAGGGCTGTGTTTAAAACTCACAAATTGTATGTTTTATTCGTTGTGTTGAACTCTTCACAAGAAAAATGGTGGCGTAATTTTTGTTTTAAGCTGACTATTAACGTTATTGGAAAACCAGCCAACGTTCTGTGTGACGCAAAATTGGCGTCTCGAAATGCCGGCGCGCGATCCCACAATGCTCAGCTCCTCAGAAGGCTGTGTTGCCAAGATGGCGACCCCCTGCCTGAAGTGGAAAAAAGTTACAAATACGTCGGGTCCAGCGCCTCGGCCCCGTCATGGACATCGCGCAGTGGCGATTAAGGACCTTATGATCGTCTTTGGCGGTGGTAATGAAGGAATCGTCGACGAACTTCACGTCTATAACACAAGTAAGTACTGTAGTCAGTTAGGGAAGATGGCCGGGAACCCACCGGGTCGCCTTTTGTCTGCGGCACAGCTGGCTCTATCGTATACTTCCAGCTGAGAAAGCAACGCGGCCCGTTAATAAAATGTCACGTCGACCTGTTTGTTGACTTGGCAAAATGCTACAAAATCTATTTTTGGCCAACTTTTTCTTTTTGTTAGGTTAGCCGCCAGTGGTAGAAACATGGCGGCCACCACTGCGCCAATAGAACTCTATAGCGCTGTCCCCTGGCGGACGGAACCCTGATATTTCGAGGCGCTTCTATCAAGCGCTCAGAACACCCGTTGTGTATCGCTGCCATGGCAGGGATTGTAATGCTGATCGACACCCGGTGGAAACGTCAATATCCGACTGAATTCGATTAATCAGCCATAGCCCAGTTGCCCGTGCGAGTTTAACCGCCTGCTAACCGACCTGTCGCCGCCTGACCACCGTTCCTCCTTCCGACTGAACAGTGACTAACAACAACAACAACAACAACAACAACAAGTATGGCGCCCGCCTTGGAAAGGCGCCTATTGGCGGTCCACTATAAGAGCGTTTAGGCCTAAACGCCACCTACAGTTTGTATAACCGCTGTAGTTTCGTAGCCATCTATCGCGTATATATGCTGTTTACGGGACTTTCGCGTGCAACGACAGGTCGGCACAGCGCTCGAGCCTATTGGCCTGACTATGCTGTTAACATAGGCCTGGTAATATTAAGCAGACAGTGGTCGCTGTAGATCTGGTCTCATGCTACGATTACTACGAGTGCTGTTGCTGTCGGCCGAACGACGGATATCCACCTACCGCTGTTGGTAGTTCTATTTTTTTAGGCTGCTGCCGCTACATCGAGAGTGGGCGCCAACGTTAACGACTAGTATTCTACCGTAGAAATCGGGCTCGATAATGTCTTCGATTATTGCAGTGAGTTAAGATGGACTGAGCGACCGCAGATGCGATAGCAGCGCGTTGCAGCCACCATTGTTGTCAATGCGCTTTGGAACTTCATTGGCGCCGGTGTGGAGAATGGCGCGAGCCGACAGTACGATCACATGGCGTATGGTTGGGAATGTTAATAAAAATATTGATGATTATGATTGTTGTATATTGTGTATAATATATAGTAGGTTTAAGTTACTGGTCACTAGGGAAGTAATTGCAGGCTGTACTTATAATCGTATCTTGCTTTTTATGTGAACCGAACCTTACCGGATGAGAAAACCGCTACTTGAAAAACCTAAGCATAAAAATGTTCTATATATTTATTTTCTCTGTTAATTTATTTTCTCTGTTGTTAATTCACGTAAGCAGCGGGGTCTGAATTCATGCACGTCGTTTTTATTAGATGTCACCAGTCATTTGATGTAAGGTCAAAACTTTTAACAGAAAACGCTCTTTAATCGTACTAAACTCCCGATTTGTACACAACTGTAAGTGCCATATTAGTTCTTACACCAATAAGTATCGTGTGCTCGTCTGTCATGAACGAACGTAATCCGTAGTTAAGCCATAGGTAGCTTGACAATAATTTAGATGTTGTTTAGGTATTATAAATTACCCATAGAGGGTTCCACTCAGCACGAACAAGTACTTTTTGCAAGCGGAAATTTCGAATGATATGTTTCCACATGAGTCGTGGTAGTCAATTCGTCGGCAGTCCAGATCTGAAGCTGATGATTTCTGCCATTTATGTCAAAAACCCGCATCCAAAACAGAGCCTCTTCCGAGCTGTGCGTGCCACTCATACAAGAAGTAGCTGGCTAATTTCCAGAACTCAATTTTGTTCTGGCCATATTTTATCTAGTCGTATTGTAGCATAAACAATGTAGTAGTTTTTAACAAAACAAAAACAGCCTGGGGACTATCATTCTAACCAATGGCCAAATCAACGAAAAAGCCGAATTCTAAATAAGTACACCATAGTGGCACCATTCAACTAAATTGTCATAGCACTAGCGTAAAAATTAGGTTACGACTGTCTGTAAAGAATATGTATTCTTTACAGACATGTCGTAGCCTAATATAAACTAGAGCATATGTAGACGTACCTGTAGAGAGTACTGAAATATGAAACGCCGTTGGTAAATGATGAACCCTGTGTTTCGCTTCTACTGACCAAACCCGCAGTTTTTGCACCAAAAGAAAAAGAACAGCTATTAATTGGTGTTTAGGGTCCTGTTTGATTACAAATTGGCAACGATGAGATTTTACGAGCATAGGCGTTTACACCTTTCGCTAATAAAATGAACATAAAACGTCTATTAACCTTTTTCTTTTTATTATAGATTTATCTCGTATAGGCCTGTATAGTACCGTAAATTAAGTTTATTTCTTTTTGTTCGCAGCAACGAACCAATGGTTTGTTCCACCTGTGAAGGGGGATGTACCGCCCGGTTGCGCCGCCTATGGCTTCGTTTGTGACAATACACGCCTCCTCGTCTTCGGCGGTATGGTTGAGTATGGCAAGTATTCGAATGAACTGTACGAGCTGCAGGCGTCGCGCTGGGAATGGAAACGTCTTAAGCCTCGGCCGCCGAAAAATGCACCGCCACCGTGCCCACGACTAGGTCACTCGTTTACATTAATAGGCAACAAGGTTTATCTGTTCGGTGGACTTGCTAACGAGAGCGATGATCCGAAGAACAACGTTCCTCGTTACCTCAACGATTTGTACACGCTCGAGTTACGTCCGTTTTCCTCCGTGATGAACTGGGATGTTCCGCCAGTAGCTGGAACTCCGCCGCCACCTCGTGAAAGCCATACTGCGGTTGCCTATCAAATGAAGGATAAGCGCGCTCGTTTGATTGTCTATGGTGGGATGAGTGGTTGCCGACTGGGTGATCTGTGGTTACTCGACGTCGACTCAATGGCCTGGTTCAAACCGACTGTAAGCGGTGTCCCACCCCTACCACGATCGCTTCATTCGGCCACACTAATTGGACAACGTATGTTTGTTTTTGGCGGTTGGGTCCCACTGGTAATGGAGGACTCGAAGAATGCGACGCACGAGAAGGAGTGGAAATGTACCAACACGTTGGCGTCACTCAACCTTGAATCGATGGCTTGGGAAGGCCTACATATGGAGTGCTACGAGGATACGGCCCCAAGGGCTCGAGCTGGCCATTGCGCTGTTGCTATTAACTCGCGTCTATTCATATGGTCGGGTCGTGATGGGTACCGTAAGGCGTGGAATAATCAGGTATATTTAGAAAAGAATCACTAGGTTTTCAACTGACCTATTTACCGCTAAAAATATGATAACGAATTGGATAACCGTTATAGTTCTGTAATAATAATATACATAGTTCAAAGAAACCCTACCTTTAAATAAACTTTGCGGCATCTTGGTTTATATTCATGCAATACGAGAAAATGTTGCAACACGAAGGTTTTAGGTGGTAATTTAAAATCGGTGTAGTTATCATGACATCAAAAATCATCATATTGTGAGTCAACGAATTTGAATGAGGAAAGAGGCGTGAGATATGACAAGGTACTGGCCATCAGGAGTATTCAATTCCTTGTAGTTGAGATCAAGAAATAATCGTGTTGTTCGTCATGTTTTGTGCTAGATAAGGGACCTAGACTCTTGGAATTTTTTTGTAAAGAAAAATTGTTGTAGACAAGGCTTCTTTTCTAAAATTGACGCCATTTTCTAAATAGAGAAACCTTCAGCGATTTCCATTTTCGTGAAGTAGTTAACGCAGCTAGTGTTGCTCAGGTAAAAGGTCTGACTACGAAACAATGAAGGAAACTAGTCAAAACAAAACCTTCAGACGTAATGGCCAATTAAGTAAACGAATATTTTTTTGTCTTTAAAGTACACAAAAGTTTTCGAACTAATACATTAAATGTTTTGAATTTTACATGATTTACTTAAGCTCCGGAGCAGCTGTTCCAGAGCAGATGAATGTGTAGGAAATTAAATAATTCAATATTATCCATTGAAACTGGAAGATGTTGAAGAGCAATGCAAGGCTGCCTTGAATGCCATTAAAAAAAAAGAAGTGTATCCGTTTCTGTTGTTATTCCGTGTCCTAGGTTTGCTGCAAGGATCTTTGGTTCCTAGAAAGCGAAAAGCCAGCGGCACCTACACGTGTCCAGCTTGTTCGTGCGTCGACGACGACACTTGAAGTATGCTGGGGTGCCGTACCGACAGCCGAGCAGTACTTGCTTCAAGTTCAGAAATACGATATACCTCCACCGCCACCTCCAGCAACGACTGTTCCTCCCGCGCCTGTGGTGCAGACGCCGCCAGCGGTCGCAGTTCCACCCCCGCAACCTCAGCCGCCTCCACAGCCTCAACCTCAAGTGCATCCGCCACCGCAGCCTTTACAAGCTCAACCTCAGCCTATGGCACAGATTCAACACATAGCTACCCCAACAACGATGCAGATCACCCCAACGGCACAAAAGATTCACGCGCAGACTAATGTAACACCTATTACAACCACTACGCCACTTTCTGCCGCAAAAGTTCATACAAGGTAAATTTGATCTCCGCAAAAAGGACACATGTGAGCTAGTCTCTATGGAGCTGAAGGATAAAGATCATAGAAGGGAAGTCAGCGCCCTTTGTGCCTTCTTGTCTTACTGTAGCTAGGTAAGCTGAAAACTTAGGAAACTTATACAAACTGAAATGTTCAGTTTGAGTGTGTGGTACTGTTGGTGTCATTTAGCATACCATTGTGATTGTTACACTTGGCCGTTTTCATACAGGTTGGTATCGCCTGGCCAGCTTGTCAGGGGTCCATCCCCTCGTACCCCTATGTCAACAGTTCGCGTGGCCACACCAGGCGCCCGCACTGCCACCCCTGGGGTTACAGTGGTTCGTTCACGAGCACCTGCTTCGCAGCAGATTCGTGTCATCGGCACGGGCCAGCAGGTAGTAAAGACCGGAACTGGTCAAGTTATGACACCAGTAAAGATAGTCAGCCAACAATCCCTGCAAGGTACGTAAGCTATTTAAGTTCGTTGGCCTAATTATATTTAAATAAATTGCTCACATTAGTAAATCAATGAGTTTGCATACCAATGAGTTTAATCGTGCGTGTCGAATGAGGTGTGTTTGCATTGAAAGACGTAAGTGTAGCGTCAGTATTGATAAATGTTTTTATAAGCGGCCTTCGGAATTTGTGAGTTAGCTAAGTGTAAACTGTATGTGTTTAAAATTTTTACGATGTTTATTTATACGTATTTGAAATATTTATTTTGCAGGTGGCACGCAAACTGTCCGTTTAGCTAGCCCTACCACCCTTCTGAAATCACCTGGCGCTGCGGGAGGCAAGCAGGTTATTACCGTACATAAACCAAGCGGGACCATGATGGCCGGACATACAGTGACTACTATGGCGCATCACCATCCCATGGGGGTCAATGTTGGAACCGCTCAGGGGGTTACCGGAGGCGTCAGTGTTGCAAAAACAGGACAACAGCAACCACAGATTGTGACTCTCGTAAAGACCCAACAGGGCGTTACGCTTGCGACAGTTCCTAAGGTGTCATTAATCCAGCCAGGTGGCACTAAAACACCACAGACTGCCCACGTGCAGGCGACAAGCAAGGCTGGTGGTGGGACGACGATTGTCAAGCTTGTGACAACACAAGCTGGCGGGACTACCCCAGCTGGGACCAAGATTATTCAGGGCCAGCAAAGTCCAACGATATTGTCGTTGCCCGGCGGCCAGCAGAAAATGTCTACGATTATTCGAACGCTGCCATCCAGCATGGTCACTGTGGCCAAGCCAGCTGTCGGTGTAGGTACTGGAACAATTACAACGTCTGGCAAAGGTTCGTGTGTAAAGGTAACCTGGGCCGATGCTCCTTGATAGTTATGTACATTTTTACATTTTTCGACATCATGTGTCGAGTATCAAAGCGCTCATCAACATGTGTCAACCTGTCCATAACTATTGACGCGTTCTAGAAATACCAAAGGAATTTTATTGCCACCTTTTGTAAGATTCACCAGTTAATAGTTAGTATTGCGATTAATCTATCTCTGACGTGTTTCTTATGGAATGCTCTGTGTTGCTGAACAGGCAAGCAGACGATTGTAATTTCCGCCCCGAAAGGCTCGCCAATGGCGCAGAAAGTATTAACTACCGGTGGCGTCAAACAGCCTCAGCAGATTATTGTTGTGACGAATCCTGGCGCTGTTAAATCTGCCCAAACAGTCACCACCGTACAGGCCGGGGCTGCTCAGAAACAAGGGGTCAAAATGATCGTCGTTAGCCAGGGTGGACAAGCCGTCAGGGTGAGTGTGTGAATAATTTTGGACTAGCTAATTTGAAATCTCTTTATTGCACCATTTACTTTTCAATTTTCTAATATATGCGTTATTGCAGTTGGTTCTTAAGTATTGATCAATCCTTTTTCCAGTAATTCCTGTATCATATGATGCTGATATATTTTTTTTATAAATTATTATTACCAGGCTCCACAAACGTTTACTCTGTCAGGCAACACGGCCACGACCATGAGTCAGGCCGGTCAGCCTATCACAATCACGATGCCTAAGCCGGCCGGCCAAAAGGTCGTAACAGTTGTGCAGGGCCAACCTCAGGTTCAGTTACAAGCGGGTCAGCAGGTGGTTACCACAAGCCATCATCAGCCCCAGACCACAGTACAGGTTCAAACCAGTCATTTGCTTCATCAGCAGCATCCTGATCCCGAACACACTCGTGCGTGCAATGATGAAGCCGTTATGACTGATGACGAAGGACGTCTATCGCGGTGGGGAAGTAACAGCAGTATGAACTCGCTTTCTGAATCCGAACCTGAAATCGCTCTTCCTGGAGCGACCGACGAGATGGGTGTTATGACCGAGGACGAACAACCGACGGAAGGTGGCGTCGAAGGCGCGGTTGAAGCGCCCTCGGAAATCCCACCGGGGGCAATACCAGAAGAGGCCGTACCTCAACAACCCGGCGAAGCAGATGACCCACAGGAAGGCATCGAAGGTGTTGAGTCTATGGTAGTCGAAGGGGACGAAGATGCGGAGGTGGCGGCTTCGGATGCTGCAGCTGCAGCCGCCGAAGCCGTCCTTTCAGGCGCCGCAGATGATGAAGCCCAACAAGAACTTGCTGGAGCTACTGCAACCGGTTCTGATGAGACTGCAAGCGATCTCGTTGCAAATTCAGTTGCCGAGGGCACGGAGCTCACTTCGACAGCCACTGCTGAAGGCTCTAGTACTCCAGCAGATTTAGCTGGAGTTACTGCTGCCGAAAGCGCTGAATTGTCCGAGGCTGTTGCAGCGGCTGCTGCTGCTGGTGACGCTGAAGTTGCTGCCGCAGCCGAAGCTGAAGCAGCTGCAGCTGCTGAAGCCGAAGCGGCTGCCGCTGCTGAAGCTGCTGCTGCCGCTGCTACTCATGTCGAAGGGGTGACACAGGAAGAGGCTGATGCTCTTGGTCAAGCGATGGCCGATGCGGCTGTTGCCTTAAGCGAAGGACATTCGGAAGAGGACCCTGCGTTGGTTGCGGTCGTGGCTCAGGCGCAGATGCAGGCGGCGGCGGCTGTTGCTGCGGTTGAGGCCGCAGATGGTGCTGAAGCTGGCGCTGGTGTTGTTGAAGGGGCAAGTAGTGAGCCGCCACAAGTAGAGATGACGCCAGAAGAAGCTCAGATGCTTGCGATGGAGAATCCTGGGGCGTTGCCGCCTGAACAGATGTGTGCTGATGACCCGCCGATTGAAGACGGTAAGTAAGCTAGCCATAGGGTTGTATGTTTGTAAGTGGGCATGGTGTACTTCAGTCGTCGGGTTTGTGTCGGTTATAGATTTCTGGTTATATTGAAATGCATTGGGCTGACAGAGCTACAATGGTTGATCTTTTCTGTACATACATAGGCTTTGTTGCACCACGAACAAGCTGTCATTTTTTATTTCGATAAAGTTTATTGTCTCTTTTTTATGGTTGTTTGGTGCTTTATTTTTATAGACCAACTTCAGAATCAAATGGCTGCCGATGCTCTGGTTGCCGCTGAGGCTGCCGCAGTTGTCGGTGCAAACGGTCAGGTCAGCGCACAACCGCCTGCAACAACCGCACAGACTGCAGATCCCCTTGCAACACTAGCATCTGCTGCGATCTCATCAATACAGCCAGCTGCCGAGGAGCCTCCACAAGCTCCACAGAGTCAGCAGCAACTGGTCTCGCAGGTAGCTATTCCTGGCCAACAGCAACAGGATGCTGCGGTCGCCTCGATCACGCAGGTAATTAAGGACGAAAATGGCACAGCTGGCTCTGAGCCAGTTGTTTCTGCCGCGTTGTCAGCGCCAGTCGTTAAGAGCGAACCTAGAGAACCACCTGCTATTGAAGTGCCCTCAACGCCACAATCAGGTGTATGGTATGATGTGGGCGTAGTTACAGAGACAAATATGCTTGTGTCCAAGTTTAACTTTCCACAGAGCGGTCAAGCCATCTCAGACGACACGACAACAGTGACAGATTTCAGCAGCTACCTCAAGGTTGAACTTCAGCCTGGCACCGCGTATAAGTTCCGAGTGGCTGCGATCAATGCCTGCGGTCGTGGATCATTTAGTGAAGTGTCAGCATTCAAGACGTGTCTACCTGGTTTCCCAGGTGCTCCATCCAACATTAAGATCAGTAAAGGCCCGAACGGAGCTCAGCTATCGTGGGAACCTCCGCAGAACACCGCCGGCGAAATTCAAGAATATTCGGTGTATCTGGCTGTAAGGCCGCAAGATAAATCATCCAACCCGAGTCAACTGGCTTTTGTTCGCGTTTACTTTGGTCAGGCTCCGGCATGCACCGTCAGTCAAAACCATTTGGTGAGTGCGCACGTTGACACGTCCAACAAGCCTGCAATCATTTTCCGTATTGCCGCACGCAACGAAAAGGGCTACGGACCCGCTACACAGGTGAGGTGGCTCCAGGACAACAACATGAATAGCTCGAACCACCGCGGGGGTGGCATTAAGAGGACAGCACCAGCCTCAGGTCAGGCTGTCAAAAAAATGAAGTCCGAATAATAGGTAAAGCTAAGTATGAAATCAGGCAAAAAAGGAAAACATCAATATCATCACCATAAACTATTACTAATTAAAAAAAAAACATTTTCATCCATTTTGAGCTCTTCTCCAAGGCTACAAAAATCGCTTTGGAGTAGGCCTGGGAGCTGCGATACGGGTTACGCAGCTTTTGTGGCACATACGAATCGCGCAATGTACATATGCTATTAAACAATAAAGGCTCAATATCTAAATACTACGAAAACACACTAGTTCCGGAAAGTGTGATTTTAGTTTTGGTAGTCCACTCGGTTACCGCGTGAACTGGATTAATAATATCAACGTAAATTAATAGAAGTAATTATAATGATTGCAGCATAGATCACAAACAGCAGTATGATATCACCGAAAAAAAAACCAGTCTAGAGTATTCTGAAAAGGCGGCTTGGTTGAATTTGACATTACTTGTAGTAATTTTTTGCATATATCCAAAACCATTTATGAGGATTCTTGAACTAGAAAACGGCGATTCATAAACACAATATTGCAAAAATGTACGCCCTAATTTGTGTTCGCATTGGGCTAGTTGTTGGATTTCAGACGACGATATTTTGTTAAAGCAAATTCGCAATCGAATAAGGCTTATTAACTATAAGGTTAGTAATATAAGGCTTAGCGAACTACAGGTATCCACAGTAAGACTGGATTTCTTCATAGAGTAGGCTTTGCAGTTCGATACGCCTTCAATGGCAAATAGTGACCAATGAATGTAAATGATAGATATTAATTTTGTACTGCCACCTCTTTGGTTAGACGTTTTATTTTGACACTGGCAGATAATTGGCTTCAAATGTTACTCGAGTAATTAAATTTCTGCATTGAGTTGAGTGGCGTATAAAAATGATGTTTGAAAATAGGAATTCCTGTAAATGAGCTTGATGTGAAAAAAGGTTCAAGGATACCTTTGTCTATGCGAATATTGTAGTACGTGAATAAATTTATATACATATATGAGATACGTACATACTATAAAATGGACCGAACTTCCACCACGCTTCATTGTTCTAAAAACGAAATGTGTACTAAAAGTACTCGATTCATGTAACTGTGTATGCGTGTTCACGTGGACCAAGAATACGCACGAATAAAACGAATCATTTGTCTACGGATGCCATCAGTGTCTGAAAGGTGTAGGGTTAAACATTGGGTTCAGCGATCACATCCGTATATTATTGACATACTTTATTGATGACTAGTGTTTAGCATACGGATACATGATCAGGCCAAAAGACACTCCCATGATGTAACACAGTTTGCTGTACTGTTAGCTTTCCTGTATCCTGTATGCAATGATAATGTATCTATATGAGACTTTTCTCTGATAAATGAGCGAGAAATACTGTTACTTAAAGCTACCAGGCAGAGTTAGTATCGTCAAGGGAATGGGGCCTAACGCTGAATTTATAAAGCGGCACTTCATGAACACCTTAATAAATCTTTCTGAGTTTGTTATGGATAATCCCCAATAGAATTTACCAAAGTTTAGCTCACTTCATAGCGCATCTAAAGGGATCGAATCAAATTAAACCTTGTTAAATACAGATGTCACGCTACAACAGCGAAGCTGTTGGGGTATGCAGTTTAAGCCTGCCGTACGCTGACTGCTGGACTCTACGAGACCCTATGATGACGTGCCACAGTGTACAGCGGCCCAATGACATTCGGGGAGGCATCATTACACGATATATATATATACAAAGCAAGCTATATAAACATATATAAATACACAAGATTATAATATGAGAAGTAATAAAAGAGATATACATATGCGAAATCCTAGAGTACGAGAACCGATGCAAGCGTTGCACCGTTGCTTGCGAAGTGTAAACATTTCTTTTTCATCGCTGTTCATCTTCTGATGTCTTCTAAACGGGGAGCAAATAATCGCAGTCTGAAAACATGTTTTCCCACCAGGACAGCCCGTTCGTCTTGAGGTGTAGAAACGATACAAGAGAGGGATTGTGTCCACATACAGCACACAACAATTTGCTGACATACGCTAACATCTTAGAAACGCTAAAAAAAATTGGAGTAGATGACGAAGGGTCAGATTATCGGCCTTTTCATATCGGGCCCAGTGACACGTTCGAATTGCAGCAAAATATTGTTGTTTCTTCCTAATTCACTCATTTTAGTGACACTGGGAGAAAGTTTAGGAGAGAATAAATCAGTAGGGGACAGTGGATGCATGAATAATAAAGATAATGAAGCGCTTAACTGTGCAAGAAATGCCTATACGAAATGCTAGTGGTACTACTACTGCAGAATGAAGTGGTAACGCATGTAAACGTTTAAGTATAAACTCTGTGTATGACCTAGACCGTTACTATGTATCATAGTGCGCGAGAGCGTCAAAGGGTTCATCATTTTATCAGCATCTTGTATGTAGCGTGTCGCATAGTAGATTAGGCAAACTGGCTCCTCAATCAAACAACCATACCATAGCACACATTGGAACTTGAATTAACAACAAATTTTACTGGCAAAATCAATGAGCTAGCTTGACTTGCCATAGAGGTAAAAGAATTGCTGTGGTAGCCCAAATAGATTAAGGTTGTTTAACGCTGATTAGACGTTAAGCGGCGACGAATTATTACAGCGTACTGAGGAGATGGTTATCACCGATTTGCTCATGAAGAACTAAACGATGAATGCTTAAGTTCCAGAGATCGATATATATATATATATATATATATGAAACGATATAGTATACATATATTGCCATAGTGATTTGTCGTCTCCCTCTTTATCTTATACCTATTACTACGTCTGTAAGATGTGTATGTGAAAAGAACAACGAGAAAGATGAGTTGCCGATGTGAAGACACGGTAAAAGCAATTCTAAGAATACACACGTTATATTATACATTACTATATTATTACTATTATTATTATCATTACCACAGATACTATTGCTATGGCATAATGATCATTACTATCATTATTGTGTATTGAACAGAATAAACTGAGTGTTGGCCAGACTCGGAGGTTTTTTGTTCTGCGAATTCCTAGGCCACCGTATTTAGAAAACTTCCTATTTGAATATATATGAAGTAGACCAAACTCACTCAAAGCTGACCTGATTTTATAAAAAAAGGTTGCAACATCAAATTACCTATATATATATATGCAAATTATATATATATATATATATATATATATATTCATTATAAAAATACTCGCGCATAGTTTGTTAATGTTTTTAGTTGAATGTTGTTGATAAAAAACAATAAATTTGCTCCTTGAAGTGACTATCGTAACGTTGTGGTCTGGCTTTGAACCAAAGTATAGGCAGACTTTGTTTCGTGCCGGGAGCCGGAAAACATAACGGTGATATCGCGGTGATATCGGGCTTAACTCTAGACATAAAGGCCTACAGCGTCGTTTTTTATTACTCCTAATTTTTGTTAGAACAAAAAGTTCCCGTTGGAGCCGACAGATGGCGTTAGTCTCGGATCGTCGTATTTAGGTGAAACTTTCCACTGAAAATTGTTTTGACTTACGCGCGTGTTGTTTTCATCGAACTGTTGTCAGTAGAAGTGCTGATCATGGGAGTTCGAAAAAATTCATATTCGATATTGTTTTCTCCACTATTTTCGCGCTGGAAAAAGTGCGGCCGAGACAAAAAGAATTGTTTGCACGGTCGAAGGTCAGCGTGCAGTAAGCATTACAACTTGTCAGTTCTGGTTTAACCGCTTCAGAAACCAAGACTAACTTGAACGACAATCTGCGATCCGGATGGCCTCAAGAAGGGAACGACGCCGAACTGCAGGCACTCCTTGAGCCGAATGTGGCGCAGTCTACCCGAGAAGTCTCTGTACAGCTAGAAGTGATCCAGACGACTGTCGTTAATCGTTTGCATGCATTAAGAAAAATCCAAAAGGAAGGACAGTGGGTGGATCTGCACCAGCGATGAAAAATAGGTTCTTTACAATACTTAAAAACGTAGACCAGGATGGCTGCAGAAGGACATCCGTCTGAGTCACGAAATTGACAGACAACGGCCTTGGCCTGCCAAATGGCGACGGAATGCAATAGTGATGACAACGCTACACTGCGAAATGCTTAGGTGACCCAGCAAGCTCTAACTTGCCTCCAATAGCAAGCTCTGCCTTACCCATCGTACAGCATGGGCATCGTTCCATCCCACTAACACGTGTTTCGGTCAATGCAGCGTAGTCAGGAAGGCAAACATTTCAGCGCAGATGCGAATGTTTGCAGATGGGTTGACAAGTGGATCGCTTCCAAGGACAGTTTCTTTCGCGGAACACATCAGCTACTAGAATGACAGGGGAGAATTGTAGAAAGCAAAAGACACTATTTTGACTAAGACGTGTTTACTTTTATAAAATTATAGTAAATGAAAGTGGCTAAAACTAAACATTTTTCCAACCTATTTTTTTTTGTAGTACATTTGCAAAGTAATTGACTTTATCCGATTTGTAGGCACCATCACTGGAGTAACTGATTAACGCTTTTCGACTGATGATGACAAATAAGTTGGGCTGTGCTAGACTTTTTGAGGAAGGTTTTCGCTATCTCTTAGCATTAGTTACTTTCTCCAGGCAGCACGTTTGCACTATAGTGCCTTAAAGCTAAGAGTATACACAAATATTTTAAGTGCGGTTTTTGTTATTAATCATAGGGTTTCGGTAATAAGAACGGAACTGAGGTTTTTTTTCATCACAATATATATACAGAAACGGAGCTGTACTGTGGGAAGTGCTCTGGTAAAAGCGTTTCAATGGAAATCCCATTCCTAAAGGCAGAATGCGGACTTATATTGATGCAATTGGATTATAAGAGACCGTGTGTTCTTTAGCAGAAGCTATTGGTCTACAATTATGTAGAGATCATAGGCAGCAGAAACGAAGCCGTATAACTGTAGAAAGCTATGCACGAGTATAAAGCCATAGGTGCGTTTCTAGAATGCCAACTATGAAGGAGGTTGTCGGAGAGAAGAAACATATAGCGTATTATGAAGAGAGTGCAGCGAGAGAAGGAGTTTACTGCGTGTGGTCCTTGATTATATACATAATATGAATACAACACTATAATGCTCGGTATTAAATGAGTTTTGTTTTCTGCCTAGACCATTTAAATGCTTTCACAAACGTAGTATGTATTACGAGTACCAGTCGATTTTTTGCAAAAACGCATTCTTGTGTTTAGTAAGTAGAGCTTGAAGGCTAGGTAACTTTTCTATGTGTAATTCACAAACACTCAGTTACTTCCAAAATAATACAAATATATAACAACACCAAACGCATGAATCATCCCGCAGAACCTTCTTTTTGAAAATAGTGCCTAAATAGCTGTACGGAATTTAATTTAACGGAATTCCGATGGCAAAAAAAAATTTAGAATTTTACAATGTATAAAGAGTTAAGTAGTTATAGTCCCCTGTATATGAATACTGGCTCATTGAACGGTACGACTGTCGTGCTATGTTTGCAGTTTATCTTTAAGGTGTACGGTATTTACGTAGTTAGTTTAACTTAAGTCGCGTCTAGGGAAATTGGTATGTTTCCTTGTTGCATGTGAGACTAGTTTCCTCAGAGCAGAACAATATATGTCATTTATGTGTTTGCCGTTAACAGTTAAGAATGCCGCGACTCGATCGGCTTTGAATTACGCTAGTGTGTGATTTTCAAGTGACTGATCCGTGCGAGCTTCTGAATCAGTATGAAGGATGGGAGTGACAGTTAACATGGTTTGCGACTGTTGTTGACATTATCAGGCCACATCTGTTGTTTTTAATAACGCTATTAGATTTGTCTGGTCAATTTTGGGTGATATGATTTTGTTTGTTTAGTACGCCTGTATACACCTGCACAGGACTTGATATAAAGAATTAGAAAATTTGTTAACATGGCCTTTGCGATAATGCTGCTGGCTCTTGTCGTCATGTAGTTAAACGATTCTTTCTGTGTGTACTTAAGTATAGAAATATTTAGTTACGAGAGCAAATTGTTGAGTTGTTGAGAAAGAACAAAGAGAAAACGGTCCTTACAAAAAGCTAGTTTGGGCAAAACCCTACTATGTGAAGCTTATGAATAGCGCCCTCTACTGTGAATCACAAGAGGCACAATAACCATAGCCGATCAGGCGGACATCAAATTTTTATCTTAAAAAAATATTACTATAGAATTATTTAATTGTTACTATAAAAATGCGTAATTGTACATTGAATGATGAAAGGAAGTTCACCATTAAATTATAATGTACACTGTGACGTGCACGATTATATTCGTAGCTGCTGCCATAATTCTTCTCAACTATTCAACAACAGCGTAGCCGTAGCGGTAGCGCGGTATCTTTAAATGGCGTATGCATTTATTAGAATAAAATGCTGCTACCGTCGCTTGGGCCTCATTTTTCAGCGGTTTAGCTACAAGATCAAGAGTATTATTTGGGTTCGCTTCACCGCAAGATTTGGATTGGTGTTCAAATGGACTCCCCTTATATATACCTCCTTGCGAAAAAAATACCACTCAATCAAAGGAACATATCATGGACAAGAACTTGCATGTAGCCTACCTCTGTGCTTATCCCTAATAAATAACTAATAAATGAAAACCCGTCCACAACGACGATTTGAAAAACAAACCCCGTATCAAACATACACCGGCGCCAATAAATTTATTTTTGTAATATTTTTGTATAATATTTAGAAATTTCAATAAGTTACTCTGTTTATTTGGAAGGATCACTTAGATTTCTATTTTATAAATACGAGGTCGCCAAATACTTAGTAGTTATTTAAGCAAGTTGAACTTCTTCAGTCTAAGCATAAACAACCTTTTTGCCATCAACTTGTTTTAACGAATTAAAAACGGAATCCCATAACAGTGATATAGATGCAATATTGTCATAAAAAAGGTTAAAATGTAAATCGAGGTAATAGCAATAATAATGTCGATAATCATAGCACTACTATTGTCACGTGCTATTAACAGCTAGTCAGCGCATTTTATATTTTTTTTAAAAATAGGTAAATATATTTTATTTGAGTAAGCATTTCGCTAAACGATTCGCTAAATGTCAGCCAGATTATGTGAAGGTGATGGTTGTGCGTGGGAACAATCCCGATCCTCTAAGTCACAGGTGTAGGACTGGCAGTTCACCTTTTTCAACGCAGGTATGTGAGTTGGAACTACTGACGTATAAGTTCAACCTAAGTAGATGCTTTCGGTCCCCTTCTAAGGCATATTCGGTTAGACTCGGGTCTTCTTTCCATCCTTTCTTCTGCTCTGTTTCTATTTCCTTCCTAGTGAGCGACCCTACTCATGCCAGTATGATTCGGCTTGTATATTGTCTTCAGTTAGCGAATTATAACAATGATGTTTGTGGAGCGACTAATAAACGCTTAAATATTCCACTGGTAAAGCTAAACTTGTAGCGGTTGTGCGGCTGCTGGGAATTCCGATAGAGATTCTTATTATTACTATATTTTGAATGTACATTTAGCCAAGTGAAGCTACTTAAAACACATGTATATTTAAAAAAAATAAGAGGCAGCTAAGCTACTCCCGGAATCGTAGATGAGGTCAAACTCACAATAAATAATTGTTGCCTACGCGTATATATATATAGTGTATGTGGAAGCATCATATAGCAAAGTATGAATTACCTGTTCAACTGCTGGAGATGTGGCAACAGCAACAATATCGTAATTCTTTAAGTGTGACTCTGGTTCCTCCTGTATAATTGCCTGTTGCAGGCCAGGCTCCATCGGTTCACGCTTGATAAATATTGTTGTGTTGGGGCCTATCGTACGTAAATGACAGTTCCCAAACTCTCCTCGTTAGGTAAGTAGGCAAGCTATTAAACAAAAGCACCATCGTATACCAAATAGCGCGCACAGTTACCTACAAAGGCTAGTGCCTGTATTAATTTTCGTTTTAGATGGTTAGTATGCAGTTAATATCGGATTAGCTAGTTACTAAGCTGTAGTAAGCGACTATTCGCTGTTCTAATC